TCCCCCCAAGGATTGTTTTGTTTTTCCCAAATAGTGGTTGTACTCATTCAAAAGATCTGTGGCTGTCTTCACTGGTTTGCAAACTCCAGAGTGAGAAAAATAACCAAAATTGGGCATTCTCAGATGCCGGATGAGCTGAAGTCTTGTGTTCATCGTTCTTAGACCATCCCCTTTTCCTTTCTTCCAGGAAAGCCAGGAGAAACTTCATCAAAGACTCCACTCCATTATCATCTGAGTGCCTTGCAGAAAGTTTAAATTCCAACCTGGTACACATGGTGGTTTCTCTCATTCCATATCATTGCCAGAATAACTTTCCTTCCCTTAACTAGGAAAACCTTTTAAGTGAAATGTTAGTTACAATTAAAGCCACATTGACAATGTAACTACTCTTCCTACCATTTAAATACTCTACTCTTCATAAACTTTGCCTGGCTTATTTTCACTTCATGTTAGTTATACCTGGTAGAGTTAATTGTGCTGACTATATTTATTTGAAGGAATATCCATATAACATGTAATTTGGAGTTTTATTATTCACAACAGCACTCAAAGTGATATGACCGAAGTATTTTGCATTGCTATGCACTGGGCTTTAGAAATAGTCCTTATTTGTCCTTACAGAGTTCTGCAAACGTGCAGGATGGTGGAATGATGTAGGGGTGTGTCTGTGAGGGTGGCAAAGTGTGTAGGCTGCAGTGTGGATACTGAGGGGTAGAAGTAAGGACTGAACACAGGGAATGTGGACAGACCAGGTGATTGGGCATCCTCAGGAGACTAAAGCAAAGAAATGCAGATCGTGACATGCAATCTGGTAGAGAATGACTTGGGGAAACTTAGAGACACTTCTGCAGTAGCCTGAGCAAAACCATCCGAATACCAGACAGGGGCTGCCATGATGACCTAGGTCCAGTTCTACAGGATGGAAGTTTCATGTCAGACATACCTTGGAGGAAGAACTCACAGACTCCCAAGTCACCAGACATGTGTCTGTTTTGGATTTACATAGGTAGAGAGAGAGGCAAAATTAAACTTTCTGTACACAAATGACTTAATTAGCTCTCACAAAGGTTGATGGAAAAAGGCAGGTAGGCATTCCTTACATTTAGGACCATAGCATGTGTTTAGATGACTTGACACTGACTGCAACAGACATTATAGTATAGTACCCTTGTAAGATCTAGAAACCTGACCAAAGAAAACAAGATTTCATGGGGGAAATTGGATGTTTTAGTACTCTGTCAGGCATTTTTTTTGAGACAGGGTTTCTCTGTGGCTTTGGAGGCTTCCTGGAACTAGCTCTTGTAGACCAGGCTGGTCTCGAACTCACAGAGATCTGCTGCCTCTGCATCCCGAGTGCTGGGATTAAAGGTGTGCGCCACCACGGTGCAGCTCTCTGTCAGGCATTTTTATGCACATGTGTTTCCATTCTATGGTGAGTTAACAGATACAGGTTTGTCCGTTGGTTTGTTTTCAAGTCTCATAAGGACGGTCATCTTCACCCAGTGGGATAATCTAGACTTTTTTGTAGGAATGGATAATCTGCTGAGGAAGAAAGAAGAAGCCATCCTAACTGTCTGAGCATCTCTCTTTGGACAGAGACACAACCAACCTAATCAAGCAGATTCGGGATTTAAATTATTTTCTTTTTATGTTTTTCAGTAAAGGAAGAACAAAAACGAGCCCAAACCAGTCTACACTTTGGATTTCAAAGAGCACAAGAAAGGAGAGTGGCATGGAGGTATAATATTTAACTGACTTTGCTCCAGAAAGTAAAAGATAGTTTTGTAATTCTTGATCAGTGTAAGGAATGGCATCGTTAGCTTAGAATGGCTTAAAAAAACTCAAAGGATCTGCAAGATGAACTGTAAGCTCCCCCTTGAGGCAAATGTCAAAATAATTTTATATGTTCATAGCTTCACTTACAAAATATGCTATGTTAATCATGGAGTGAGGAGACCTGCTTTCCCAGCTGAAGGATGCACCAAACTTCACGTGAATGAAATGGACCACACAGTAAATTTCAGTGGACACATCTGGAATCCCTGTGTTGGAATAGTTACTTTTGCTTTTTTTTCACCTTCATAATTGATCAGTATTAATCTACTTTATGTAATATAAATCAAACTAAATTTACAGTGTATAGAAGCATTCTATCTTTGCAAAAGTGTTTGATAAATATGGAGTATTGGAGTGTTCTAGTATTTATATTTATGGCATTTCTTTTTTACATACATGCTGTTTTGATTAAATATTGAATTCACATAGACACAAAGAAATCTTTCCATTGGGAAACTTTTTTCTTTCTTGCTTATTTTTGTTTGCAGAAACATTTCATGTTTTTTCATTTCTCTGTTTTTGGTTGCATAAGGTTTAGGAAATCTCTTCAGAAATAAGAAACTGTTTCATTGACTGTATTATAAATCTCCTGAAAAATTCAACTTAGAGGCAAGAACTGTCTAACTTCACTTGTGCAAGACTCGTGCCTTACAATTACTCTTAATTTAAAATTAAATGGATTTTGTATTAAAATATCTTTACTAATAGTTGTATAGACACCAATGTAGTTTATCCTGGAAAAAAATTGCATTCACGGTACAAATCACAGGTCTTCACTTGTTGCCTATAGAACTGCAAGCTGTTCTCAGAATGTCTGGAATCAATGTGTAGCTCCTCCCTGTCAACTGAACAGGATGGCTATGGAGGGCTGGGATTGACCCTGGAGTCAGATAGCTGCAGTTCGGCTAAGGGTTTCTAACTGAATTTAGCTTGCATTGATATATATGGCAGAATGGTTTTCAGCAGTGTGAGGCTAAGCAGAACACACTGATATTATAGATTAAGAACAAAACAAAACAAAATCTACAAATCACACCAGTTAATGGGCCATGGGCTAGAGGTCATTGATGTTTAAATGTCTTTTATGAGCGTTTGTTCATGATTGTGAGCAGTGGTTCCCTTCTGTCTGATTGAGTTTCCTCAACAAGTGGCATTTGTTCTTCTCAAGAGAGAGTTGTAACTATTTTGTCTTCAAATGTCCCTGTGTTACTTTTAACCAAATAAAAAGGTCTTGTTTCTGAGGAATGATCATTGGTGTTGTCTAAATTTGTAAGTGAACAGATGTGGTTCATCTCTACCTGAAGATGAAAACAATCATTACAGGTGAAGAACGTGAAAGGCAAGGATATTAAAGTAAACAGGGAATCTTCCTATTTTCGGTCAGTCTTTCTCAGCTGGATATAAAGTCCTTCCCTTAAGTAGACGTGGTTTTCCAAATAGGAGGCAAACGGGACCTCAGAGCTCTGTCTGCTGCTCTGAGACTGGAAAGGGCAACTGCCCTCTACGCACAGCTGTCCTCATTAAGGCTCCATCCTTTCCATGGCTCTCCATCTTTTGGGTCAAATGGGAGGCCAGCTGCTTGGATCTGTGTTTTCCTTCCTTGCCAACTCCACCGGTTTCTTCCTTTAGTTACAACAGCGAGCAGGGAAACTGGGCTTTGTCCGTGCCACCCTGAACTTTAGCAGCTGGAAGGTGGAAGCACACAGTGATCAGGGAAGGCTGTTGTCCCCCCTTTCATCGTCATCAAGGTCAGGATAACTTCTGGTGTCAATGACAAACTCCACCTGTGACAAGGGTGGGAAAAGACGCTTCCTTCCCGTTAGAAGATGGTCACAATACCACCCTAAGGATCTCTGAAAGTTTTAGCTGGTCCTCAAAAAACAAACCCATATGTGATGTAACTACTCTGAATTTACAGAACGTTGTTTAAATACATGTTGGGAAATTCCATTAAATATGCAACTGCCTTCAGGTATTCAAAACAACCAACAAACCCCCTCTCTTTAGGTCCCTTTCCCCTTTCTAGGCTCAGATTAGTAGTAGGTTTTATTAAGAAGAGTGTGTTCTGAGACCCCTGACTGTTTATGCCGTTGTTTATTGGAACATTTAGTCCTCCATCATCTTGTCCAGCCTTCTTTTAATGGCATGTTTTTCATGCTCTGACTGTCTCTTGGCCTCTGTCCTCAACCTCCAGGGTCATTGCTGCCTGCATAGTGGTTTCCAGTGTCTCTTGATCGCCCCAGTTGTAATCATTCTCTATAAGTGTAGCTGAAGCTTCCCTCCTTCCACAAAGCAAATCACAGCAATTGCTTATTTTTATTCAGCTGATATGAACCCAATTCATCCTTTCATTGTTTCAATTATTGCAAAGACGTGTTTATGTGTGTGTGAGTGTGTGCATGTGTGAAATATGTCTGTGTGTGGATATGTGAATGTTATGTTAAGTTACAAAGGATTTCAGCAGATTCTGTGTCATCAGCTAAATTGACATTTGTAGCTACTCTGGAAATGATCCAAGAGATTAAAGTAGTAAAGCAAATTAATTTGTTACACATTTTTTACTTTAATGTGCAATTCAGCTGTGTCGGGATGAGTTTTTCACATTAAAGATATTCTGTAAATATATAAGCTAAGAAAAAAACTTAATAGCTGAATTTCCTCAAAGCAGTTTCTTTTTTTAAAGAGATTTTATAAAATACCAGCTTGATGTAAATGGTAAGTTAAAATGACCCAGATAAAGATTATTTGTGTAGAATGACCTTATCTGGTAGTTTACTTTTATGTTTCATAGTCAGGAGAGAGACGTGTGTGTGTGTGTGTGTGTGTGTGTGTGTGTGTTTTCTTTACCTGGATGAAAGGCACAGTGATGATGTGATCATGTTTGCAATATGAGTTTGTAACAAAGGTGTTTTTATAAACAGAGAAAATATTACATTTAAATAGAATGCATGCAGGTGTTAAAGCAAGAACACAAGGGTGACTCTGATGGTACACTAAAGTGAAATTAGATGAGGTACAACAGTTCATTTCAAACAACAACACACTTCAGGCAAACTATTACATTTCACTTCTTTACCTATTTTGCTCAAATGTATGCAGAATGTCTTAAAATAATAACCCCTCACACAATAGAAGATGATAAAAATGATTCAAAACAAAGGAAATGATGTCTATAAGATAATTGTTTATTATGAAACAAAAATGCATTTTACAGTTACTTCATGCTGCAAAGATTGATTGAATTTGTTTTGTCTTTCTTCCCTATCCCAATATTTAAATGATTCAGTTTAGAAGAAAAGCTTTTTTTTCTGTGTCATGAAACTCTCAGTTGTCATGCTACTTTAAGTAAAAAGAAAAAACAAACAAACAAACAAAAACTACCGAACTTTCCTTTTGGGATCAGAAAAATGTCTAACGTAGAAAACTTTGTATCCACTCTGTGAACCCTGAGACCCGGGCATACACTCCAGGGCGATTAGGCAGCGCACACTGAACTCCAAATGATGTCACACCAACCAGAGACCACCTGTTGTTTTCTTGGCACATTAACGGTCCTCCCGAATCACCCTAAAGTGTGAACAACAAGAGAAAAGTTGCGGGTGCATGGCCAATCAGTATGAACAAGTACAAGTGTGCTAAGATCACCAACCAAAAAATAAATGTAAAGAGATTGATCAATTGCCAGTTATGTGTCTGTGTTCTCACCACCATCTTTCCAGCCATCAGAAATTTGCTCCTCAGGGAAATGGGACAAATGGCAACAACAGAAAGTTTATAGTTATGGTGGAGCATTTCTTACATATTTGGTTCTGAATTTAGCCTTTAATAGCAGAAGCATCTCTCCAGCCCACAGTGGGACATTTCTTAGCAAGTAGTTTCTTACTTTTGCTATTTTATTGCAACATAGTTAGACATTCTAAAATGCCACTATAAAAACCCCATCAGCATCAACACGCTAGTCGCTTTATTAAGTAACATGTAAAGTACCAGAAAAAGCTTCATGTAAAGGCAAAACTATTTCACATCATGATTTTAGAAGAATTGAGAGGTCACACATATTTTTGGATTTAATTCTTTTATGTGACTGAAAGTTTTGTCAAATACCAATCATATTTGAAAACCTTAACATTTCAACTGCAATAAACAAACCTCATATTTTCTAGTAATCAAAACATGTGCTTTCATTCAGATTTTAGTTATAGGAGGCTGGCTTTTTGTCACAGTAGAGGTGATGTAAGTGATAGTTGATCCTGTATAGGTAATCACATAGGTCTCATTTGTGCATAATGATTCCTCTCTAATGCCCATAGTAATGGTATGGACATACTTAATTATGAAAAATGGACACACATTTTCTCCCATATTACTTATGCAAAGAATTCTGGTTACATATCTATTTCTCTTTTTTTAGATGGGGCCTCACTATGTAGCCTATACTGGAACTGGCTATGTAGATCCGACCAGAATTGAACTCACATAGAGCTGAATGCCTCTGCTCGAATTAAATGCATGTACTATCCAGCAAGTTATTTATTTTAATACCGTGAAGCAATATGAAACACTATATACTTCAAAAACCACTGATGTAATAGAGTATTTAAAATTTGGCTCAATGTTAGTAATTATCCTGAAAGACTCCCTTGCCTGATGCCTTAGCCCTCCTTTGTGCTGTATTAAAAGGGGAAAGGTGGCCTGTCAAAGCACTCGCTGCTCCACTGTTGGACACAGAGGAACATGAGTGGCCTTGGCAGTCACAAGTTGCCTATATTTAAAGTCAACAACTGTGTCAAAACTGTCTGAAGGAAGGGCAGTGACTTTTGCTTTCGTGTCCAAAGATCTTGATCTGTATATTAGAAATATTTGTGAAGTCTATTGCTCACAACATCTTCTATATTATTTAGAAGTTATTAAAGTTAAGTCAAAGTCTAATCAGGTGTCTTAAAAAGGAGTTACTTGATTCCTTCTATTTTATGAAAATAATTGACATTTTGTTAGGTAAGTACGAGAAATTGATGTTAGGATCAAATGTTTTAATTTACTTGGTGTATACTAAGTCAGTTGAATGACAGTAATATACGAACCCTGCAGATGGGTTTCTGCCTTTCTCCTGGGTGTCTGCATTACTAGGGGCCTTGGCTTTGTTTCCAATATATCACTTCCTATTGTCCGGCCATATCATGTCATTTATATTATGTAAATTCCTGGCCTTGATATTATAATTTGTTTAGTGAGATTTCTTCTTCTATTATTTCAAAGAAATGTAACTATTTAAATCATAAACTAAAGCAGGAATACAAAATATTAAAACTGACTGTTTCTACTTTGATACTATCTATAGTATGTAAGAATATGCAGTATAAGTTTACACAAACACAAAAGGTCACTAAATTCTTTGAATGTGAAAGGATTAGTGAGTATTTTATTTAGAGCAATGGTTCTCAAACTTTATTATATGTTATAGTCACCCGAGGGACACAAGAAAGTATACATCATTGAGCCTCAATTTAAGATTCAGATTGGCAAGCCTGTGATGGACTCTTAAATTTTCAATTTAAACAAGTTCTCAGGGAAACTGATCCATCTGACAGAGTGAAAGCTGTGTTTGTGAAGCTACTGACAAAGAACATAGTTTCTGAATGGACAGTGAAATGACATCCACTCTCTGTAGTCTCTCTTATTGACTGTAAATTCAGAAGACTATAATATGCAAAGGAATTCGGTCCCCCTGGTTGGAAAAATTTTGAGGCTAAAAATAATGATTAAATGAATGTATTTAAACATTGATATGTTCAAAAATTTAAATAATGTGCTAATATTTCATCAGCTAATATTAAAGTTGAACCAATAAAATCATGTGACAATCTTGAGTGATTTTACTCAGTCATAAAAATATCCTATTGCATGGAATGTTTCTATACATTAGGAATTTCTTTCTTGTTTATGAGTAGCATGCTTAGGTCCTGTGGAAAGCAGAGCCAAGCACATGATTTCAAAGATCTGGAATGAGTTACTGGCCTAATATAACTCTAAGATCAATAGCATTAGCTATCATATTTTCTACCTCATATGTGAGGTGCCTGCCATGCAACCCCCATTAACTGTAATTGAAATTGTATAGCTGATTTCCCTCTTGCAAATAATTCTATAAATCACATCTTAAGTGGCAATGTATCTTATCTTTAGCACATTATTCATTTTATAAGGAAGGCATAAAGATCTGGAGGGAAATTTCAAGCCAATGTAAATCTATTTGATTTGTATTGAATTTATAAGTGTTCACCAAAGTAGATAAATGTAAAGCCAATCTGAAAGTTTAACATGACTCGAGACTTGATTTAACTAGGGAAAAAAACTTACACATTTGTCTTCCTGTCTGTTAAAAACGTGTTATCAAATTATGTTATATGTGTTGTACTATATGAAACAAGTTGCTACATTTTAACATACTAAAAGCATTTCCTGACAATATAAATGGTTATTTTCACATGTATGAATTAATCATCTGTTCTGTAACACTTTGTAGTTAAATTTAATGCAGTATATCTGAATGAATTAATATTTTATTAATTTCCAAGTAATTAAGACATACCAGAAAATGTATCTAGTAAGTGTCCTAATAAAATCTTAATTGGTTCTTAATGTTTGCTGATTGTCTTACATTTGTCTTCTTACTTAACCCTCCCAATGAATGACAAGTGGCTTGTCGAAAGTCATTCATTATCAATAATTGAATTTTCCATGAAAGATGTGAAATTTGAGTATCATTAGTGATTTCCTGGCTCCCAAATCACACCTAAGCAAAGAAAATGCTATCTAAATGTGTAAGATAACTACTATCCTATAGTTACCTGACATGAGTCTATGCCTCCTTCTTCATACCCTGCACATATCATATTTTCAGTGATGTTGTATTCTGGCAGCTGTTGCTGGCACTTCTCATTGGATACAAGAGGGACATCAGCTTCTTTCAGTACATCAGAAGTAGAACCTGTTCAAAAATGGAGATGCAGACAGCCAGTCAGTATTGATTAACAGGTGTCCTTGGATGAAACATCATCTATCCTATTGATTCCAGCATTTTGCTGTCATTATCAAGTACTGTGTGATGTATAATGGGACTAACTACTAACTGTGCACTTTAAACTTACATAGTAAACCCACCTGCGCTCTTTGGCAAATGGATAGCAGCAACACATTTATTTTTCTCATAAGGGGTAGTAGCAATCGTGGATTGGACTAGGGTGGTCTTTAGGCATTTTCAGTGATTTTAAAAAGTTACAGTATCGCTCAAAGAAATGAAGTCTGCCAGCACAAAGAGTTCATTCATGGAAATCAGCACAGGGACTTGGAGATTGAGAGGAGCTTTTCACTCAGCACCTGAGGAGGTGCTCCCTCCCGTATAATGGCATTCAGCTTCTTTGTGGTTCTGTGTGTATGAGCAGGTGCACATTTAGTAGGGGACAAAGCTCTGATGAACTGTGCTCTGCTCTGGGGGCAATCAGCTTGCCATCCCATGCAGGAGAAGAAGAAGGAAGTGTGTCATAGCATTGTGTATTTGCATTTGTTTAATGCAGCTAATCATTCCCTGGAAGTGGGGCTCTCTGCTTACTGAACTACTAATCCCAAAAGGCTTGTGAAGCAATCAGGTATTAGTTCCTCTAGAAAAGGTATGTAAGCACTCCCTCCTGATTAGCAATTCTATTTGATGCCCTCAAAGAGGTAGAAAGCTAAAGGTTATTTATTGTATATCTCTGCTAGCATTGTAAAGGCATAGACAACCCCATTTTGAGCTAAGTTTCACTTACACATTAAGAACAGTAAGATATTAAGGAAATGCAAACACACACACACATATATGTATATATGTATATGACTCAGTGTACATTTGTAAATGTCTAGCTATTTGTTATCTAAGGAAAAAAACTCCCAAATCTGCCCTCTTTCCTACTATGACAAACAGTTCTACCATGATTTGAATGTACAGGAACAATGGTGAAAACAGAGTTGGGAAGAAAATGTACAAATAGCGATTTCCTCCATAGTGCCAGCCAAGTGAACAACACAGTCACAATTGGCTTCCAAAACCTGACAGCTTCATATTAAGAAAACAAACACAAGAGACTGAAATAGAGAGCAAAGTCCAGTCACTCTCTGTCATTTACCCTGCAAAGACCAAGGATGGGTGGCCAGACCTTAGTTTCACAAGAAAAGCAGAAGCCTTCCTTTGTACTTGTCCCTGGATACAAAATTTGTTTGAATAAGTAGCAGAGCTCCTTAGTAAAGGAGACTGCAAGCAATGTCTGTGTATTTAATATTCCTCCTTTTATAAAATCTTCCTTTGATTACTTTTGAGTTATGTGTAGGTGGAGGTTCATAACAGTGCACAGGAGAGGGGAGCACAGGAGAGGATGTCTGCTCCCCTAGAGCTAGAGTTAAAGGCAGTGGCTTGGGAGCTAACTGGCCTGGGTGCCGGGCTGTGAACTCAGGGCCTCTGCACTCTTCACTGCTGAACTGTCCCTCCATCCTTACTTATTTCCTTATAATAGTTTCCATGTGTAAGATTGAGAACATGCACACACACACACACACACACACACACACAAATGTAAAATGATATATGGCCAAATTTGGTTATGTTAAATACTGATCGCCTTACTTAAACAGTCATCCATTTCTTTCTAGAGAAAAATATACTCCCAAATATCTTAGTTAATTAATTAGTAAAATAAACTCATGAGATCAGAAAGTGGGGTCAGAAATTACATGGACATATGTCATATAAAATTAATAAAGTCCATGAAAAAATTAAGAAGGAATGAAACACAGTCTGGCCATTTCATTCTTAATGATTTCTGATGCTGTTTTCCTCTCCTGGCTCCACACTGCCTTTAGAGACATTTTAATTTAATTAAACATATATTTTAGGAATAATAGGCAAGCCTGCTTGGCTCCAAAAAACCTTCCATGGAATAAGGAGTCTTAAATATTGTTAGCAGATAATTTGTTTTTGATGTCTACATTGTGGCTATAAATTGTTCTTTAAAAACTCGAAAGACAAAACATCTGTCTAGCAATCATTTTGCTATTTACATTTCTAACTTAATAAGTCATGACGTTTTTGTAGTAGAGGGAATATAAAAACATAGTCTTTGACTATATACTTTGTGGACAGCAGCATGAGGTATATCAGCCAGAAAATGTGACTGTCATGGATTTATCGTGCTGAGTCACCAGGCAGGTGAGCACTAGCTTCAGAACTTGACGCTGTTTTGATCAGTAGGGTTGCTTTTCTCCATTTTTAAAGAACATTTTTAATTATTTTTTTATTTAAAAAATTTCATTTTGCATTCCAACCCAGATCCCCTTCCCTCCTCTTCTCTTGCCCTTCCCCCACCTCTCACCCTTCCCAACCTCCATCCACTCCTCAGAAGAGGTAAGACCTTCCTTGGTGAGTCAACAAAGTCTGGCAGGACCAAGATCCTCCCCCCTGATTCAAGGCTAAGCATGGTTTCCCACCATAGGGAATGGGTTCCATAAAGCCAGTTTATGAACCTGGCAAAGGTATTGTTCCCACTGCCAGCCCTCTCCCCAACAAATCAAACCACATAACTGTCACCCACATTCAGGTTCCCCATCTGTCAGTCCGTAGTCCATGAGCTCCCTCTAGCTTGGATCAACTGTCTCTGTAGTTTTCCTCATCATATTCTTGACTGCCGCTCCTGCCCACCCCCTTACCCCTCCCACCCCCCCCCACCCATCCCACCCCTGCCTTGTTTATATGAACTCTCCTGCTTCCCTTCAACTGAACTCCAGGAGCTCACACATGTATACTCTGTCTCTCAGGCGTATTGATCCAACTCCTTTCTCCCATTCCATTTTCAAAGTGAAAGAAAGACTGAAAGGAATAACTATGTGGAGTGTGTTTGCACAGGCTAAGGCTAAGTGCTATGTTATGATGAGGTTTCCTATCACATCTTATACTATCAAAGACACAAAACCACTGAACCATTCCATACATTTTCTCCAAAGGGCATTTTCAAAGTCAGTGCTTTGATTCGGAGACTAGGTATCTCCCAATAATTGTGTATTTTTTTCTTAAATACATCTGGGACTTTTACCTATCATGGCTATAATTTATGAGTATAGAAGTCACGTGATTCTGCCAAACAATAGTACCCTTCCTTTTTGCCTAGGCTTACTGAACATTCAAAACTCTGTTCAATTTATATATTGTTCCTGGTGGTATTTGGAATTCTCTGGATTTGACACAATCTGAAAATATTTGGTGTAGTATATGAGCGTAACCATGAATATAATCCTGATAATTGTTTTAGAATATTCTGCAAAAAATAGTAGATTAAAAGATGTAAAAGTATTGAAAATATCAACAGCAAATGTCAGTAGCATATTTTTTTCTGGTATACATTTTGTTATTTTCAAATGTGATAACTTGCCTTGAATTTCAGTATAACCCCAGCCAGCAATTGAACAAATTCTCCCAGGAATGAATATTTGATTTTCTTCTGGTAAACAAATAGGCTGTATATAATCTGAAAAAAAATCAAGCAAGTCAAAATAAACAGCAGAAAAAGAAAAAAAGAACAAAATGTCACCCATGTTTCTAACAATTTAAAAATTATCATTTCTAACATTTAATGTAAAAAGTTTGTATTTAAATTTCATTATACTTGAACAGCTTCAGATATTAAGGGTGAAGGCATTTTAGAGCAGAATTAACTTTGTCTGTGCTTGATGGAGTGGCAGACTCTTTGGGTTCTTCTCTGTTGTTCTCTCATTCTCAACATTTTGTTCATGTACCTAATGCCTTTGTTCAGGATTTATCATTTGTGTTTGATTTTTAAATAATCATGACACTCATTTTAAAGTAGTTCCAATTTTGTAAAATGTTGGGAATGTTCTTTTAAGTTTTCATGTATTCTCTTCATATGTGAGCACATACAGGTATGCAGGCGATGTGCATCCATTTATGTGTATGTGTACATGCATGGGAAACTTCACACATTTGCATGTTGAAGGCAGAGGACAACTTTAAAGAGCTAGGTCTTTCCCATCATCTGGTGGGATCCAGGAAGTGAACTCTGGATATCAGGCCTGCAAATAAATGCCTCTACCTGCTTGTCCTTGCTTGCTGAGGTATTTTGCTGGTTCTTTCAATATTCTTTCAAAGTGTTAGCTAAGAAAAAAATATTGGGTGGTGTTTTAAAATACTTCGACACATAGAACCATATTAAAGCCATGTTTTCCCCAATTGCTTCAGTTGGATCTTATGGAAGCATCACGTTTGACTTCTCAGCAACAACTTACAAGTCCTTTGGCTTCTAGTGAGCTTCTGATGCCCAAAAGATGCATGAAATATAGAGAAATGAAGACTACCCTTAAGGACAGTGTGATGCCACTAAGGTCTGTAATGATCTGCTTTTCCCATAAACCATAAGGAGACTGATTCCATGAATTTAATTCTCCTATCAAACATGAATATAGTCTTGATAATTGTTTTATAATATTCTGCCAAAATGAATTCATTTCATAGAGGATGGCAATGTTGCCCAACTGGGTTTTGGAAAAGACCTCACAATAATATCAGGGATCAAACAAAACACTTTAGGACAAATTTCATTTTATCAGGTGAATTCTTGTGCATTTTATAGGCAGTTGAGACAACCCCTCATTAGTTGGACTAGTAATATTATTGGATGTCCTTTAAAACTGTTTCCATGTAAATAACATATTTCGTTAACCTATTCATTTTTTCCCTCTTTGTATCTTGCTTCATGCATCTTGGCAGATGGGTTGATGTTTCTATTGCATGACAAGCATAAAGAGGCTGGATGAGTTCCTGGTGATTCTCCATCAGAGAACTCTAAGAGTTATTTTAGTATACTTCAATATAGTTGAATTTGAGCACTATGAGGAAGGAGATTTCATTCATTTTCCCATATACTTCAACTGTTTTTACATTGAAAAGATGTCTGCAGAAAAATACTGAGTTTTATGAATTAACCCTGCATTGATATTTCAAATTTCTTTTTGGATTGCTATGAGCAGATGAGGTGGCTAGATGTAGTTCTTTTACCTGTGTAATTCACTTTGAACTCAAGGTGCATCATAGCAATGTCATTGAACTTTCTTCGTTTATCATAATGAGGGTTTATGACAATTTGATCAATCACCCGTCTTTCTACTTGAGGAGAAGTCAGATTTGACTGCATATTCAGGCCGAGGAATGCCGTCCATCTTGTTGGATCTACATTTCTTCTGAAGATTGAAATAAGAAAATCTTTTCAAGTAACTTTCCATCTAGGACAGAACATTCCGCAAGTCATCTAACATAAAAAGTTAGAAATGTATGGCATTTCCATTCAATAGGATTGATTGATTCCTTTAAGGAGTGTTCCTTTTAAAGTATTCTTATTTTTCTATAATACAAAATTTGGGATATACTTAGGGACTGCCATTTAATATTTTGATACATGTGTATATATGGTGTTGTAAAGTTTAACTCAAAGTAAGTACATACATTTTCTCTGACATTTATTTTTTTCTTGTGGTGAAACTATTCAAGATGCTTTCTTCAACCTTTTTGAAACACATATCAGATGAGATTGGGGAGCGTTCAGGGTGGTATGGCCTTAGACTTTGTTTATTTTTTTGAGACAAGGTTTCCCTGTGTAGCTTTGGAGGTTGTCCTGGAACTAGCTCTTGTAGACCAAGATGGTCTTGGACCCACAGAGATCAGCCTGTCTCTGCATCCCGAGTGCTGGGATGAAAGGTGTGCACCACCACTGACAATAAATATGCTGATAAAGAAACCAGAGAAACATCACCATTTACAATTGACACAACATAAAATATCTTGGGGTAACTCTAACCAAATAGGTGAAATACCAGTATGACAAGAACTTGGAGTCAGTTAAAAAAAGAAATTAAAGAAGATACCAGAAAATGGAAAGATCTCCCATGCTCTTGGATAGGTAGGATCAACATAGTAAAAATGGCAATCTCACCAAAAGCAATCTACAGGTTTAATGTGATCCCTATCAAAATCCAAGCACAATACTTCACAGACCTTGTAAGGATAATTATCAAATTTACATGAAAAATATAAAAGACCCAGGATAGCCAAAACAACCCTGTACAATAAAGGAACATCAGGAGGCATCACTATTCCTGACTTTAAGCTCTACTATAGAGCTATAGTACTGAAAACAGCTTGGTATTGGCACAAAAATATGTAGATCAATGGAGTCGAATTGAAGACCCTGATATTAAACCACACACCTATGAACACCAGATCTTTGACAAAGAAGCTAAAAGTATACAATGGAAAAAAGAAAGCATCTTCAACAAATGGTTCTGGTACAACTGGATGTTGGCATGTAGAAGACTGTAGATAGATCCATATCTATCACTGTGCACAAAACTTAAGTCCAAATGGATCAAAGACTTCAACATAAATCCAGCCTCACTGAACCTCTTAGAAGAGAAAGTAGGAAGTACCCTTGAACTAATTGGTACAGGAGACTGCTTCCTGAACATAACACCAGTAGTATAGACACTGAGATTGACAATTAATAAATGGGACCTCTTGGAACTGAGAAGCTTCTGTAGTCAACAAAACAAAATGGCAGCACAGAATGGGAAAAGTATTCACCAATCCCACATCTGACAGAGGGCTGATCTCTAAGACTTACAAAGAACTGAAGAAGCAAGCCTCCAAAACACCAAATAACTCAATTAAAAATGTGGTAGAGAATAGAGAATTCTCAATAGAGAAGTCTAAAATGGTTGATAGATACTTAAGAAAGTGCTCAATATTCTTAGCCATCAGGGAAATGCAAATCAAAACAATTCGGAGATACCATCTTATTCCTGTCAGAATGGCTAAAATCAAAAACACCAATGACAGTTTATGCTGGAGAGGATGTGGAAAAAAGGGAACACTCCTCCATTGCTGGTGGGAGTGCCAACTTGTACAGTCATTTTGGAAATCAGTACAGAGATTCCTCAGGAAAATGGGAATCAGTGTACCACAAGATCCAGCAATTCCACTCTTAGGCATATATCTAAAAATGCACATTCATACAATAAGGACATCTGCTCAACTATGTTCATAGCAGCATTATTTGTAATAGCCAGAACCTGGAAGCAACCTAGATGCCCCTCAACTGAAGAGTGGATAGAGAAAATGTGGTACATTTACACAATGGAGTACTACTCAGTTGAAAAAAATGATGGAATCTTGAAATTCACATACAAATGGATGACACTAGAAGAAACCATTCTGAGTGAGGTAACCCAGTCGCAAAAAGACAAACATGGCATGTACTCACTCATATATGGATTCTAGACATGGAGCAGGGGATTGCCAGAGAATCTAGGAATCTAGGAATCAGGGAGGACCCAAAGAGATACATGCATGGTACCCCAGAGAAGGAGAATGGGACAGGATCTCCCGAGAAGATTGGGAATATGGGAGAGGGGAGATGGAGCAGTGAGAAAAAGAGGAGGAGAATAGGAGAGGAGAGGAGGACATGGGGGAACAGGAAGTTTGAATCAGAGAAAGAATAGAGAAGACTATGAGAGACACCATAATAGAGGGAGCCATTATAGTTTTGAGGAGAGATCTGGCACTAATGAGATTTTCAGAGATAGACAAGGATGACACCAACTGGCCTTCTAAGCAATATTGGAGAAGCTACCTTAAATTCCCTTCTCCGATAATGAGACTGATGACTACCTTATATGCCATCTTAGAACCTTCATCCAGGTGCTGATGGAAGCAGAGGAATACACCCAGAGCTAAACACTGAACTGAACTCTTAGAACTCAGTTTCAGAGAGGGAGGAGTGATGAGCAAAGGGGTTGAGACCAGTCTGGTGAAACTCGGAGAAACAGCTGACCTGAACAACAGGGATCTCATGAACTCCAGACTGATGGCTGAGAGGCCAGAATGGGACTGATCCAGACTCCCTGAATGTGGATGTCAGTGAGGAGGCCTTGGCAATCTATGAGGCCTCGGGTAGTTGATCAGTATTTATCTCTGGCATATACATGTGGGGAGCCTATTCCACATGTAGAGATGCTCTCTCAGCCTGAACACATGGAGGAGGGTGTAGACCCTGCCCAGGATGATATGACAGACTTTGGAGATCCCGCATGGAAAGCCTCACTCTCCTTGGGGAGGAGATGCAGGGATGGAGTGGGAGGTAGGTGGGATTGGTGGGGAAAGGGGAGGAGGGGAGGGAGAGGGAGCTGAGCTTGACATGTGAAGTAAGCTTGTTTCTAATTTAAATAAAAAGAAAAAACATATATCACTGTTATTTGTAGCCACACTGTTGTGCAACAAAATTAATCTCGAGTTTATATCCTAGCCTTACTTATCGATCAAATTCCCCCTATTTTCTGTCCCCTCCACCCTAGCCTCTGATAACAACTACTATATTCTTAATTTCTTGTAAACCAATTTTGCTGTGTTCCACATGTGACTCCACTTTAATATTTCTAATTAGATTACAGAAGCTTAATTAATGTTATTTTTCTTCTAACATGACTCCTCAACATCCTTTGACATTTTATTAGTTACTTTTCTATTGTTATGATAAAACAATATGAAAAAGGCAACTTATATAAGGAAGATTATTTGGCTTCTGGTTCAAGAGTAAGTGAAAGATATCATTAATTCTGCTCTAGACCTGTTTGACATTTAGAAATAATTTGCTTTGTAAGGATGTCAAACAGGAATTTACAAAACCTGAAACTAATAAAACAATATTGTTGATTAGAACCTATTTATATGCAACAGAAATACCAAAATTTTAGCTAAAACTTTTATTTGTAACACAGTTGTAATAGGGACCATCAACTTGTAGCTTGCATAAAAGAATAAGTATAGGAAAAGAGTGGAGAAATATTTAGTACAAGTGAGAAATGAATGCCTACTGTAGTTATTTCTTATGGTGTGTCAGCAAAAAGATCAAATCATCAGAAGACAGCAGAGTCAGAGGAGTTCGCTTTTACTATGAGCAAGGATATTTAGTTATCTCAACATTGTACCAGTGTATTACATCAGGGAGCTATAGAGGCAGATTCCTTGGATAGTTCCCCAGAAAACTAATTGGTTAGCCAATCTACCGTCTGGACAAGTGTCCCAGATCTACAGATTTCTGCTTATCCTGAATTTGAGCTTATCCTCATCGTGGTCCCCTGGGCATCTAGATGCAGGTGCAATCAACAGTGTTCATCAATTTCACAACTCTTCCTCTCTTCCCTGAAAGTGTCCGACAACTTGTTTATACATACCCAGTAACACTATGTAATCTACCTTCTCCAAGTCTGAGTCCACAGTTCATTCTAAGTCTCTTAGCAAGAGAGATTCACCCTAATCTTAACAGATGAGGTTATGGGATGCAATGCTCACTCAGTTCTTATATGCAGGAAATCAATTGTATATCAGGTTCCCATACATCTTAGGAGGAAGCTCCTATTCTTCTATGCATTGACTGGCAATTATTAGCAAGTAACTAAAGCCTTGACATTTTCCCTTTGTCAGAGTAGACGAACAGTTTATTTATTTCGTCCTTTCTCCCCATTTCTCTCCATGTATTCTCTTTACCACCACGGTACTGCATTAGGGATGACTGCTTTAGTGAGCGGAAATCAATCCTGGAATTAGGCATGGATTTTGCTTTTGCTTGTTACAAAACCAGGTTACACATGGAAATTAGTCATAAATTTTAGGTACAGGCAGCACTAATATAAATGCGACCCAGAAATTAAGTCATTACAGGGTGCTTATCTCACACAGACTTTCAGAGCACAAAGTACTTGTAACTTGAGGGTTCTCCATGAATGTGTTTTTCCTAGTGATGATTTGCTAAACATAAGTGTTGACCTAATCGAATGATAACAAAAATTATGCAGTAAATATTAATTCCACATTAATAGGTAAAAATTTCAATGTATGTAAGTGAAGTAATCATTAGTATTATGAATGAATAATATATTTGAGTCAAAATTTTATACATAATTTTTTGGAAAATGATTGGAAAGCTTATGTCACAAACAGTAGAAATATTTTCCTGGTGAACATGGGCCTATACAAATTCAGATGCTCTTTTGTGTCTGCTGAGATAACCCTGTTTACTAAGGGACACCTTGATAAGAGAGGAAACAGTTTCCTATAGGCTATAGGAGAAAAGGTTCCATGATAGAAACTAGCAGTTGCTCACACAGAGGGAATGGACATTTGAGTTAAAAGGGATTGTTAGGGCTGAGTGATGAGGGCAGATGTGTTAGTGATAAGAAACAAAGAATTTGCAGTTGCATTTGAGGTAGCTAGGAGGTCTTGAAAGGAGGCAGGCTCTGAGAATTAAGGTCAGTGTCAGTCTGCAGCTAGCTGGCTTTCCTGAGACCATATCCAGTCTTCCAGGAAGCATATGAGTGCTCTTGTTTTTTTTTTTTTAACAGATTCTTGTTTCCAATGCAGGTAGGTGAAACGATCCCTAAGGAAGCTTTTATCTGTTTCAACAGGTAAATTCCAGTATACCTTGTAGACAAGGTGTTAACCAACATCAACTAAGAACAACTATATATACTTGTTGGTATACATACTTTGGTATATATACTTTGGTATAGATCAAAAGAGACACCTGTGAGTTTGGAGGCCCATCACCATCCAGGAAACTAACAACCAGCAGACAGTCATAACTAGCAAAACAGGAGACAGGTGGACAGATGGGGTTCTTCAGCCATCGCTTATTGGGGAAGTGGTCCATGAACAGCACACAATCACTTCCCTGCTTGGGCCAGGGGAACATGCACCGTGCATATGAACTGAGAATTGGCTCAGAGTCTGGTAGCCCAGAGAACCAATAATCTCATAACAATTATCACAAGTTTTGTGCAGTTTGTGCGATGTCCCTATAAAAGCCCATAGATTATTCTTCTGTTTGGAAGCCCCCTCCGGACTCTTGGAGGTTTTCTCACCTTCCCTTAATTTATTAGATTTACTTGCTGTCTCTTAGTAAAGCTTGCACAGTGCTTTGCTTACTTGTAGATGAATATGCATATATCTTTTACTATCATGAGACAGAGAACATGGAGCTGCTGTCTCACACAAGTCTTTGGTGACGGTGAGTGTTTGGCACCCTGGTGTATCAGTCACACACAGCTGGGCCCTTCCACATTCATACTCACCCGTATACGCAGTGCGCAGCAGACACCAGCCATTCAGGGCTGACGAGAGACGCACCACAGAGCAGCCGGTCTGTGTAGCTGTCTCTGTAATACAGAGCCACAACCCAGGGCCACGCCCCTGCTTTTGCGTCACTTCCACCAACGATCTTCGGGTTGGCTTTGTGGCTCACCATTTTCTCTCCACACGCTATCAAAAAAATTGATGAAATGGTACATACCTTATTTTTAGGCAATTCATTTGGTCATGAAAATTGAAGCGATGAAAAATAACTTCAAATGACATAAAATTCTGTCTGGAATTTTAAATTGAAGGCTTAAAGTTGACAAATACTTACATTTATAGTTACAATGTAACAGAGTCAATAAATCTTGTGAACACCGTAGACTATAACAGAAAATAAGTTTGTTAGTTAAATAGACATTTAAACCTACATACCAGATATGAAATTCAGGAAAGCTAAAATCCACAGAAGAAAATGGCCAACTTGAATGTCAAATAGGACTGTGTTTGCATTTTTATCATTTACTCTTTATGTATTTTTAGGAAAACTACTTAGTATCAACATGATTATAATAGAACTCAATGTATTGTAATTTCATGGAGATTAGGTCAAAACTTTGCTCATGAATTAAGCATTATTAATATTTGATCTATTATAGCTATTGCCATTTTCTCACACTAACCTTGGATTTCATTATTATCTCAATCTTGGGGAATGTGTTTCAATACCTCTAGTGTTTATCTAAAACCACAGATAGCACTCAACCCTATGTTCAATGAGTTCCCTTGTAACCTGTGATATATCACAGTGATAAATTTGGCAGTTTTGGTTGTTAGGTGAGAGTAACAAAAGATGATTTTTTTCCTTTTCCACAATTCTATGAATAGAAATTAACATTTGTGATAAGCTTTAGATTACTAGCAATACCAGCACATGTCTTTTCTTCTTCTTATTGTTCAGAAACCCTTTAAAGATATACACTATTCCTTTAGTTTGGTGTCACTATTGATCAAAATATGGCTTGAATAAAAGCACTGAACACTTCAAGTAATTTTGAGAAATTAACATCTGAAAATTAATATGAAGAAAATGCATGCCTTGCTTATGTTACACCAAGAGATGGTTTATTCAAGACACAATAAGATTTGCTGGTGCTACCAAGATTGGCAAGGATTGAAACTAATGAACTGCTTATATATGGATTTACTCTTTAAAATATTTAGACTATGACTGGTCATTTGGTAACTGAAGTAATATAAATTAAGACTGTAAATGAGGAACAACTGATGAAAATCACCCTCAATATCATCAATTTCAGGGCTATTTAGTGATGATTCATTCTGTTAAATCATTCTGAAGGGGAATGATGAATGGATTGCAGGGTGTTTGTAAGAGAGTCAGGCATGGGCATGGGAACTATAAAACAACAAATAGGCACAAACTCCTGAAAAAGTATAGCCCATAGTTTTGAAATTTGTTTTTTCAAGAGCCAAAAATGTACATGTTTAAGAGGTGTTATACAATCCAACCAGCAGAGGTCATTGTTACACCAGAAATCACAATACTTTACATTTCTGCTGATACAAATACATTAAATACGTATTTGAATACATGTGCACACACCTAGAGCTAAATGTTTTACACTTCAAAATCTAACAGAATGAAGTGTGCATGTTGCTTAATGCTACAAGCTGCAAAATCACACAGTAATTATACAGCCAACGTATTATGAGATATCTCAGAAGAATTAAGGATTCTCATGATAGATGAAACCAGTACAAAGGCTGTACTTGGTGTTATAATCTCATGAATGAATTGGCTGTGCCTTGCTGTACATTCTTTCTGTAGCTTATTCCTTTCTGCAACAAACGTGGGATTTACTTTCCACAGTTTAGCACTATCTGATCATTTACTAGGAACAAATTTCTCCCATGCATTTGGAGTTTATTGATTACACTCGCTAGCTATGTGTAAAACCTGTTCTCCATTAACAGGTCGCAGCTTACTGATTACATTCCTTAGCTATGTGTGAGGCCTGTTTCCCACTATCAGGTCCTTATTCCCCTCTCCATTGCAATTACAGAGATCTGCCTTCCTGCAATTATCCTTATTGACAGGCATTTGGTCAGTTTTTAGGCCCAGGCCATCTAACACATTCCCAGATATCCAAGGACATGGAATTACTACAGGCCCAATGCTGTTGAGTCTTAGCTGTCTAGATGGATAGAAAAAATAAGCATGCCCTGGTTTTGCCTCAGTGGTGGGTGGAAAAGTAACAACTTAAACTATCCCCGCACTAAAAGATTCTCAAACTTCTTGTTGTATTAACTCAAGACTTCAGTTCAGAGATTTACTGCTCCCTCCTGTTTCCCCTGAGAAGATAAAGACAAAGGTAATCAGCCCATTTGCTCATCCTAAGGGAGAAGTAAACTTTCCTGATGGCCGGAGCTGTCACTGAGACTAGAGCTCTGGAAGGTTCCAGGTTTTGTTTCTTGTGCAAATCAAACTTAGACCCTCTCTTTGACCTACAGCCCTAAGCAACTGATGCTAAAATTTTCTCCTAGCAGTTTTAGTTTATTGCTCTGTGTGTAAATCTTATCTGGCACTGAGAAACTCAAGCCTCACTTGGTATTGTAAAAAGAATTACTGTTGCAAACACACACACACACACACACACACACACACACACACACACACACACACACACACACAGGTTTCCCCCAAGAACTGGGGAGAAACAAAGAAACAGAGACAGAAACAGAGAGAGGAACAGTGAAACAGAACAGCAAGAGAGAAAGAGAACAAAAGAAGAAAAAAGAACATGTAGAGGAGCATGTGTGAGTCAATTTCTTTTGCCCTCAGATTTTAGTTCCTTCGCTTATTTTTCAAAAACCTGAGAGAAAATTCTAAAAGTCAGACTTCTAAAGTTTTTGATAGCTTAAGTTCTCTTACTTTGGGAAAAAGATAAAAAATAAGTACAAAACAATGCTGTATGGTCAATCAAGACATCTCAATGTTTTAAGGACATGCACAATAGAGCTTATTTATAAGCACATGCACTTATATTCTATTTTAAAGTACAATTTCAATAGAAATATAAGAAAATGTATTTTATTAATAGTCAATGTGATTATATGTCTCTATGTGTAAAATGCTTCAAAAAAGTCCAGCTGTGTTTGAATGAAAAGTAGTTTATAGGATGCCTCATTAGATAGTTTCAAATTTACAAAAACATTTCTCACATCTACAGTACTTATCAATAAAAAGCCATATTCAAAATGGTTTCTAAGACATTTTTGGTGGTCTTGGAAACAGCAAAAAATGCTTAATTAATTTGTATCAAGCCCAGATGTGATAGTAGTTCATTATCAACTTAGCAAGAAGTTTCAATTCTTCTCTGGTAACTTCTTCCTTATTTTTCTTAGAAGCCTTAAAACAAGGATGCTGGCAAAAGTGACACTGAATGTAGTAATTGTTCAATAGATAAATAAAAGCAGAAATTAATTAACTAGGAGAATGAATAAATCAATGTCCCAATTTTGCAAGTTCAGTATAAAGTGGCCAATTAAGAAAATGATTGAGGCCATCTAGCTAATTGGATTTTTCCGGTGTAAAGAAAGGTAAAGAGTACATCTATATAGGGTCTTCTATAATGGGTGTAGGTGTAATAGTGGCATTAATATGAGTTAGTGCTGACACTTTTTCTGAATCATGCATGCAATTGTTTTGAATGGCTTTAAACTATTTCCTTTTTGCTTTCTTAGTAATAATGTGTGGAATTTCTAACCTGCTGGAATGTCGTAGATTTCAAAATGCTTTATAGAGAGGAAGTTGGGGAAGTTGTTTGGAAACTTTTGGATGGTTTGGTTCATTTCCAATGTGACTCAAGAAATAAGTCAACATTGATACAAAATATTAAACAACTATTGATGCTAAATATGGTCCTTACAAATTTGATTTACTGGTAGAGCTATGAGAGTTCACGTTTGCATGAATTATAGAATCACAGGATGTTATTTTTGACATCAAGTCTCTTAGAACAAAATAGAGTGGTAATAGGATGTTAACTCAGAGTATAATTTTGATGTCTCCTTGGAGTAACTTCTCATCCACAGTTTGTCTATAGTGAAATTACAAAAGTCAGAGGCCAATTTCAGATAAAAATTGCCACTAGTGCCTAAATAGGACAAATTGCATAATTTACTCATGATATGCTTTTGAATAGAGAAAGGGTGTGGCTTTACAACACCCTACAAAAGGCTGAAGGGATAAACCTAACTTAAAATAGAAAAAAAAACAAAACAAAAAAACATAAAGAGAGACATAATAGAGGCCTAATTATTTTTAAATGATATTCATATTTATATGCTAAGAAAATTATTAATATTTGATGTTCATCTAACCCTTTGTCTTCTTATTGTTGTCTGAGGAGCATTGATCCTACTCATTCTAGGACTTACAATTTCTTTTTATGGGATTTAGGGATTTAGAATATGAGAATAAGAACAGTATTAAGGTATATCATCTCCCTTTCTATATGCCAGAACTTTAGTTACTTACATTTCATTAGACTGTTTTATAAACATGAGGATCAGACTATCCTATCAGAAAAGATTAGATGGTACTCGGCATTAAACAAACAAATGAAATTGCACAGTTGTGTACGTGTTCAGTACATGATACCATGGACATTTTATTGCCTTCAAAATATTTTCCATCTAATCCTGTGTATCAAATGAGAATAAAACATTAGTACCCACCTGGGGGTGACTGTTAAGGTGCCATTAGGGGCTCTGTTTAAAGTCACAAATGGTCCCTCTCCAGTAGATAATGTTGGCATTGATGAGTTTGCACTCCTAAGGGAGGAAAAAATGGCAGAAGATAAAATACCAAGAAAAACATATTACATTTTAAAACATTGAATGATGCTTATCTAGAAATAATTTAATGACCTTGGGGGAATGGAGGGTGGAGAAATTGGCTGGGATGTGTTAATGAGAAAATAATCCATTTTCTGTACATCTTATATTCAGTATATTATATATATATATTAAAACATTAGCAGAATTATTATAAGGACATAAAATGTAGCCAATTTTTGAGAAATGCCTTTGACATGTGTTTGCTTGGCCTACATTTCTCTTGAGGATCTGATTCCTTTTTTTCTTTTTCTTATAAATTTTATTTAAATTAGAAACAATCTTATTTTACATATCAATCCCAGTTCCCTCTCCCACATGTCTTCCCATCCCTCCAACTCCCCCATCCCATTCCCCCCATCCACTCCCCAGGGAGGGTGAGGCCTTCCATGAGGGATCAACAAAGTCTTTCAAGTCATCTGAGGTAGGGCCTAGACCCTGCTCCTCCCCCATGTATCTAGGCTAAGAGATTATCCCTCCATGGGGAATGTGCTCCTTAAGTTCATTTGAGCACTAAGGATACAAGGATGTCAATAGTTCAATGGGTCAATTCATACTAAAGTTTGAATAAGATAAAAATAAGAATAGCATTCATGATTTAAGCCCTTATTTCCAATGTGTATAACTCATATTTCAGAAAATCAAACCACCTAAGATCTATGTACTGAAATAAGATTTTCAGAGTTGAGTTTTCAAATAGAGCTATCTGTCTGTCTGCCTGCCTATCTATCTTGCTTCTGATATTTCATTAAATTTAAGGTCCAAGCAGTCCTAATTCAAAGACAGAAGCCATGTGGTTTGTCTGAGGACCTCTGCAGCCTAGATCTGCAGTTGCCAACTTGTGAGCCATCACAGGGTGGCAAGAGATCCTACCATGTAAAAAGGCATCCAGTTCTCCACGCTGAATTGTAGTATCTTCATCATCTACTGTGTGTCTTAGTGATAATTTCTGTTAATTATCCGTACTTGTACCTTACATTTTAGCTAGAGAATCATTCAAGATCATAATCTTAAGACAAAACTATGCCTTTAAATTTGAGAGTGAGTGGGAAAGACAAGGAAAGAAGGAAAGAGAGGGTTAAAAATGATGTAATGTACATATGGAAAATCCATAACTGTTAACAACAATCATTTGATTATAAACATCCTGATTTTGCTTTATTTATGGCTGTCAGAAGACAATGTAGTTCCTGTCTCTTGAAATAACTTGTTAGGTCTGCTGCTGCCTCTTCAGAATGTTCAGTGTCTTCTGTGGACTGTAGCAATGAGTAAAAGTGTGTTTAAGTAAACAGAACACTCACAATCCACATAATCAGTAAAAAAAAATGTTTATACAGTAACACCCCTGTCTTCAAATGCATTCAATAGGCTGAACATTTATTTGGTATCTTCCAGCCACTACAGAGGAAGTTGGGAAAATGGTAGCTCTCCCTAATGTCACAGAATTTGGTATGTTGTACTTTCATTTGAAAAGCAAACAAATTTGACAGAAGAACACAAAGCCATTCATACTCCTTTAATAAAATCCCAAATGGGTTTAGCAAAACAAAGAGAAGTCTTGATAGTTTTCTTTTGGAGATTAAACTGTCTCCTACTATCATGTGAGCAGAAGAATTATTTACTATATGCACTTATATTTGTTGCAGCTTAGAAAAAAGGAAGATATGGAAGTTCTAGCCCTAAAAATTTACCAATATTATTTTACTTAAGTAGCTATACACATATGTATTTGTTGCAGCTTAGAAAAAATGGCAGAAGTGGATGATCTAATCTTAAAAGTTTTACCAGTGTAAACTAGTTCCAGGTGAAGACTGACACATTCATGTGAGAGAGAATGTAGATCAAGAGCTCTGGATTTAATCAGCATGTAGTTTCTGGGAGAAGTCAGCACACCAACTTAAAATACCAAAGAATAGATAATGGAGTATTGTCTCTGAATTTGCCAAATGCTAATGGACTAGACATTGTTGATATACTAATTGCCTGCATATGTTGTATACAGCTGTTATACATACTGTATATAGTTTTCTTATAGTAGTTATAGTTATTTTAATGTCTAGACAAAAAAGGGGGATGTATGTATGTACAAATAAAGCCTGTCTGAAGATCAGAGGGTGGAGCTTGCCACTAGCTAACCATAGAGATCAGGATGTCTGTACAGAAAGACAGGAAGTGAGATGACTGGGCAGAGAAAGGATATAAACAGGAAGACACAGGAACTTGCTTTCCTTTCCACTAGGAAGCTAATGAGGCAAAGGTGGCTTTGATTTGCTCCTTCTTCTGTCTGACCTCTCAGCATTTTCCTCCATAAAAACAAAAAGCAAAACAAAACAAAAAAAATGAGGCCTCCTGAATGAGAAGAGGCTTTATTTGTTCATGTTGGCTGCAGGCTTCAGACAACCGGAACTGATTAGTTCACTTCTCTGCTGTTGATAATTACTCTCTAATCTTCCTGTAGACAGCGTTCTTCCTGTGTTTACTCCTGTTGCAGTTTCTCATTCTGCTCAAGCTCGGACACCCCTGAGCATTCTTTCAAGTGGTTTTCCAGGTCTCCTATTTTATAGCAGATATTCCCACAGTGCCTTTTCAACACCAGGAAATATATTAAAACTGTGAACCACCCAGATCCACTTTAGAGTTACTGGATCAGAAAGTTGGTGTGAGGCCCAGCCCACTGCTGTAACAAACTTCTCAATGATTCTAATGTCTGCTACAGAAAGGAAGAAGGTCAAGCTGAAATATGACTGCTGTTTATTATAGTACAAGTTTATGCATTTTTGCTTCTATCATGATTTCTAGCTATTAGAATGTGTTTTCATACAAAAAATGGAGAATTCCATAAGTACATCTATATTAAAATGTATTGCTGGCATGTGGATTTTAGACAACTCAATTTCACTGCTCCATCCCCATTCTGTTGATATTTCTTAAAGGTATGTCCTGAAGGGACTTATCAATATCTGTGGAAATTTAAATAAAAGTAGTAAATATTAAATTACAATTTTTATAAATATTTTCACCTACTGTATTTATTAGATATCTACTGTTGGTGATAGAGGGTGGGACTGTATTTAATGACTTTACCACATCTAGTCTAAATGAAATGAAGGCTAGAGCATGAATTTAAAGATTATTGCACACATATTTTTCTCTTAGGATCTTCAAAACAATATGACATGGTGATGTTGGGGCTGACCTGAGAAGATATGGAGATATGTATTCATATGAAAAAAGACACATATTATATTATTCTCTTCTGTGTGATTCAGATGAAAATGAGACAATGGGACAGACTGCATTTAATCATGAAGCTATATTGACAGAGTCTTGCTATGTGTCCCAGACTTATATTAGTCTCATTATACATCCACAGCTAACTTTGGCCTTTCCAAACTCCTGTTCAGTCTTGAGTGCTAGAAGTGCAGCGTCATTCACCTCTGGTTTGGTAGAAAACAATGTACCTTTTCCACAATAATCTATAAAATGTCTACTTACATTCATTTTCCTGGTTAGTACTGACGTGAGAAATCTAAATATATTCTTATCCTCTATAGAGTTCATAAGCTCATATCAATATTTCCACGTATAAAAACTAAATATTATATTTGGGGAATTAATTAGAAGCAGACAGCATGCATTTAAAATCCTTCCAACTTAAAATTGTCCTTCCTTCACTGACATAATTTATTTAAGTTAGATTCACAATAAACAGGATATGAAGCAACAGAAGTATAAGAGAAACTATTAATAAGTGACAAAATAATAAAAAAATACATGGGAAATAATATATTAGCAACTATATGTGATGTTATTATAATGAGTCTTTTTCTGTCTCTCCAGCCAGCTCCCAAATAATGACAGAGACCTATTATTTATTATAAAAACTGTGCTTGAGCTTAGGCTTGTTCCTAACTAGCTCACATAATTTAAAGTAACCCATTTCTATTAATCTACATTTTACCTTGTGGCTTTTTACCTTTCTTTCATTCTATATGTCTGACCCCCACCATGTCTCCTTGGTGTCTCTTCTAGGCCTCTATTATTTCCTCCTACTTGCTCTGTCTGCCTGGACATCAGGCCTATATCTCCTGTCTAGCTATTGGCTCTTTATTAAACCAATCTCAATAACATGTTTTCACACAGTACACAACTATCCAACAACATTATTTTTGAAAACAATCCTTATAATTGATACAAATTGAATCAAGATGATTAAAACAAATAAAAATTTTGTGATAGTCTCCAGACCTACAGATTTTGATAACTCCAGAGCACATTACTTATTTTATTAATTTTTTATTTAGATTAAAACAATCATATTTTACATACCAATCCCAGTTCCTTCTCCCTCCTGTCATCCCATTACCCACCACCATTTCCCCACCCCACTCTCCATCCACTCCTCAGAGAGGTTTAGGTCTCCCATGAGGGATCATCAAAGTCTGTCACATCATTTGGGGCAGGACTGAAACCCTCCCCGGTGTATCCAGGCTGATAGAGTATTCCCCCCACAGAGAATGGGCACAGTCCATTTCTACAACTGTCTGAAACGACTAGAGATTTAGTATCATAGAGAACACCTTATATAGCTTTACCTTGTTTACATATTAGTGTCTCCTAGCAACCTATTTCCAAACCATTATTATCATTTTTATAGCTTACAAACCCATAAATAGGGCTATCCTGACCAGGAAAACTCTATTCTATGTGAGAAGAGAAGCATATACATGCAAATATTATTACTTTTTAGGTCATAGATGGAGTATAAGAATATAAAAGAATTCTGGGGAGAGAAAAAGGGCTGTCCCTAGGCTGCTTGGATGGCATTCAGTGTTCAGCCACTCTTCTCAATCCCTGCTTAGGTTGCCTCTCCTTTGTCTTGCTACTCAGACTGCATTTACTGAGATAAGGATTCCTCCCTGCAGCAAGAGCTTAGGTAGAGATGTTTTAAGCCTTTAGACACACTAAAGCTGAAGGAATAATAATGCATGCTGCAAATACTACAGCCAGGCACTGTAGCTCATTTCATACCCCAAAAGATTAAGCAATGAATAGAGCCAGGTGGGATTAAGCTAAAAGGCTTTTGGAAAAGGAACATCTTTCTTTTCAGATCGGAGGGAAAGAAGGGGATTGAGTTGGCAGGATAGAGTTCAGGACTTTTATAGACTAGGTGATGGTGGCTGGAAGAGAGTCCGAGACAAAGTATTGTACTCTAACTTTCTCAGAAGTGGGCAGGTATGTAACACTGTGTCTGAACTGGACAGATTTCAACTGCAAATCTCATTCAGTCACTACATTTATAGCAACATACCTAACATTCTCCTAGAGAAACTTTTAATAAACAGGTAAATTACACAAATTTTAGATTTTTCTGACCTAAGCTCTTTAAAGTTTGTGACATTGCATAGAAGTAAAGAAATGTCAGTAGCAGAGTTTTCTTGACCTAATCAATCCCTCCTCTGTGCATGGTACCATAATCAAAGCAAAAGAGAAATCATTGGGTCAATCTTGTCACTGTGGTCTATTATCTTACAGAAGTAGCAAGGTTTTGAAAACAAACTGCTGGCACTTCAGCCAAAAAGGAGGCTGAGAGATGAGGTTTTAGGAGCTTGTCAAGAAGGCAGGAACTTTGTGGATGCTATCTTGAGTATGGTATACAGCATGCTGTCCAGTAACTTTATTTTCCCAGATATTACTGCTTTTATTTTAATCCATTATATTTATTGGGTGTGTTGATACATGTGTGTGTGTATGTGTGTGTGTGTGTGTGTGTGTGTGTGTGCGCACGCGCGTGTGTGTATGTGTTCACAGTTGAAGTAAGTTAAGGCTTTCCCTACATACTTGAATATTCTCAAGACAGTGGTAGAAATTACAAATGGGTACCAGAATACAGTCTATCAACATATTAAGCCAGTATAAATGCCAATTTTAGTTTCAGGTTTCAGTACTTCATGCCAAATTGTTGAAATAAATTAAATGTGTGTTTTTGTGAGATCTTTCATTTTATTTTTGAGATCATAATATAATGAAAACATTTCTCCCTTCCCTTTTCTCCAATTAATTACGGTAACTTTATTTTAAAAACAAAGCTCATCCCTCTACCTGAGTATTTGCCAACAGCTTGCAGTAGAAGAACATGATGCAAGTTTATTGATAATCTAGATTTTAGAATTGAGGATAGGTTTAATAAGTCTGGTATGTAAGGTAGAGAGATATTGCATGGGAGTCTTAGGGTTAACTACTCCTCCAGGAACTCCTAATCAGGAAACAAATCATTAGCCCAATTACTCACTAATTTTCCTTAAATATTAGTAATTAATTATAATGATTTGCAAAGCAAATCTCATGGGCATGGGTTGGGCTGTAACAATGTGGGTCTAGAAAACATGATTGGAAACTCACTGTTATTTTAGCATTGCTTTTGCCACAGTGTAAAAAATTTTCTTTACTTTGATAAAAAATACGAAAAAGTTATTCAAAGTACTTTTTACTTATGCATTCTATAAATGGAAAGGAATTAAAGTGTTTAATATAAAGGAATAAAGTCTGAAGAAATCTGCCTCATGTTATTTTCTTGGATCTGTGGGGAATTGAAGCTCATACCCAAACTGCATAAATAACCCTGAGACTACAATGCCTGCTTAATAAATTAGATCCTAGATAATTTCCCACTGTACCAAACACATCATTTAAACTCACCAAAGTTTCTTTCCACTTCCTGATGCCACTTTAGATAATGCTCGCTAATGCTGTAGTGCTGCTGTCCCAGTTATTAAAGCACTATAGAGACTAATAAGTAAACATAGGGTCAAAGATTAACATCTTTGCTCGAATTACCTGCACCATTTTGGAAGAAAGCAAGTACCTGGCCCTTCTAGAAAAATATTGTATCTAAGACAATGGACTGCATCACTTATTCTTTTTTATATATGCTGAAAAACCCTACCTTTTGGTCTCCATGTTTTGCAGCAAGAGCTATGATCCATAGGAAATGAGGTCAATGAACCAGACAGTAAAATCTGGCTGGGGATGAGATATCAAGCAAATAAAGTCTCTCGCATATACACATCACAGAAAGATAGAGACAGAGGGAGAGACAGACAGACAGACAGACAGACACACACACACACACACACACACACACAGAGAGAGAGAGAGAGAGAGAGAGAGAGAGAGAGAGAGAGAGAGATTACATGTTAACAATAGTAATAAAGGAGCATGGTATACACACTTACCCTAGTTCCAGGAGATGACAAACTTCATTTGAAATTTGTGTAGTCCAGTTCTCAGCACAAGCTACATGCCAGACGCTGTTTATTTTGAACTGTACCAAACCACTGTTGTTCGTTGTGCCATTGAGAAAACGTACTAAAAATTCAGAGCATAGGATTGGGTTACATGAAACCAGGAGTGGGGGCCATGTGGGGACATTAGTCAAAAGGAAAAATTTCATCTAGACAGGAGGAAGAAAGTTTTTTTGGGGCCCAGTGTACAGTAAAGATATGCTAACCATATACTTTTAAATAGATACAAAAGCATCTTAGGTGCTTTATAGAATAATTAGTTAATTTTACTTATTCCCCATTGTACACATAGAACACAATGTCACTTTGTATCCTATAGTTATAACATCATTCTTGAAATATAAATAAGTACATAGAGATACACTGAGGATATTGCATTATATATAGGGTCATCTTAATTAAGTTCTTAGAGGAATGTCGGCCTTAGCTAAACTGTGCTCATTCTTAACAGTTAGATCTTAGTAATTGATTGTAGTTTTTTCTGGAGTATCTTGGAAGATAGAAATTGAGAAATAGAAATTTAGTTGACACAATTTTGTCTTTTTCTATGACTATAAAATAAAAAAGTAGAAACACTCAAGTTTATTTCTAGCAAATGAGCAAAATGAATCTGTATGCTTTGTTATTTCAGTAACTTAAAGTTATTTATGACAAGAATTGCTTATAAACGTAGTCACTAAAAATGAATGAAAACTGAAATTCAGGAAAAATCTCAGCTGGTATTTTTTCCCTTCATGTATTGCATTTTCATTTACCGTGTTTGCTCTTTGATTTCCACCATCCTCTTACTATCTGACAAACATTCTGCAAAGAATGTTATGGTCATTATACCCAGAAAGGAATTGAACATAACCTAGTTATCAAGCAAAACAATCCTTTGCAATGGCGGTCTGATCTATAAACGCCGTTTTGTTTTTGGTTTTACTTTATTCTTGCTAAAAGAGTTTAGTATTGAGTTAAACAGAGTGAGATCCAAAAAATATCCTTAGCTTTTGTGAGGTATATGATCTTTGACAGATACATAACTTCCCCAAACCTTAGTTGCTTCAGAACTATATCTAATACATTTTTCATGTGGGACTCTTTTTTTTTATATTGCAATACACATAATATGTGTAACCATTTTTTAGAAATTAAGCAATGTAAAATAAAATAACATATTGCTCATATCATCATTGCAATCTGAACTGGGGAGTTGGCCTGAAACCAATCAAAGCAGAAGAAATAAAAGACACTTAAGAGCTAAAAGTTGTAAAGTACCAAATCCAGAGAATTCATTTAAAACATGCATTTGGGTATTACTCCTGAAGGCAATAAACATAAAGAGTACTAAGGTGCCTGGTTTGTGTTATTTTCTGTCTTTGATATGGCCTAGTCTTACCCTTATTGCACATCGCCAAGTTTAACAAGTAATATGCACAAACTAGAAACCTATATGTTAGTTTTTCTGCGAAGCAAGATGATCTAGCTGTGCTCATATCAGGAGGGGGACTCACATTCCTCAACACTTGAAATGAATCTGTATGTAACCTTCATGTTTGGAAAATCCACAAACAAAGCTAAAGTAACACAAGTATTTTAATGAAAATAAGACATACCACAATGTTCTTCATCAGAGCCGTCAGTACAGTGTGTGTGTCCATCACAGAGATTCCCCACTGGAATGCACTTTCCATCCTTACACTGAAATTCCCCATCCTGGCATGGTTCTGTTGCACAGGGTAAGGAGATCACAGATAAAAGGTTGCTGTGTATGCATTTCATTTATGTACCTTTTGACATCAGGCCTTTGCTTTAGCACGTGGTGGAAGAAGTTTCAATGTTGAAATACTACAAACTTTCTTACCCAGAATGTCTCAGTGACAGCACTAAAGGTATACATACCTTGATCATCTGTTTTTGCAAAAGTACTTTGTGGAGCCGGGCGGTGGTGGCACACGCCTTTAGTCCCAGCACTCAGGAGGCAGAGGCAGGCGGATTTCTGTGAGTTCGAGGCCAGGCTGGACCGACAGCCTCCAAAACAATACAGAGAAACCCTGTCTCGTAAAACCAAAAAAAAAAAAATTAAAAAAGTGCTTTGTGGATAGGTCTAAAAGTTAGCTGAGACTGATCTTAAAATGAGTTGACCAGAGAGAGTTCAAACATGGCTGGGAGAGACTTCCCTCAAAAAGTTTTATTATCATGTCTTAAAAGATGAGTTTTATGTTGTGATTTCAGGAGGAGCTCTATTTAGGACACATATAATGTAGATCTTCTGAGCATGAACTACTGTATATGAATATACTTAATACCTCATGCTCTGTGGTACAGTGATTCCCAAAGAAGAAACAAAAGCCCTTAATAACAAAAAGCAGAGAGACCTCTACTTAAAAACAACTATCAAATATAAATCACTATCATGATTGTATCATTATACTAAGCTTGGATTGATTCCACAAAGTCTCAACTTAAAATAAAAGGATACCAGAAACAAACTAATGATATTGCATGGAAATTTTGTTTTAAAAAGTCACTCAATATCAGATGTAAAGCAAAGGATAACCAGACTACAATCCACAGCTCTAGAGAAGCTAGGTAACAAGGAGGACCCTAAGAGGGACACGTGGATCACCCTGTGAAGAGAAATTAGATGGTAATTACAGGGCAAACTGGGAGCAAGGGGGTAGTTAGGGAGAGGGGAGGGAGGGAGGAGAAAAGGATGGAATGAGATGGCCTAGGCAGGGAGGGATGCAGTGGAAGAACAATGAAAAATGTATCTTAACAGAGTCACTATGGAGTTAGCGAGAAACGTGGTGCTAGGGTAACTCCCAAGAATCCACATGGAGGACTCCAAATAAGACTCCTAGCAATAGTAGAGAGGATGCCTGAAATGGCCTTCCCCTGTAATCAGATTGATGAATACTCCAACTCTCATCACAGAGCCATCATCCAGTAATTGATGGAACCAGATGCAGAGATCCACAGCAAAGAACCAGGCTGAGCTCCAGGAATCCAGGCCAAGAGAGTAACATATGAGCAAGGGAAGTCAAGATCATGATGGAGAAATCTACAGAGACAACTGAACCAAGCTAGTGGAAACTCATGGAATCTAGACCTACAACTGTAGAGACTCCAGGGGACAGGATGAGACCCTCCATATGTTGTAGATAGTTGTGAAGCTTAGAGTATCTGAGGGGCTTCTGGAAGTAGGACCAGGATACAAACCTGGTACATGAGTTAGCTTGTTGGAGCCCATTCCCTATTGTTGAGTACAATGCTCTGTCTTAATGTATGGAGGACGGGCCGGACCTCCCAACATTGTACTAGACTATGCTGACTCCTCATGGGAACCCTTACCTTTGAGGAGGAGTGAGCAAGGGGAGGTGAAGGAGGGTGGGGAGAGGCATGGGAGGGAGAACTATGTATTTATATAGTATGTGCACAAACAGAGATATGATACAGTGTCATTGATTAGAAACACATATAAAACAAAGGTAAGTATTGACCTTTTGGCAAAGATAATAAAAAGTATAGATAACAAGTTTATCCTGTATTTCCTCTGAAAACAGTTGCTCTGTATTTGTTGTCTGAACAGTATTTGATGGGGAGGAGTTCTATTTTTATTGATTTTTTTCATACATATATTTGACAATTTCATATACGTACGAAGCTCCAACATCTCTACTCTTCTTTCTATCTTTAGTCTCTCTCCTGACAAGGTTTTTTTTTCTCATAGTCTTAGTTGGCTACTCCCATATTGTTTGTACTGCTGTTGTGCCAGGTTGCATGTCTTACAGACCAGTTATTATTTAGTTCTCAGGGTTTATTTATAATGGCCAAAGGTAATAATCCTTGAAAGGAATCATTTTAACTGTGAACCTAGCTTTCAGACTCAACTCTGAGACCAATATTAAATATTACTTGATGGGGGAAGGCCTTCTGTGTTTATATCTCTCTTTGGTTAATGAATAAAGCACTGTTGGCCAATAGGGAAGTAAGCTAGGTGGGACTAGGAGTGGAGGAGGATTCTGGGAAATAGAGGCAGAGTCAGTCACGATGTAGGATGCGGGAGAAGTTAAGAGGTCCTAACCCTTTCTCCGGTAAGAGATTACTTGGAAATACTTAGATTAGCAGTTATGGGCTAATAATTAAGTCAGAGCTAGCTGATAAGAAATCAAAGCAAATGGCCAATAGCTTAATAATTAATAGAGTGTCCTGTGTGTTATTTGGGGACTGAGACAGCAGCAGGACCCAAGCGGCTGGTGGGAAGACTAAATGTTACAATGAGATTTTTAAATTAATTCATCAACAGTTTCATACATTATGTTTAATTATATTCACTAACTTTCCTATGTTTGATATACTCTTTTGCCCTTCCCACCCAACTTGCTGTCATTTATTTTTTATATCCTTTGTGTCCTTCAAAACCAATTTGTGCACATAAATTAATCTTTCTGAGACTCGATTGTTTGTTTATTGAGTGGCAGTTACTTTCACTTATGAGAATAAATAAATAACACACTTGGCTTACCAATATGTGTACACTAACTGTTCAATAAATGTTACTCACAGTGAAAATAGGAACATTATTTTAAGTCCAATTTAGAAAACTTGTGGCAGAGTCTTAGAGCAGGAAAAGTAGCTGAAACTGGCTTAATATCTCCCCTTTTTGTACCTAAGTCAGAAAAGCTGATGTTTTAGTAGGCAGTGGTTATTGCAGCTTCATCACTGGTCACAGCACCGAGAATGTGACTGCACATACTTATCCTTAAATACCCCCAAAGTCTCAAAAAATATCCTAGAATGAAAGACATGGGGTTGTAACAAAGTCCATGAAATACTATCTTCCTGAGTAACATGGCTGCAGCACTCACAAGCTCATAGCACCCATGATCCCTTGCACAAGATCTACATAAGAACAAATGAGTCAACACTCTAGCATGGATGGTAGAGTCTGTTATGACTCATTATCATTGGACAGAGGAGTCACCCATGAGCCACTATCCATGCTTCCTACCTCCAATGCTATTGGAGGTTGATGGCTACTAAAGGAGGGAGAACCATTTTTTGGGGGGGAATGTGGTCCCTAGAAGATTTCCCATGATCCAGTGGATGGCCATACAGTCATGTGGATATGGGTAATCTTAACTGTACTGAGAAGGATTAAACCAAATGAATAACTATAATTGCAGCAAAGGATAAGGACCTGAGTTTGAGCCGAGGGACTCACTCACTTGGTGGAAGAAGATAGCTGACTCCCCAAAATTGTTCTCTCTCCTTGGCGTCAGTGTCATTATAAAGATGTCCAAACATATATAACTAACTAAACAAAAATTAAAAGAGCAGAGATTATAATGTTGGAAAGGGGAGCTAGGACAGGAAAATGGATGGGTATGATAAAAGTGCATCATATATATATATATGAGTCTCAAATTTAAGCTGTTTAAAATATAAACTTTAAAAATATCTGTCTTCCTTTCTCTCTCATTTTTTTACTTTATTTCCTTGTGCATGGGTGTGTTCTAACACTGAGCTCTGAAACACCTCTCTATTAACTTGGTATTCTTGTTATCGGTTATACTTGCACCATTTTCCTCTCCAAATAACAGGATAAGCAAGGAAATATGTCTAATCATTTTCACTTGGTAGCATAAAACAGTCATTGGAGCTATTTGTCTATTTTAAGCTTTGAAACATTCTATATTTTAACCCAAATCTAATTTACCTTAATAAAGATATTTTAGGAAGTCATGGCTGGCTGTTTCTGCAAATTTTTATATCAGGAGAAAAGTAGGTTGTATATCTCAAAACATAATATTATTAGGGAGGCTCTAGTAAATGTAATTATCAATTTATTTCACAAACACATATTTTTAAACAGATTACTGGGATGACAAATGGTCCCAAATGATTACATTTTCTACAAGGAAGCATGAATCTCTTACTGGAAAGATTTCTCTTTCTTCTAGGTGTTATTTCTTTAACTTTCCTTTAGAATAACAGGAAAACTTTCAAATAGATGCACCAACATAAAAATACACCGTATAAAACTAAATATTTCAGCATGCATTAATTTTTATCAGGTAACCGCACTAGCTTCAGTCCCATAATCAAATATTTTAATATACTCCATAATGTCCATCATTACTTGTCACTGTTAAATTATTTATTATATTTCCATAGCTATTATAAACATTATGTCAAATGAAGTTACAGCAACAGTCCTCATTTATGGAATTCATTTATTGATAATGATACTTCAATCATTGTGATCAAGTTATATTCATTTGGAAAGGCACATGTTGGTTAGTTAAGATAAGTAAAAGTATTAGTATAAATTTTTGAGTGAAAACATGTCCTCTTTCTCTGTCTTAAAATTATAATTTTTGTCTTTCTGTAATAAAAATTGTTAGGATTATACCTGTAGGCCCAGAAAAGAAAGCTGGTTCAGGAGGCAAAATAAATTGGATGAGAAATTACAGAATGGAGAAAAATGATATGTTGCTGCTGATGTGAATAGAAATTGTAAAATTTTAGGAAAGGTGTGAAAAAACTACCTCAAAATTTTCCATATATATATAAAATCTCAATTTTGATTTTTTTGGAACATTCAATATTTCAGGTCATTAGAAAGTCTTTAATACAATAATTTACCCTTTCTGGAGTCTGAAATCTTATTTATGACATTTTCATGCCCATGGGAAGAGAGGAAAAAAGTAATATTACACAGAATTGCGTTTTCCCATCTTCTCTTTATGAAATCTCTATAGCCCTGCTTCATTTAGTCACCATATGCTTGGTTTTTCAGAAGAAACTAAATTGGTTTCTAAGGCACACGCCACACAAGCTGGGAGGGCTCCACGGCCCTGAGATGTGACCAGATGCCACTTGTGAGTTGTCTGTAACACATTACTCAATTTCACATGAAGACTCTGAGAATCAGAAACAAGCAACAGGGACACATTCATAAGAGATTTACTGTAATAAATATCTACTGTGAACACTCAAGTTCAGCGTGTGTGGGGGATGATTAAAAGAGGATAAATACAATAGAATACGCCTCATGATAATATTTCAATTGGAAGCTTTCAAGTATTCCTAAAGTATCTCAGAAGACAAGCAAAGTTTTTAAATACTGGAAACAATTTTTAGCATAATTTTTGCACAAAGTTTCTGAACATCCATATAAAGAGACATGTGAAGCCAATCTTATATTCATTACTGGCTTGTCTTCTATTGCTGAATCCTTGTTTCTGTAACTGCTTTTCAGTCCTTTGCATCTTGATGAAAAGACATACAGAGGGCAACTGCATCACTGAACTCCCTAGTTGACTATCTTATAGGTTTGGAGTAATGGCTGCTCACAAGTGAGTACGTCTGTCCTGCAGGGAGGTTCTGCAAAGTGTTTCTCCATCTTCACTCAAAAAGATCATTCTCTTAAGAACAAGATGGTCACTGGGCTTTGGTGGCGCACACCTTTAATCCCAGCACCAGGGAGGCAGACACAGGCCAATCTCAGAGTTTGAGGCCAGCCTGGTCTACAGAGCGAGTTCCAGGACAGCCTCCTAAACAATACAAAGAAACCCTGTCTTGGAAAAACAGAAAAAAAGAAGAAGAAGATAAAATAGAACAAGATGCTCATGACCAAAACCTAGGTCTAGGGCAAACCACAGGCTAAGATCCCCTTCACATAACAAATGTATGTCTTTTGTATCAACTGCATTAAACTATACGATTTGGGTTACTTTCTCAAACAAATTTTTGTGGTAGTTTTCATAATATTTGATACACTATTTTTCAAGAGTAAGAACCATATAAGAATCAATAACTAATAATTTTGATAGAGTTGTGTTTGTTCTTGCCTTTCATAGTCTATACTATTTCAGTTTCTTTTGCCTCTTGCTGTTTGTGGTTTTGAAATATGAATGTAAAGACTTCTGACTTGTACAAATTTATTCCTCTTGAGACTCAAAATGTTAAGTAGAAAAGGCTATATATTGATAATGATTTTTATTTTATAGAACACAGTAAGATATCAAGATTTTCCAAAGCCAGGCAGTAGTGGCGCACACCTTTAATCCCAGCACTTGGGAGGCAGAGGCAGGCAGATCTGTGAGTTCAAGGCTGGGCTGGACCGACAGCCTCCAAAACAATACAGAGAAACCCCGTCTCGAAAAAAAAAAGATTTTTCAATTCATTTTCATCACTCCCAGAATGTGTGTTGCTTTGTCCCTGTGTGCTTTTCTTTCTGAATTTTTTTGTAGTTTGCTCTGTTCTTTTGCATTTTATTTGGTGTGTTGGCTTCCATGGCCATTACTATCATTCTTTCCGCTGCATTTATTATTTTGCATTATTCATTATACTTTCCCACTAGAACTTTAATAGTAATATAAATATTTTGCAATTAGAGACCAGATAAGTACATGACTTCTACTGTGGCGTGTGTGTGTGTGTGTGTGTGTGTGTGTGTGCATGTCTGTGTTTGTGCAGCAAATTCTCTCATTGGCCTAGAGCTCAGCTGAATAGGGTAGGCTGGCTGCCCAGAGACCCTCAGGATCTACCTGCTTCTATCCCCTGGCACTAAAATTACAAGTGTGCTCCACTACACACAGCTCCACAAGGGTACTTGGCTTACATGCAGGTCTTCGTGATTGTAAAACTGACACTGAATGAACTCAGATAACTCCCCTACCCTTGTTGTAAGCTATCAGGAAAACTTCTAGTCACATTGGAAATTAAAAACAGGGTATGGCAGAATTTCACTGGAAACTGCTCTGGCCAAAGTTGAGAACAAGTTTTTAGAAGTCTTCAGGAGGGACTGAGTTTCAATGTCACTTACAAATCAGGTGACAAGCAAGCACTAGTCTATTGGGAACCAGAAGTTATGTAATAATTAAGAGATCAGAATCATAACTTTATTTAAAGAAGTAATAAGGAAATATTTTTTATGTTTCTGTTAGTCAGTGTTTTTGTCCTACAAAGAATTATGTCCTACTTATAGGACATAAGTAAATTTCCTTAAAACATCAAACACAATTTGGTTTTTAATATAATACTGAGTATATTTTATCTTAAAAGCACTAAATAGTAGCTACTAACATATCCTAATTTCATTATATATGCACACTACACATATCATTAAAAATTAGCATAACCCGTATCAAATATTGAATTAAACTTCAATAGAAAATAATGGATTTTCCCAAAGTGGAAATAAAAACCTAAAGCAGTAGACAAACTATTGACAAATAGGCATAGTTATCATAAATTAATCAGTTTTAACAAAATTAGCAAGAGCAGGGCTTCTGACTAAATTTAAATGCCATGTTCCAAATTATCTTGGTTAATATTTCCAAAGCAATGATTCAATTTTTAGTTAAATTTTGAATACATACATGAATGCATTGTAACAAATATATGGATATTTTTATTTTATATGTATCATATATCATTATTCATTATGTAATAAAACTGTCAGTTTATTTTTACATGAACTCTAGTTTCATTTTCTTCATAAATTAATACGTTAGGATCAATTTTGATTTTTCAAAACTAAGTCTTTCCTCCTCCCTTTGCTTCCACTCCTTCTGCTTCCATCAGAAAAAAAAGTCTCACATGGTCTGGGCTGGTCTGGAACTCACTATGCTACCTAAGAAATAGATGACCTTTTAAAAATCTAATCCTTGTGTATTCCTGGGGTTGTTTTCCTCCTGTTTATTTTGAGTAACTTTTTTGTCTTTACATTATATTATGTTATATTATACCTTAGAACCCCAGAGGTGAGGGTATATGGGGGAATGGCAACGCTTTCGTTCCTCAAATGAAGCAGCTTCATCTGCCTCACAGCATGGGATATGGTGTGCTCTCTTTCCACTCCTTGGTCTCAGGTGTCTCTAGCTAGTGACCTGTCTTGGGAAGGTGAGCGGGTGTTGTGTCTTGCTTTAGGAGTGTTGGGAGTCTCTCCCTCTCTTTCTCCCTCTCCCTCCCTTTCACCCTCTTTCCTTTCTCCACAACTCTCCATTTTTCTCTGATTGTCTGAAGTCTCTGGAACCCATAAACAAGCAAATCCTTCCTCTTTTAATTTGACTTATCTGGTATCTGACATCAGTGATGGGTAGCTGCTCACATGGATAAATCTTCTGGGGTGAGGCAGTCATTCCCTGGATCTATTCAGATACTTTAAAGCATTTCAGTATATATGTAAGAGAGCAAATATGGCCAAGCCAGAAAACAACACTCTCCCGTAGCTTCTACATAAGATCCTGCCTCCATCTTCCCTCCCTGACTTCTCTGTGTGATGAACTAGGAACTGAAGGTGAAATAAACTGTTTCCTCTCTGAAACAAAAAATAGAGAAAAGAAAGAAAAAAGAATTTCTGATACTCCTACTTGGTCCTGGGTTTACAGACAGGTATCACTCATTGACAGACATATACATACATATAATACACATATATGAAATAACATGGACAGACACATATATTTATATATGTAGTTTGATAATCTCACTGTTTGATTCATATCACTGTTTCTGAGTAAAAAGCAGCTGCTTCTACACCAGATGGGGAAATTAGCTTATTGGGTTAGCAGTCAACACTTCCTAAGCAGCTTTCATAATTAATGTTGTGGCTTATTTGTGGGGCTAGAGAAAATGGCCATAAAACGGAAAATAGACTACTTTCTGGGATAGCGTCAACATTTCAGGCCAGCTTTGAGTGGTAGAGAAACATATAAGCATAGTGTAACCACACAACAGCATTAGCCTTAGACAATAATTCATAAGAGTAGACTCAGGCACGCATTCCTCTTCTCTAGGAATTCATATGTAGGAAAGAAAATTCATGTCAGGAAAGATGTATCGAGGAATGGGTCAGCACAAGGAAAGTTAGAGGCCGTGTAGAACCACAAGCAACAAATAATTCAAATATTTGTAAACATCATAAATATGAGAACAAACACATATCTTGTATATCTGTCTAAACCTATCTTTGTCTTGAATTAAGGATATGATAAAGAACACTGTAAGAAGGTTGTAATTGCAGCTTCATTCAGTATTAAACTCCTTCACTATAGTTGGTTTATTCTGGCTGTCTCTAACAAGTTAATGATATTTAATTTCTTAACTGGGTGTCACTGGCATCCAAAGTTCAGAAGCTTATCTCCCTCCCCCTGTCTCAGTGATATCTCGGCAAAATGAAAAGTCTTTTCCTACAGAGCCAGTTACTTTACTTTGAAATCCATGCTAAAATTTTAACTTCACTGAGTAGAAGTCAAGGGTCTTAATAGAGAAGTACTTGATATGCAAAAAAAATGTGGATTCCTGCTCTGAAAAAGAAACCTCACATAACCATTACATACTATAAAGAGGAGGGACAAAAGTCTACATTATGCTGAGAAAGACAAAATGATATCTCAGAATGCAAACACACACATTGTGACTTAAGCTTCAGAGGGGTTTGGCTTTCCTTAGTTTGCTCATACAGCTATGATGAAGTGTGTAATATTTCTTACCTGGAATCCCCAAGTAATATCCAGTAGTGAAATTTGCTTTGAAGCCAGTGCTTGTACTCATTGTGTTTGTGATGAAAAGCACAGTCATTCTGTTGGTGGTAGAAAACACATCCTTTACGGGGCCAGGTCCTGTGTACACAGCTGCCCCCAAGGGAGAAGAGACTGTGAGGTGTTTGAGTCTCAGAGATACGTGAAGAGTTTGCAAGCAGCATGGCCCCCAAAAGAGTGCACATATTCTCACACTCTAGGTACTGATTCTTAACTGATTTATCTATTAGAAGCAGAGAAACAATTCCAGAACAAAACCATTTCTATCTACTAATTACGTATAGTTTAGGTATCCTTCTGGAATTTTTATTTCCTTGATTTGTGTGAGTAATTAGATGTAAAATAATAAACTGTTATTTTCCTTGCCCATATAGGCAGTGTTTTCATTAGGAACACAATTTAACCAGAAATGAAATAAAAAGCAACCATTCAAAATATCTTTATGAATGGGTATACTGATCCAGATGAATGTTCCCCAAATCTTGCCGACTCCCATAGGATTTCATTGCTGATTTATTTCATGTGTGACTCTGAGGATTCCTTTCAGAAAAGCTGTGTTCTGGAACTTTGTGGAATTTTGTTGATATGTCTGGCAGGTCTCACTATTACTCTGGTCCTTCAGAGGTTGGTGTCTCATAGAGAGTCTTCATTCACTTGTCATATTTTTTATGTAAGTGTGCCCTGATTTAGAGAACTTCAAGCTAGGCTTTATAATGAATGACAAATATGAGTCCCAAGAGCAGCTAGATAAAACCCTGTCTGTGGTGAAGAATCATAGTTCATGTTTCCCAATTGAACATTTAAGCATCTTCCTAATTTAGTATTGGGCTTACCTTATGAAAAGGTAGTTCTTTCTTAGAAATCAGTGGCTAAATAACATAATATAATCTTATATCATCCCAATAACCTTTAAATGTGCTAGTATGTATTTGTCATTCAGACAAAAATACTCTCATGTTTAGTTACAAAGTAATAGCCAATGGATATAGAGAAAAATAAACATTGGTTAACTTTTGTATGATTCTCAGCTCTTGAGAAGTAAATGCTTCTGCAGACAGTAGTTAGCAAAACTGATAAAATACAAAATAAAATGACTTAAAATTTATAATAAACAGAATTTTATATTTTATGATCAAAGAAAATGATTTAATAATTATCTTTAAATACCTGGTGTATACAGAATGCATAGAAAGTATATAATAGGTTACATATGGCATGCTTATAGTTAACTATTGCTAACTTTTAAGAACTATGCTGTAAACATATCAATCCTGATTAGCAACAATATTCTAGGGGAGTACAATCTTGTCACCATTGCAAAGATGTCCCATAAGAAAATCCATCATGCTCTGGGATGACTTGGAGGGGGAGAAATCATAATCAGAATATACTGTAAGAAAAAAATCTATTTTCAATGAACTAAATATCATTAGCATGCTACCCTGTTACTACAGTTTTGCTTTGTAAATTGTAAGGTTCTTACATCTGCTTCAAAGTGTTCTGTCTGTACATCAAGTGTCTTGAACTACATACATGTTCATAAGACTCAAATTTCCATCTTACCTAAGAGCAAGGAGTCAACTTCTCCTCCATCTCTCACTTCAACCACATCATTGATATTTTCTAAATCAAAATCTTGAAAGTGAAGTTGAATATTTCTTCCCTTTTGTGCATTTAAATTCCATACACCTTGAAGACAATAAATAATGACAATTAGTTTACAGCTTATGTCTTTGTATTTCTTTTACGTCTCCAGTGTCTTTTTTATTTTCCTTGATCTGTCTTATTTTGGGCTAGGAAAGGTAATATATCGGTTTGGTCTTAAACATGTATTGTAACAATTCAATGATATTTGATATAAACTCACCATTATTAATTCATTTTATACAAAATAAAATACTTTATTCAAAGGTTTTACATAGCCGATTAATAACTATCATACAAAGTTTAAGAACATTAATAGGTATTAATAGTCTACTTCAATTTCTTTGTTTTCTTCCATTCAGTGTGTGTGTGTGCATGTGGGTGTGCGTGTGCATGTGAGTGTGCTTGAATGTGTGTGTCTCGGGGGCTGAAGCTCCCACAGTGCACAGAAGACAACCATTTAAAATTTAACACACACACACACACACACACACACACATACACACACACACATATACACACACACACGACCCACACCGGTGTCACATTGGAAACCTCCTGGCTCTTCTCTCCATCTTAGACTAATTGTAGACTCACCCCTAGCTCTCTTCATATCTTCAATCCTGCCTCCTATGCCCTTCACTCTTATTCACTTCTCAACATGCATTGCCTGGTGTAGATATTGGGGTTCAAGCTGAAGATCACAAAACCAAAGCAACCCGTCACTAGGGAGTTCTCACTTCTACCAATACTCAGACCAAAAGGGGCAATCCTGCCCCCAGAGTGCATCTCCAGACAGCAGTGCTCTTCAGAAAGCCTCAGAATCCTAGACTGCTCCCTGAGATTGCACTGAGCTGCTTATGTACTCTCTAGTGCTGGGATCAAAGGTGTGAGCTCTTTTAGACTGATTCAGTCTTTGGGTGGTCTTGAACTTACAGAGATCCTGAGTCCTGTCTCCTGAGTCCTGGGATTAAAGGTGTGTGCCACCACTGCCCAGTGTCTATGGAAGTGGCTGGCTTTGCATTCTGATCCTTCAGGCAAGCTTTATTTGATCATAAACCATATATCACCACAATTGCCCTATCAGAGTACAGGATGCTGACAGTTCTGAGGGCCTAATTGGAGATGCCACTGACACTTCCTTCTCACCCTGTCTGTAATATATAGACTGATTGATTTTTCTGAAATGCCAGTTTGATACTACCATGCTTCTGGAAGCTTCTTCTTCTTTCTTATAAATTTTTCATGTCCCATAACACACAGAAAAATTTCTTCATATTGCCAATTTAATTAACAACAGTTGTTGAGTTTTACTTAAAAGAGTCAAGAAAGCCATGTTTCCAAGTCCCCCTATAATGCCCTTTTTACTCTTATTTTAATGGTATCTTGAATATTTGTTATGCCTGACCCTTTATCTGAGTATCCATCTAGACAATAACATTGTTTATTTGATAAATAAAATTCTTGGTAAACATTGGATGAATAAAAGAACTACAAACAACTAAGGAATGCTGAGAACAAGAGAAATAGTCTTTCCCTGGGAAAAGCATACCAGTTGGTTTTCCATGACCAAATGATTATTCCCTGACAACACATAAAGTAACATTATACTGTTTATATATATATATATATGTTTATATATATATATACATATACACATACATATGTATATACTGATGTATATGATACATAGTATATATTCTGATATATTTGTATAACCTAATATACATATTTACATATATATGTATATATATATATTTGCATGTAACAACCACTCATGTTAAAAGAAGTCATGAATTTGAAAGAGAGAGAGAGAAGGGATATATTGGAGTATTTGGAAGGAGGAAAAGGAAAGAAAATGATGTAATCATGTTATAATATTAAAAATAAAAGCTGATGGGGAAAGTCCTGTGTATATGTTAATAAAGCACCGTTGGCCAATAGGGAAGCAATATAGGTGGGACTAGGAGTCGAGGAGAACTCTGGGAAGGAGAAACACAGGGAGTCAAGATGTAACTGCTATAGGGATAAGAAGCCCAGAAAGTTCTCCGGTAAGAGAAATACTTAGATTAACAATTATGGGATAAATACTTAAGTCAGAGCTAGCCAGTAAGAAACAAGCAAGGCCAACAGCTTCATAATTAATATAGCCTCCTGTGTGTTCATTTGGGACTGATGAGGCTCTGGAACCAGGCTGGCGGGAAGGCTATCCCTTTACATAATGGTGATCAGAAGCTGGATCATGAATTTCCACGCAGAATGACAAAAGCTTTAAAGGAATTTTAGAAACAAAAGAATGGAGAAAAGCATGGGTTCTTGGTAGCAACATTTTTCTCAGGTGGGCTCTGTTTTGCTATTGACAAGCAAAGACTCACACGACTCGCTTAAGGGAGTCTTCCTGACTCAGCATAAAAAACAACAACAACAACAACAAAAACAAAACAAAAAAAACCCAACAAGGTTCTTTTAATAGGCTCTGCTAATGATTGACAGGTGTGTACGTACAGCTGGAAGTGGCAGTGACCACATCTCCAAGCCAGCAACTTTTGCTGGATGTCAGCATAGACTGAGACAGTGAGCTGGAGTCACGCTTATGCCCGCCATCTTAGAAAAACTGCAGATTAAACAGCCACGGTTTTACAGATAAGACACGTGGCCAGAAAAACATAAAGATTTACAGTAAAGTCAGACTTGGATGAAGAAAAACCTCTAAAGGTTTACAGTGTTTTTAAAAATATATGTAAGATTGAGAGAGAAAAAGAAACGGCATAGTGGTAAATAAGTAGAGAAGCCGGCTGTGGTGGTGCACACCGGTAGGAATTGTTCCAGAGGCAGAGGCAGGCAGATTTCCAAAGAGAAACTCAGTCTCAAGAAAATAAATAAAGAAATAAAAGTATAATAATAGATAAATAAATAAGCCATGTAAAAATGGAAAATACACAGAAAGTCTGGATACTGTACGCTATTGTGTTTTTCAGTTTTTTGATTGCTAAGGAAGGAACAATTGCTAAAGTACACTTGATTATAATTGCTGCTGAATTAATTCAACTTATCTTTTGAAAATGCCTTGACTTCAAAATTTAAGTATAAGGATATGTTGCTTTGGAAAAGAGTTTAGTTTATGTTTCTACAGAAAATGAAAAGCTGAGGATTCTTTCCAGGCTTCTGTGGTTTGATGAACCAAGACCCCGGAAGCAATGGCCCAAGTGATTCAACATCTAAAACAGCTAAGATGATGCAGATTTACAGACCATGAAAAGGACTTATACAGGTTTCTGAGTTTTGTCATGATCACCATGGTATGAACAGTGCCCCCTTCCAGCACGAAGCAGTTTGGAATGAGCGATGTCCTAATTCCCATCTTGTTTATAAATCTTTGTTTTCATTTAAATGGGGTTGCTTATAATTGGTTAACGATCACAACCAATCTCTTTTCAAAGGAAAAAGGGGATTATGGTATGGAAATGAATACTTTGTATTGGTATGGTTTTTCATTTATTGATACAAATTCAAGGTCAATTTTGTGATATGTATATTTCTCCTCTTGTTTAAGAATTGTGCTTAGACTGATCTTTTAAAATGTAATGCATAATTGAATACAGACTATAGATAGTAACTTATAATAGTCAGAACTTATAGTTAGGTTTTCTATATATACCAAAATATATTTGAGATAGATAGTCTTCAAACCTTTCAAATACCTTCAGAAAATGGCATTTAAAGTGGTTTAGGGCTTTTCTTGACAATGAGAAATGTCTGCTCCTGGCAGCACCAATTATATCTGAGAGGAAGATGGGCATCAAAGAAACTTGTTATGGAGTTTGCTTTCAACATGGCAAGATTAGCCATTTGGGCAAGAAACTGCTATTGCCTAGACTGCTTGACTGTTACTGTATAAACTGGACATGCAGGACCCACAGGAAAGCGACTATTGAACTCAAACAGTCCTACAGGGTTCCTGCTTCATGGAAGAGTATACGAGACTTTCTACAGGACACAGAAAAATGACTGACAGACTGCTGATGCAGATGGACAGGTTGAAATTTCCTACTTTGCTGAGAAATCTTCTGGACACATTGTGGCCTGTGGGCTGAAGATGGATACCCCAACTTTACAGAGGAATTTCGGGTGACTGTTCAGGCAGCAAGATGTCTCTGTCAATCCTAGTGTTTATATATTATCCTTCTGTGGTCTTTGATAGAGTTGAAGGCAGATAGTTACAATTACAGTTTTCCTTAGTTATGATAAAAGATAAGCTACATATAGAACTTTGGATTCACAAGGATGGGATGGATGATATTTTCTTTAAATCTTGCTAAAAGTTGATAGACAAAATGTTGTAACTGCATTCTTGCTTGATACATGTTCTGTTATATATAATTTGACTATGTTAAAGTTAAGACCTTTCTTTTTGTTTAGACAGAAAAGAGGAGATGATGGGAGGAAGTCCTATGTATATGTCAATAAAGCACTGTTGGCCAATAGGGAAACAAGATATGTGGGACTAGGAGTTGAGGAGAACTCTGGGAAGGAGAAACACAGGGAATCAAGATGTAACTGCCATAGGGATAAGAAGCCCGGAAAGTTCTCCTGTAAGAGAAATACTTAGATTAACAATTATGGGATAAATACTTAAGTCAGAGCTAGCCAGTAAGAAACAAGCAAGGCCAACATCTTCATAATTAATACAGCGTCTTGTGTGTTATTTGGGGACTACAATGTGGCAGAGCCCAGGCTAAACTCTGAGCTGAACTCAAGGAACCCAGAGACAGAGAGGGAGGACTGATGAGCATAGGGGTCAAGACTGGGCTTGTTCAGAAACAGCTGACCTGAACAAAGGGGAGCTCTTGGGCCTCAGACTGATGGCTGGGAATCCAGCATGGAACTGATCCAGACCCCCTGAATGTGCGTGTCAATGAGGAGGCCTAGGCAATCTATGGGGCCTTGGATAGTAGGTCAGTATTTATCCCTGGCATACAAATGGACTTTGAGTGCCCATAACAACGAGAGATGCACATTCAGCCTGGACTCTTGGGGGAGGGTCTATGCCCTGCCCTGGATGAAATGATAGACTATGGACAACCCCCATGGAGGGCCTCACCCTTCTGGGGGGCAAGGAGTGGGGACTGGGGAGGGGGTGTTGGTTGGCTGGTGTGAGGGCATGGGAGGAGGGAGGAAAAAGGAGAGAGAGGGATCTGGGGTTGACATGTGAAGCAACTTTGTTTCTAATTTAAATTTAAAAATAAAAAATTAAAGAAACAATAAAGATGCTCTTAGTTGTTTCAATGACTAAGTTTTAGATTTTTAAACCTCTATACAAAAGATATAATTCCATGCTGTCTTCAGCATGGTTGGTGTATGGGGAAGATGAGCTTTGCTTCCACATTCAGACCATGTTAGACTAGTATCTACCTATTTGTTTGCCTTAATGACCTCTATTCGCCTTGAAATTTCTACCTATCTCTTTTTGAAGAGAGGCTCACATTTTAAAATCCCCTTTTCACTGCTATTGCTCTATTCATCATACTTGCTCAATACTGCATTTGAGTCTTAACTAAGCATGAACATGGAACCATGGAAAAAACATGGCTGCTTCACAGCCCATGACTCCTGATTTATAAATTTTGTAAAACAGAATGGAGACTGCAGATGTGTAATGCAGATTATGCAGTCTTCAGATAACCATCTGTAACTTCGGAAACTATCTTTGTTTCTCTAGATAGTTACACTAGCCCAGTGGCAACTTTTGTAATTTTCTTTATAGGTTGCCTTCTATAGAGTGAGATATTTCAATAGCCCCATTATTCTCTCATTGGTGCTGGGAGTCTAATCATGTTACTCTGGTTGTATTCTCTATTGTGTCTAGTATGTGTTTCCTAAGGGGAAAAGTGTTACATCGGCTGTTTTGACCCTTTGCATTGGCTTTGTTCTATAAAGCCACAAACATTCTGTACATACTCCAAGGATTACAGGAATGAACCAGGAAATTGATAAGAGAAACACCTGGAACAAGAGTGACTGCCCGACGGGCCTTACTATTGTGTTTTTATTCTGGAATTGAAATAGTGCAAAACACTGTAAAAAATGTGAGAATTTACTGAAATCTTGCATAGTGAATGCTATTACTTTGCCTGCACTTTTAAATTTAGCAAAGAAAAAATAGGCCATCAATCTGAAAGAAATCAGAGAAGGATATATGGGAGGGTTTGGATGAAGAGAAAGCAAGGAGTGGGGAAATGTAACTATAAATACTCTCAAAAGTGAAAGAAATAATTAAGGAAGTATTTCTTACATAGACATGTTACTGTGTCCATTTGACAAATTCACAAACTACTTTACTACGTTCAGAGGGGCAAAACTTTGTTATATACATTTTCTCTTGGTAACCTGGTAAAGAAAGGACTCACAGAAAGCTTGATTAGGGTAGACATCTGGAAAGTTTGGAGAACTGAATGTTGTATTTGGCTCCCATAGTTCAAAAGGTCCTCCGCAGTCGGCTGAAATGGATTAAAAAAAGAGTCATTAACTACACTGCTTTATCCTACTGGATGCCAGACATTGTAAAACTACATTCCCCAGAATGCCAGTTTTGACAGATTTATTTTGCAAGTTCTGTAAGTTGTTAGGGAAACATGACAGTACATCGGGGTCCTTCCTAGAAATGATCTCACAAACTTTATATTCTTACTTCCTTTACAAGTTCCAAGAGATTATAATAGTGTTTAGAATCGCTCATATTTGTTTGACCAATGGAAATATTTTGCAAAACACAAGAGAGAAAATCATACCTGCAGAAAAACATGAATATTTATAATAGACACATCCCATCCAGGCCACTATCCTAGAAGAAGGGCAAGTGCCGGCATGTCACCGATCTAGCAATACAGACTTGCCTATTGTTTATTCTTAAGGTACTGGCCTACATGTTGCTAAAAATTGAAACATTTGGTAGTTGGTAAGCTGAGAGTGACATTTTCTCTTCCTGTTTGCAATTCTTCTGAGGGAAAGCATGTTATGGCACACCTGTGATCCACAGTCTTAGATTATGGAGCAGGAAGATTTGAAATTCAAGATCTTCCTGTGCTATATGAGAGCCTAAACACAACCACCCAACCCTAAAGAAACCAACAACAAAACAAACATTTATAGTATTGTTTCTTGTTAGATCTGTTACTCAACATTTTGCAACAATTAGGTTTTTCAGTACTTACTTATATTTTATTATAAAATTAGAGCCTACATCTTCTAGTTCTGACTATGATTAGGTGTGTTAACATTTTATTATACAGAATATATTTTATTTTCTTTTTATATATTAGAAACAAATCTAAAACAGTGTAAGAATTGACTGAATGTGTTAGGGTCCCGACCCAGATTTTAATCCTTGTTATCACTGCTATATTTAGAAATGATTTCCAAATTTTTTCTCTGTCAGATTTTTGTATATAAATTAGAAACAATCTTGTTTTACATTTCAATCCCAGCTCCCTCTCCCTCCAGCCCTGCCTTGCCGGTCATCATCCCCCTATCCCATCCCCCTATCCCATCCCCTTTTTGCTCCCCAGGGAGTGTGAGGCCTTTCATGGGGGATCTTCAAAGTCTGTCAGATCATTCGAAACAGTGCCTATGCCCTCCCCTGTGTGTTTAGGCTGAGAGATTATTCCTCTATGTGGAATGGGACAAAATTCATTCATATGCTAGGGATAAATTCTGATCCACTACCAGAGGCCCCATAGATTGCTCAGACCTCCTAACTGACACCCAGGATCAGGGATTCTGGGTTGGTCCTGTGCTGGTTTTCCAACTATTAGTCTGGTGTCCATGTTCAGGTCAGTTGTCTCTAGATTTCCAAATTTTAAATAGCCTAATTTAACTGTATGATGCATTTCCCCTTTAGGGAAGGCAAACGAGGCTAGATTTTATATACTTAATAAGTTGAAAATGATAATAGGAGAGGCATAATTAAGAAAACTCTACCCATGCAGAGCCTTCAGTCTTACCTTCTTTCTAAATAATATTAATCTATGCACATTATCAGCCTTCTTTACTTTACCTAATCACTTAACGTCTTGTGAATGTGTACACATGCATGTATGTTTGTATAGGTCAGATTGTGTGTGTGAATGTGTGTGTGAATATGCTTGTATCTGTTTGCATATGTATTTGTACTTGTAGATACATATGTTTGTGTACTGGTGTGAGGTTGATCATGTGTTTGTATGTGTGTGGTTTTGTTGTATAAACATGTGTGCATGTGTGTACACAAGAGAAGACATGCATGCTTATTTTTGTATATATATATGTGTTCACATGAATGCGTAGAGTGTAAATTTTTGTGCATAGCATATTTGTTTATGTGTATGTTAGAGTGTGTACGTACTTATGGGTATATACTTGTAAAGTGGGTAAACAGGCATGTGTATAATTTGTTTAAATGTCTGCATTATATACTCATGAGTGTGAATTAGTGTATTTGTATATATTATGAGAATAATATACTTATATGTGAACTTGCAGATGTGTATTTGTGTATGTGTGTATATGTGTGTGTGCATGTTTGCAATTCATCATTGTGTTTCAGTTTTTATGTGTGTATATGTGCATGTGAGTGTATATGTAAGTGTATATACTTGTGTGTGTGTGTGTCCATTTGTTTGTCTGTGTTCATGAAAGACTACTTCTACATGTGTTTCAGTCTGCATGGGTATATGTCTGTATGTATGTTTATGTGAATATGGGTGTTTTTGTGTATTCATGGTATGCTGTGTGTATATACCTGTGATTATTAAGGTGTATGGGTTTGTACATGTACACCTGTTGTGCTTACCTATGTTTGAGTATGTGCCTGCATGTTTGTGTCTATGAATACATGACAAGAACGTGTGGCCCTGTGTGTGAATTTGTGCATGTATATGTATCTTTGTGCATATGTATATTTGAATGCACATGTCTTGGTGTTTGCTTTTCATTCAGGAATGTGTGTTTTATGAATGTGTTCATGTGTAAGTGTATGTTCATGTATGTGCTGTGTACATGAGCATGAAAGCATGTACATTTATGTATGCTTTGAAATGACTGATTTGTACAAGTGTGTTTTCATATGTGCACATTGTTGTTTTCCCCATTTTCTACTTAAAGAGTAGGAAAATTTCTAAATCAAGCACTGCAAATACACATAACTGAAATTTTGGCCCCTGTTTGAATTTTTATATAATTTAAAGCTTAACTGCATATTACATGAGAAAGATGAATAGGTTGGACTTTAATAAACTTACAACCAGAACTAAAATAATGTCAGTTCTAACTGTTGAGCCTAATCAGGCAGATAGTTTACTCAGCATTTATTCTGCAAAGAAAAATCCTAGGAAAGTCATTCCCTTAAGGTGGGTGCTTAAGACGCCCATTTTGAAAGATACTCAAATTATAATTTCATATCTAATAAGTGACCAGTAAAACCCCTTTGATCTTTATACGGAAGATGCCTCTGTAACTGCCTCCATGTTAATGACTGTAAGAAATAAGCAAATTCACCATGTGCCACTTTGGGTGTCACAGCACAACTTATTTTAATGGCAATGCTGCCACAGTGGGGTGCAGCCCATGATTCTTAGCAGAAGAGCTGTAGACTGATGAGCCACGACTCTAGAAATTGCTGTCACGGTAGGCTATTAGGTAATCAATGCCTGCACATGCAATGGGATTTAAGCGACCTGACTGGCCTGGAGGGTCTGTCCCTAGCTAGATTAGGTTCTCACTTTTGACATTTCTAGGTGCTGTTCTTTCAAATGTTTGTATTTGATGAATCTATTCTAATGTAGAAATTTTCACTGCACACGTGATTTCTCATTCTCCAAGGAAGTTTCAAAGATGAAGTATGTCCTTGAGGGATTCTAGTGGTAACATCTACTTAAGGCCAACAATTGTAAGGTATGTGTCCATAGGGAGGTGTGTGCAGGAGGTGAGGAAGAGAAGAGTCCAAGTCTGACACAATGAGAGAATTTGAATTAAACAGGTGGAATAAAATAAGAAATGAAGACATAATTTCAATTATTAATAGGCTTCTGATTGGTACCCATTTATGGGGGTAATAACAGATGTAACGAGAAATTATAAATCATGTTAAATTTATGTGAAAGTAATTTTTAATATTCTCAAGTATCACCTGTTATTTTAGCAAGACACAGTAAATCTTTTAATATTATATGGAACATGTTAATAAGTTATGTTATTATCCACAATTAAATTTCTCATGAGAATTTGGGGTCCAATTTTTAAAAGTTAACAATCTTAAGACATTTTTATAACTATTCATAATGTAAATATTTTATTAAAATTGTGAAATAAATTAATATTTCATTTGTTCTTGACATAAATCTAACCAACTATAACACTAAGTGAGGCTAGTTGTTTTAAAGTGATGAAAAAACAATAGGAAAAGGTCATTTGGGAAAGGGTTCTATGAATGCAATTAATACCTGTGTGTACTATGGGTTGAATATTAAGATGAACAAACACCATAGAAGTATGGTCTGTAGGGAGAGGCATATTGATTTCCACATGGAGAACTTGTCAACTTGTTTAGCAACTTTTTAAAAAATTAACTCTTACTGTGTGTTAAGAAATGAAAAATGGCTTAAACCATAACATGACAGAGAAAGCAAAAACCTTAGAAGTAGTGAACATTGAAATGGCCAAAGCCGGTTTTTTCAATTAGGGGAGCACCCCAGAAATCAGCCAGGGCCTAGAGTGCAGATTTCTTTTTGTCTACATGTACTGTACTTTACCACAGAGATTCAGCATTGTTTGTCAAATTGGTATGATGTTTGTGTAACAGAATATTAGCTTTTATAACATTCTCCAAGTACAGTGCCCATATTGAAATTAATTGTATCAACAAACATCACAGGCATCATCCTGGAGCAGAGAACAAGGTCAGACGGTAGAGGAATCTCTGCAATTATGAACATCCACAAAACTAGACTCAACACAAATCTCAGGAAAGGAGTGGGCAGAGTTTTATTATTCACCCACTTGTCTGAGATTTTCTTATTTAACTGCTCTGTAAAGAGTGAAAGAAAGGTTTTAGCTAGTCAACCATGGTTTCCTTTTATTTTTGCTTAAACAAATCAGTGATCTAGAATCAGAATAGCTCTGCACAGATAGGACTTCCATTGACCCATCTGCAAAAGGCATTAGGAAGAAATTGTTCAGAATGAGTTGGATGATAATTAATATTTTTGCTGCAACAAACATTGGCTCAAAGTAAACCACTTAGAAAGCGGAACAAACACACTCTGGGAAAATTCTAAACTTATCTATTAAAAGCAGATTGGTTATTCTAACAGTACAATTTCCCCATTGCAAAAGTTTCTGTACATTGAGATATTGTGATTTTTCTTTTAGTAGCTAGAATAGATATCACAATGGTAAAACGAATATATAGATTTTAACAAGGGAAACCATGTTGTATTCATTTACTTTATGTGCAATGATATAAAAAGGTCATCTCAGATTTTACAATTTAAGTGTTATGATTTGGTTTATGTCTTAAATACAGAGCTCTGAGATTGTACTATGGAAACATAAACAATCTTCAAACTAATAGTGATTTTAAGAATTCTGTACATACAATTTTGCATAAAAATGTCATATAAGTGTTGAGAGCCCACACAGAATGGAAAAGGACTCCTATATTCAGATGCCACAAAGCCCAAATTACTGCATTCATATTGGTATTAACCTAAAAACTTAGTTCCAATGACAAAAAGAGGAATATGACAAAACATTAGGTTAGCAAAAAGAATTCTCAGTATGTCTAGTAATATTTATTTGCTGTTGTTTCATATGGTACTAGAAACCAGACAGATACAGTGAATTATCAATGGGCTAAATTGATAAAAAAAATAGTGTTGAGAAGCACACTTGCGCATCTGCCTAATTTATCAGAAGCCTTGCAGTTCATCCCCAGGGCTAAAAAAAATGAAATAAAACCTCTGCTTTTTATTTTTCAGAATTTACAGCAGTGTCGAAATTCTTTTCCCGTCTTTCAGATTTCGGAGTGCTATTTTTATACACACATTTGCTTAATTAAATCTTGTGCAACTCATGCCTTCTCACATATTATCCATACATAGTACACTGTTTAAAAATATTTGTGGAGTTAAAAAATTCCACAACTCCTTACCTACACCTCTTAGGTTTCTTTGGCAATGCGATTTGTAGAGTAGATATCTAAGACTTAATGAATGATGAGAATAATGTGTAATTCAGGAAATATCTAAACATGTCAGCATGCAAGGAGAGTGGACACTAACTTTTTGGTGGGATATAACGAATATTCTGATTGACAGCATGAGTCCTGTATGAACTACTACATCTTTATTCAGTGGCAGCTCATTTGTTAAAAGATGTCAAATACCAGTCGCTTTTTTTTATAGGACTTTGGGTTTGTTAAAGCCATTTAACTGGAAATGTTTGCTTCTTAAAATAAAAACAAAGCAAAACAAACAAAAACCAAATACAACAAATATGTTTAGTTTCTCTCTCTCTCTCTCTCTCTCTCTCTCTCTCTCTCTCTCTCTCTCTCTCTCTCTCTCTCTCTCTCTCTCTCTCTGGACAACTATGTGAGTCAGTTCTCTCCTTTTTCATGTGTGTCCCATGAACTAAACTCAGGTCATCAGTTTAAGTTGCAAATGCCTTTATACGCTGAACTCGTTTGCCAGGCTCTTTTGCTTTTTATTTGTTTGTTTTGTCTTGTTTAAACTTGAAGTTTGTATGTAGAAAAATACATGCTCTTGTGTGTGACTAATTTAAGTGTTTCAAACAAAATTAGAAGAGGAAATTCTGTGTTTGAGTGTTCAGATATATGACAGAATACATTATTTGACTCCCTCAGATTCCCATGACCTCAAGAAAAAGGGATGTTGTCTCAAAACATAGCACTGCACTGAAAATAACCTAATAGAGCACAATAGGAATATAAGGTATCTTTATCTGTGATTGTCCTTTTATAGTCTGTCAAATCCAGTGGTCTGGTAATAGGATGTGTTCCTTCACACATGGATAAGATAAATGGTAATGAGGGTTTTAAGCTTTTCAATTTGACCTAAGGAAAGTAGACATAGATCCATTTTGTTCTTTGGAGTTAAAAGTTCTGGTAGGATTGAAAGACTTAGTTTTTGCTCAGCTAAGCAGCTACCAAGGGAGGGTATTTCAAAGCCTTATTGAGGCATTGTTTCAGGAAGTAAATATATTCCATTTGTTAGTGCTCTCTTGCAAAAGTTTCAGCTTAATATTTGCTATCAAATTTATTCTAAAATTGAATTGGGTGTGTGGTGGTTTGAAAGAAAATGACACCAAAGGAGATGTGACTTTGCTGGAGTTGGCATAGCCTTTGTTGGAGGAAGTTTGCCACTATGGAGGCGGCATTTGAGGTCTCATACATGCTCAAGATACCACCATACTCCCAGTCAACATGCTCCCTTCAATCGTGATAACGGACTAAACCTCTGAAACTGCAAACCTCCATCAGAGTTAAATGTTTTCCTTGAAATGTTATTGGGGTCATGGTGTTTCTTCACAGCAATAGATACCCTAAGTAAGATGGTGTTTCAGTCTTAACTGAGCTATTGTGAATTTCAAATATTTTCCTAAAATGACAACTAGAAACTCATCAACTCTTCCCTAAAGACAGTAGCTTCATACTCAACACCACCAATGTGGCATTGGAATTTTATTTTAATGAGAATGAAATAAAAATTAGAAGTTATTAAATTCAAGAATGAAAATTACTAAAATATCTTAAATATGATCAATAACTAAATAAAAGATGACTCTGTATATTCATCATATTATTTTCCTAGCTATCATTTTTCCTATGACCTTTAATTTATTTTTATTTTGATTTCTCCATTGAAATATTATTAGGCAGAGATAATAAAAATAAGCCAAAACAAGATAGATTCATGATTTAGGGAATTCATGTAATAGGGTTACTTACTAGGAAGCTCTGGTGGAAGGGTGGGAACCAAAGTTGGTTCTGGATAAATACTCTCACTACAAATTCCATTTGTTAGGCTTATGTCATCCAGGGCTATTGTACTCCAACCTCGGTTTCTAAAAGCATTGAACACAACCTGAAATTCAGAGAAGCACATAATATTATTCCACTCTAATAATTTCTGACTTCGTTCTTCCTATGGCTTAATAATTGGTATTGACAATTGCAAAATGTGTAATAAAATATCCTGTATAAATTCTTTTGAGGACAATCTGTCCCCACACCTGATAGTATTGGGGGATCACCCCTACAGAACTCAGCTTTTGTATTATATGTAAGTGTTAGTAAAATATGCATGTATGCCTTCCTTATGATTTATATCTTTCTCCTGATTTTATCATACTCTGTTTTACTTAATAAAGCCTACACATAATTTAGGAGAGAGAAGCCTCCTCCCAATTATATTAAAAGTTAAAATATCTGTTTTCCTTCATAGTACATTATAGTCTTGAAGAGAAGATACTCTGATTAGATCATTTAAATAGAAAGCAAGGGGGACAAGAAAAAATGGCTAGCATAATATGAGCATTCAGGTCCATCTAGTACACTCAATGTTCTGAGATGGCCTTCATATGAAGGTGCTAATTTCAAGACCCATAAACAATCTTGTCTCAGTTCTTGGGGTCAGAGACACCACAGCAGGTTCTCAGATATGGTGGATGTGTTCATTTATATTTCTTTGTTCCTGTCTTCAGTAGGTTAATAATGGCATGAACAAAATATTTGCTACATGTTACTTGCTATATGAGGCACATGATATACAGTATTTTATTTGATTTTTCAGCATATTATATATTCAATTCACTGTGTCCATTCATTCTGTATATCTCATACCAGAAGCACTTCCAATAAGTGTGAATTTATTCCTTTCCCAGAGGAGAAAATAAAATTTTAAAGAGATAAGAGCAAGTTGTCTGGCATAACCAGAAAGAAAGTTAATATTCTCCCAGGGAGAATAATACTCTCCAAGCCCCACTGCATGACTGAAATTCCAAATAGCACCAAACCTCATGCTGATCATGGTATATCCTTTGTTATCTTACCTATGGAGAAGTATGATTTGTAAATTAGGTACAATATGGATCGATGATAGTAGCATAAAGTAAAAGGACAGCTTGCTGGGCAGGAGTTTCCCCCATCTTTCAAGGAAACTCCTTAGAAGGTAAAACATTCCTTCCTGCAGGGAAATTCTTTCAAACTCAGGATGTAGACCACTCAGTAGATTCAAGAATTCCTTCAAACTGATGAGGTTCCCGTGGTTGGTTCTCTTCAAGATTTTATAAGTTGTAAGAACGGTTGAGCGACACTCTCAGACAAGCTAAGCTACCTGGATGGGGTCATATCAGCTGAGTCAACTGGAAAAGATATTCTCCAACCACTGAAGAGTTTGTTTCAAGGTTCCAGCTCCTATGGCCCATCATCTATGCTGTATAATGCAGTTGTCTTTGAGACATTTCTGCTCTTGTATGTACCCCTCAACCTCACTCTTACAAATAATCCCAATGAATTTGATTGGTTTGCTGAGTTTGACTTTGCTGGTATCTTTACATTGGCCTGTCATGGGTTCCCTATCTGGGGTGGGTAGATGTTAGTTCATATGTTCCCAAGATTAGTATCTCAAAACATAATTATAACAGTACACTATATAAAATTCATGTGATGGGAATTATTTATTTCAAAGTTTACATTCAATGCTTTAGGACTCCAATAAACTAAACCATTGACACTAAATCATGAATAAAGTATCATCACTGTGCAAGTGAAATGTGGCAGTATCTATCTGTTTGTTGAGCTAAGTCCAAAATCCTGGATAATTACGAGTTTGGAAAAGTACCTCTGTGGCCAGAACTGTCTGCAGAAACACTGATTCCCTCGTTTTATTCACATTCTTTTATTTCTATTTGCTATTCCACTTTTCCTTATTTGAATCATCAGAGAACAAACAAAATTAAAGAGAATTTCATAATAAAGGCTAGAATAAGAAAACATAAAGGAAAGAATGGCAGGAAGAATGCAGACAAGGGTTACTGATTATGGCTGTATGTTGGAGGGGAGACTATGTCCCTGGTGATGATATTGTCTCTTCAAGTATACATCTTCTAAAAGTGATACTAACTTTTTTCAAATTATTCAATTAAGACATTGTTAATTTGGTCAAGCTAATAGGGCACATTATCCTATATTTTAATAGCAACAACCCTTAGGAAATGAAGACATTAAATTCTTATCTGGAAAAATTAATTCAACCTAATGCAGAATAAATGATCAGAGACTTCCCAATGATACAGCTCATAAAGTTTCTTTCTAAAGGAAATCCATGGAGATTAAGTCAGAGTGGGGTCAGTTGGTGGATATTGATGGGCATGGATATCCAACTATGAAATGATAATTATCTAGAACATGTAGAGCTCAATAAGGTAAGGCAGAAGTATAGATGAAAGTGTTAATGAAGGGAGATGAAGTTGTTGTCTTTTCTATGGGCTTTATATGCTATCAGAAGCAGTATTTTAATATCACAAACAATTCCTCAAAAGTGTTATTTATTAAGTCAGTGAATAAGTGTCCTAAAAGAAAAAATAAAGTAGATTAGAAAAGAAGAGAAAGATACTAAGTTTTCTCCAGAAAATATTTTATCATATCATTGTAAAGTATACTCACACCACCACAAAGATATTCAAACAGAAATTGCAATGTATTTTTGCAAACCTTAAATTCCACTGTTTCATTTATTGTGACTTGACCGTAATTCCAATTCATCCCATAATTTCCTGTCCTTTGAAAAACTGTCTTGTCTGTGGTTTCATTGCTGCTGACATGAATGCTCAGGTTGTAAACATTTTCACAACACATGTAATACCTGGTTTGGAAATAGGCAAAGAAGTTCATTTTGGTTCTTCCTACATTATTTCTTGCATTTAAAATATTTTTATTTTCTTTGGTTGTTTCTGGGGAAGAGGGTTAGGGGGTGCCTATCAACACTTGGCTGTTCTGTCAACTGGAAAAAGGAAACCAATAATGTATCCACTAAAACTTTAGTATCTTAGTGAAATTCCTAGCAAAAGCACTGTTAACCATTTACAAAGACAGCATTTCAGTATGTCCTACCAGAAGTGAAGGACCTGACTGGAAACATACCAGAAATGAAGGCAGACAGGCTCTGAAGTGAGCTCTAAATAGAGGCTTGAAAGCCCCATTCTTTCCGCTCTCCATCCTTGATCAGTTGGTGTGGAAATGTAAAATCCTGTAAAGACAACCAGGACCTTTTACTTGCGTCAAGTAGGTAGATATTTAAGATGAAGCATTAGTACATGCATTTTTGCACAATAGATAAGGTACCAGACTTGAGTCTATAATGGTTGACTCTACCATAATAAACTGTTTAGAAAAATATCACTCAACTTTGGATTTCTCACTTTAATTCTATTTTTCTATACATCTTGATATACTCACAGCTTGAAAGGTAATCAGCACATGACTGGCTGTATCTAGATACTCTGATTGGTTAACTCATGGGATACACAATTATTTAAGCATACATTTGATGAGAAGGCTAAATGTTCCAAAGAACACTGGTTTTATATCCCATTGACTACACTGCATATCTTTACATAAGAAGGTGCCTGATTTTATAAGGGTTTTGTATTTCTGTATTCCTCTGAATGATAACTAATCATACCACTGTGGAGCAGGCCACATGCTAATCCTTATAAAAGCTTTTGAAATAGCACAAGATACAACATAAGTGCTTTCTGGTCTAGAATTCATTATTCAAGCCAATGATTTGAGTCATTCCAAGTGTGTGAAGTTAGGTAAGAATATCTTGAACATTCTCTTAGGGGAATTTACTTCATTCTTAGTTGGAAACTCCTGTATTAAGACAGAAGCAGGAATCATACAGCAAACTGCTACAAAGCAAATGAAATATCGAACTAATAGAATTTGATTTCTTTGCATTTTTTATGAAATACTCAAATGTGTTTGCTTGAAATCAACATCTTCTCTCCTGTGCCTTTCAAGAGAAAAATATAGGCAATGTTGCATATAAAATGCAATCTCATTCATTTGTAATATGCAGAGTAAGAATAAGATACGAAGAAAAGAAACACAAGTAGAACTGCTTATAAACACATATTTAGACCAATGAGGCAAAAATTATTCAGAATATATGAGTGTTCTATCAAGGTGAAATCATGCTAAATGACTCATAAGTGTAATATATGCACATACATTGGTTTTATATTAGAAAATGCAAGACAAAATAAATGTGTTTAACAGTTTATACTAGTAACTGATTACTCACATCTTATATATGTTGTACTATTTCATGAATACTTTCGCTATATCTATGTTTGTGTACACAAAGCTATGTAAAAATCAGCTCCAGAGTCATAGCACAGGTGCCCACATCTACTTTCTAAGAGCCCACAGACAAATCCCTTTTGAATTCATCCTTCTTTTAGTTGCTTAGGGCATGGTAAGAAAGAAATAAGTGCTGAGGTGGTCTAACTGCTCTGAAATTTTTCGAGGTAGCTGTTAATTGTGTAATAGAAACACACACATATAGACCATACAACACAACTGTCACACCATGTTGGCGTTTCTGTTCAGCCATGTTCACCCATCTCAGTCAGTCTACTACTTACAATGCGCAATGTTTTAAGTCTATTGTTTGCTCATTTAGCCGTAACATATTTAGAACTGACTGTACAACTGATACATGACATCTTGTTAATTTGTATATTATACATCTTGACCATAGCCCCCCTTACTTTTCTTCTCCCATTTTCTCCCCCCTCCTCTTCTCTGCATGTCTCTTACATCTCCCCTTCTCTGTAATCACACAGAAAGGGGCAGGCCTCCCATGGGCTTCAGCAAAGCATGTTACATCAAACTGCGATAATACCAAGCACCTCTCCCTGTATTAAGGCTGTGAAAGGCAACCCAGTATGAGGAATAGGTTCCCCAGAGCCAGTCAAATCACCAAGGACAGCCCCTCCTCCCATTGCCAGGAATCCCACATATGAACCATAGGACACAACTGTCACATATATGCAGCGGCCTCAGCTGGTCACATGCAGGTTCCCTTGTTGTTGGTTTGGACTCTTTGAGCTCCCGTGAGTCAAGTTAGTGGTTTCTATGGGTTTTCCTGCCTACCTAGACTTTTCCCAAAGGTTCTGGGGCATCTAGTTCAGGACCTTATGTTTTCCTGGTGAACACTTTACCCATTAAACTAGTTCCCTTGGCTTGTAGTATGTACTTATTGAAGAATTTGGAGAAAATGAGTAGTATCTTGTTCATTTTTGTATGTTTCATTTGGGTTAGGTAAATACTGTTTAATATGCTCTCATATCAATTTACCTTGCTTTCACAAGTTACTAAAGTCCTAGAAGAAATGACTCATCAAATATTTTACATGATCTTATAGGATTTCTATGGCTAAATGATAATTCTTTAATTTTCTTGAAATGCAGTTTAGATATCTTGAAATTAACTTAGAGTAAGCCTTAAGCCAGAAAACTGAATAAATTTTGCGAATTTAAGCACTCAATGAGCTTTTTTCTCTAGTCATTAAAATTTACTTACCCCTTCCTCCTGTCACTTTTTCTGTTTGTCTCTCCATAGACAGAATCCAAACTCTCTCGAGTCAACACCCAATTAGAGCTATAAATTCTGAGCATGCACTGATGCTCATGTAGATATCACAGCCCAGGGAGATGATTGTGCTTTCTAGAAAATTGGGATTCTCTTTCAAGAAAAAACTAAGTTGACTTAAGTGGCTTCCTGAGCCTTAGGGTGGGTATAAGATAACTGAATCTACTTAGTAACTATTACTGAGAGTTTTAATAAAAAAGACTTTTGAATTCAGTTTCTTTAAATGTGATACAGTAGTACTATTTACTAAAATTTAATACAAAAAGAAAGAATAGACAAAAGGGAAGAATGATAATTTAAAAGGATATAAATTACACTATGAAAGTATATTTCTTGCTAGCTTGAATTGCAGATATTTAAAATAATAATAATAAATTGTATATGTATACACACACACACATACATACATACATACATACATACATACATACATATAGTTAAACACCTGTTTTCTTCTCATACAGCAACTTAGGAAGCATGGACAAGTATTGTCTCTCAAATACCTCTGAGTTATGAAGAGAAAATAGTTTTAGCATTATATGGCACTCTGTCAGGCATTTTCCTGATGTTTGCAGAACATAATGATGAACTATATTTGGAGGAGCACAGATCATGTCCCACCAGAAGAGGAGTGGCCCAAGCTGACAGCCAGAACCAATACAAGATGGAGCTGGGAGGAAGCTATGTGGTAATGCTTCAAGAGTTTGCTAAGGAAAACAATTGGCTGTCCAAACTCACACCAGATAAGGACATCACAGCAGCAGACCACGCCCAAGAGGGACAGGACTCTAGATACATAATAGAAATACCTTTAGATCACTGGGTGATGCTTTTCCTGCCCTGTGGATTTTTACTTTAAGAGGCCTTCGTTGTCAAACAATAAACGAGATCCTGCTTGACTCGACTGCCTGTTGTGTCCGATTGTCTCTGGGGTTTCAGAGAGGCTGCCTGCTGGAAGGGCCAAACAGTGCACTCCACCCTCTCTGACCTCAACACAGGGGGCCCCCAGAGACCCTAACAACTGATGTTCATAGATCTTAAACATCCAACTCTTATTATTATCAATAATATTTTCTAAATAAAGGAATCAGGGTAGAGAAGAAAAGTAATGTACCTAAATGGAGGAGGGAGCCATAAAATTTTGTGCTAGCTAAGACATCAGTCTTTATTTTAATAACTTCCATTCTCAAGACCCCCTGAATCTGGGTGTCAGTGAAGAGGCCTAGGGATTCTACTGAGCCTTGGGCAGCAGACCAGTACCCATCCCAAGTATATACACGGACTTTGGACTCCAATAGAACAATGTGAGGTGCACTCTCACCCTGAACTCTTGGGAAAGGGTCTAGGCCCTGCCCTATATGAAATGACACACTATGGACACCCCCATGGAGGGCCTCACCCTCCCTGGAGAAATGAGGGGATAACGGGGGGGGGGGGGAGGGCACGGGAGGAAGGGAGGGAATGGGAGAGGGACCTGGAACTGACTTGTGAAGCAACCTTGATTCTTATCTAAATTTAAACTGGAAAATGAAATTAAAAAAAATAAAATAAAATAAAAAGGAAAAAAAAATAACTTCCATTCTACCCAGTGCTACCCTTCACAGCACTGAAAACTATTGGAATTGTATCGAAAAGAGGAGAAAAATAACCTAAGACCACCTAGGCCCTTGTGACACCTACATTTGCAAAGTCTTTTTTTATGCTCATAACATAACCTCATTTGCCCCAAATGTTCAGAACCAACAGGCCCTCTTTGAGCATGCGGAAGCACTGCCGGCACCGATGGCAACACCTTGCAATTCCCGTTACTCTTAGGAGGTACAAAGACATTCTGGGAGCTGAGACAGGGCAAAGATTGAAGAGCAGCGGCTCCCCCAAAAGTGAATTCTTTAGAAGATGTGAAAAAAAGTTGAGCGCTTAGATGTTCTTTCCTGACATGATGCTAATTCAAAGTTTATCTGGCCCATTTATGCTCTCGAGTCATTTAAAGTGAAGGCTAAGAACAAAAGCACCCTACCTAGATAAGAAGAACGGCAGGAGAGATTTAATTCTCTTGCATTTCAGAGGTACAATGCTCTGACACATTAAAAAAAAAAAAAGCCGGTTGGAAGAAAAATGCCCCTAGAGGTGAATGACTGGTAGATTATGAAATCACAGCTATGAGAGTCAGAGAGACCTATTAAGCCCTACAGTCGCCCTCATTACTTTCTGCCACTGGTGCGTTCTGACCTGCTTGATCTTGTCTAATTTTCATAACTCCTGCTTCATACCTTTCTTCCGAGACTCCATTTCCCTCCCAACTATTTAAAGTCTCCATCTGACACTCATCCTGCTTCACTCTGGCCAGTTCCATCTCATTTCTTCAGTCATTTACTCTGTGGGCAAGCTGGAATCATCCCCCCGCCAACCCCGTAAAGTACTTAGACTCTTTAAAATAGCAATGGAGTGATTTTATCTCTATTATGATGACACGAAAGTAGGAAAATGATCATTTTAACAGCAAAAACTCTCAGCTATGTGACACATATCTGCCACAGTCAATAAGTACTACTGATTCCCTGAATGTTCATCTAACTCCTGTGGCTTAAATGTGGTACAGACATTATTATATATTTCTTTTTATACAAGAGCAAATAAAGAGTCACCCTGTTCTTTGGCTGTTTCAGGATGTCTTTATATGGCAAAGGTGATTATCAGCCTAAGGGTTAATCTTCATCCAGGTGAGTTAGTGGTTTAATCATGTGGGATCAGGCCCTTGGAAACAATTATGTAAGATCACTCATGTGTCATCATTTTCAATACTAAATATCATTGGTGTTTTGGAAGCAGCCATCTGTGAAGAGCACATTTGCATGCATATGTCTATAATGGTACATAATATTTCATTTTCAATTGATAGTTATTAGTTATTCATAACTAATTGCAGCTATTTTTTTAAATTACAGCTAGACTCTAACTTCTCACCACATCTGTTCTCTGAGTCAAGTCCTGTGACCCCTTCCCTGGGTCAGTGGGCAGTCTGGAACAGTCTCTCTCACTGTCTTGTCCTTCCACAAGTTGTGCTAGTCCTATTGGTTAGTACGCACGATTGGTTAGTACGCTAATACTTCTCTGTGCTGGACCTTAAGCCAGTTAGTCCCTCCTTATCTTCAGCGTGAAATATAGCACCATAGACAACCAACTTCAGAAACACCTGGCTGTCCATCCTACTGCATTCCCGCCTATTGTGGAAAATTACTTTAAGGTGTGTTACATTTGCTTATGCTGTAGAACATTTGTTTTAAAGGTGCAAAGGCGTGCTGCATTTTTTATGTTGCATTTGCCTAACTTTGCAAAGCTTGTGTTACTTTGCCTGTCTAAAATAACTAATGGCCTAATAAAGAGCCAAACAGCCAACAGAAAGGCAGAGAGAGGATAGGTAGGCCTGGCAGGCAGAGATAATAAATAGGAAGAAAAATCTGGGAAGGAAGAGGGAGCAAGAAGAGAATAAGAAGAGAAGGAGCGAGGACGGAAGGAGCGGAGGACATCAGGGGCCAGCCACCCAGCCTACTCAGTAAGACACAACGCCAGCCTAACAGGCCTAATGGGCTTTCTCATAGACAAGCAGCCTCACTGGCCATCCTACTGCATCCCAGCCTGGTGGGTGCGATGGATTTTCCTCAAAGGGGCCAACAGTCTCTTCTCTTAGCTCTCTCTGCTCCCTCTGTCTAGTGTATGTGTGCTGGCTTGTGATTCCTTACAAGTTTGATTCATGTCACTTCTTCAATGACATCTAAAGTGATTGTCATGTAATAATTAGTACTTTTTGTCCCATTTCTACTCTCAAAGCTTTACATTTTTTCATACACATGTACCAAAATTACTCTTCGTGTAACTGCCTATTTTTTTATTTTAATAGAACATGTGATCTGTGATACGGGTAAGGTAAATATGTTTTATTTTTAATCCACAGATGTATTATGAGCATCTTTATATGACTTAGGGATCAAACACCGAATAAAAGAAAAAAATAAAAGGGAGCTTTTGGTGATTGTTATGAAAACACATTAAACATAGTCATGTTAATAAAACATTTAATCTAATTGAAGTGGGGAAATAAGTCATATTTTCAATTATTATGATGTTTCTGTTTAAAGAGCCAGAGTTAAACAGGCTTCTATTTTGAAAACCACTAAAATTTCAATGTCCTTTTGCTGTATGTCAGTCACAGTTCACATTTAGTCGACCATTCACTCTTCAGGTCATAAAAAGGAAAATACAAAGCACATGTGCTCAGACTTTTAGCTATATGTTTCATTGGATAAATTATTCAGAAATGGGCAATTGAATCAGAGGTGTGACATCCATTACTACATTCAAAATAGCTTTACATGTCTGTGAGGTCAAAATAAAAATGACTAGGTTTTTGTCACCAGAAGGAATGTTGTGGCAAAGGAAACTAGTAAGTCAGCACACAGTGTTGGAAGAAAAGAAGGGTTCATGTGGAGGTCTTGCAATTCCCTGCAAAGTTTGATGTGCAGCATCTGTCTTCAGTCCCTTAACACTGTGGTGATGTTGTAAGACTCTCGGCAATGTGTTTTCATCAGTGACGTTGACAAGTCATTTCAAAGAATGAATTTGTCTCTAAATATGTATGCACATACACATATACATATACAGGCACACATATATACATATATACACATACATACTCACATAAACACATATATGTATACACCCATATACATACACATACACACTTATACATACACACATGTGAATACTTACATAGATACATATGCATACACAGATAAACACACACATAATACACATACCACACACATACATGCACATATAAACATATATACACACATGTGCACATACACACATGACACTACATACATACACATGTACACATAAACACACAAATACATACAAGTGCACACGCTGTCTGATGTGATTGTGATTTTCTTCTTAACATTTACAGTATGTATTCCAGCTAAGTTGTAACATTTATTCACTGAGCTTACTGGTTTTACAGATGTGTTACTTCTAGTATCTCAGTAGTATCATCCCAGTATAATTACTTAGCCCTATTTTTCCTACTTAGTAAAATTATATTGTCCTCAGCATTAGTGTTTCTACATGGAATCTAACCTCTTATTCATAGGAAGATATCTTTATACACTACAGATTCCCTTGCAGTCTATCGTCTCAAGTCACTCTTCCCTGTGGTTACCAGAAGAAAATCTGTATCTGTTCTGATAGGATGTGTACACTCACAAATACAAGGTGTTTTTAAAAACAGCAATATCTGAACTGATGAACAAGTTCAGCAAAACTATGAGTGATGGACCAATATATAAAATTAGATTATATTTCTGTGTATTCATATTCACAATGAATAATTGAAAAATGAAATTAAGGCAAAAACAGGCTAGTTGTCAGAAAAGTCAATTATCTTATACAAGTCCACGTATTAATGAATCATTTCAAAGCTACGGTTACAGGTTAGTTTCCTTATCTCTAATGACCTTTGATTACTCTTTATCATCATATCTGGGTAAATGAGTATGGTAATAGGAAAATATGAATTTCATTTAACGAAACTCCATTCAAATAAAGTAACAGTGCATGCTTTTTTGTTCTGCTTTATGAATAAATGTAAATCACACCTGAGTCATTTGCAAATGTGTGGTCAAAAGGTGGTCCAGGGAAGAGAGGAAACTGTGGTCCCTGGATCCTTTCCCACTCATTGTCATCATCAAGATCCTGGATCCAGAAGCAAAAGCCATCATCAAAAGTACAGTTGATTTTCTCATAATCTGTGAATTAAAAAAACTCAAACTTAATATTTAACATGAGAAATTTTAATGAATTTAATAGAAAAGAGTCCAGCTTTATATAGTTTTTAATTGCTCGCCATTCTGTTTTATTAAATAATTTATTTACTGTCATTATTTAATAAAACCATGATTAGTTTTATTTATTTTAAAACTTTATTTTATTTAAATTACAATACATACTTGTTTCAGCCATGACAAATGATTATGTTTCTTACAGTTCTGGGCTTTAACAAACTTATATTCTTTATTTTTTTCAGGTTGATTCCACTATTTTCCCATCTGCTTCTTTCACCTTATAATTACGTTAGTAATTTAATTGTTGGCTTTTTCAGGAGTAGTTTATACTAATCTACTTTCACTTGGAAAGTTTTCTGAATATTAAAAAAATGTGAAATTTTTATATTGACTTGTGATTTTTTTGAAGCCAGTCATCTGATTCCCATGAAGAATATAAACTACTTTTAATACATTATTTGTTTTTAACTATTGTGTAAATAGAGAATTAGTTAAGATCTAGGACAGAGCTCACATAAAAAAAAAATATAGATTCTGCTGATGTTGCCAATGCAACCGCATCTGCAGAGCCATAGGCTGAGCAGTACTTACTGCTAAGGGTGCTGCTGTTAAAGGTGCCATAGGTGGCATTGAAGCCAATGTAGTCGCTTTCATCAGATTGTATCAGAAAAGTGACTGTAACTAGGTTGGAGAAAATTCGAATTGTTCCAGGATGAGTTTCTGCAAAAGAGGCTGTGAAAGAAAATGTTGACAAATGAGTATAAGCATATTTTATATCTACTCATGAAAAGAAAAGATGAATTACTTTACCAGGTATGTGCTTCTAAAAGCTGTAAATTGAGCAGTTACAGGGCTAAAGGTTAATGTTGCGTCCCATGCCACAGTAGTGAGAGTTAGAACAGGGTCTTCATAGTGAAGTAAACAGCACATGCTTTTTTCTGCTCACCCATAAAGTAGTAACCCTCATAATAATAATAATATTGTAAGAATTGCATCTATGGCATTTATCTTGATTGTATTTTTTCTGCTCACCCATAAAGTAGTAACCCTCATAATAATAATAATATTGTAAGAATTGCATCTATGGCATTTATCTTGATTGTATGATTGCTCTGCATTAACTCTGCCACTTGTATTTTTTCACTTTTTATTCTCAAGGATGGATACACTTGCAGAATTAGTAGAACTCACATAATTTATAAATTTATCATTGCACGAAACGGTTTTCTGACAATGTGTAGCTTACCATGTCTGTCTTCAAAGGTAGTATTATCACTTTTAGTAGAATCAGAATTGGGTTTTATGGAGAAAGGCCACATATTCAAATGTGCAATGTACACAAAAGCACATATTTTACATGGGTCATCTGGAGCATGCATGAAATTCGGGCTTTTGAAAATGTCAAACTTCAGATAGAGGGAGGACAGATGATTGTCATTTATTTTCTTTTAAAGAATTACCTCATAAAATATTGAAAAAAATATGAACTTCTGTACAAATTAGTACATCTTCACGTTAGCATGGCAATTTCAACAAAACCCAGTGGGAGCATCATAATCACACACTGAACCATGTAGTAATGTTCCGTCCACAATGTGTCTTTCACCCAGATTTTGCTCATGAACACTTATATTGCCTCTTTGAACTATCAGCGTATATGACTCATAACCAGCATGATTCGTAAATTAGAAATCTCATGTAATCACTTAAGAGATATAAATACTCTAGAAGCTTTGCTTTCATCTATCTGCATCCTCCTCCTACTGTGTTCATTTCCTATACATTAAAATTCTTGTACCCAGTGGCTTCTGGAGGATCAAATGAGGGTTGGAACATAACAGCGTACCTGACAGTGTATTAGATCCCACATTTGTAAATGGGAAGGATCTGGTGTAGAGTTCAGTTCATGAAGACCGTTAATCTGCTTTTTGTTATACATGCAACCCTCTGGCAAAAATGAAGAATGTTAATCAATAGAGATTTCATGAAGCATTAATTGCATTGGAAAACTCTTTTGACCTCAAATGGAATCAGAAGCACAGTGCCAGATGGCATGTTACACATCAGGAAGGGTAGCAGAAGGCTAAGACGTAAGATCTAGGTTCTGGAGACAGTGTTCAATTTAGTCCAACTCTGTTTCTCTCTGTCCACCGTTACTCTGAGGCAATGCATTGTTTTCTGCAGAATCTTCTTCTAGGGGATAGATAAGTGATTTCCATGTGGAATGGTGGTTAGCACCTAGTAAATGCTCAATGGGTGATATTGTTTCCTTACCTCAGCAATTAGATTCTTAAGTCTCAATAAAGCAAAGCTTAGGTTTTAATTTTTGTGTGCCTCTGTCACAGGGACAGACCATGAGCACATTTTAGTTGATGATTAAGCACATGTAGTAAGCTATGAATAAAGAAGAATAATTGAATATTCCTAAAGCATATGAAGATTTATGGAAAGAAAAATTTACCTAGTAATAAAAGTTGGGTTTTCTCTAATATTATAATACAAACAATAGTATAATTTTCAGAAATATGTTTCTAAATTTATAATTGTGTGCCTATTAATTTACATATGATCACACAGTTGTCATTGATCAATTAAGTGCTTGTTCTCTAACAGCAGTAACTCTGGAGAGTAATTTTAGTAAAAGAACAGAGCAGAGAAAAACACTAGATAAAAATGATTAAAAAAAGAGTTTAGAAAGAAGCCAAAAGATAGAAATGACAAATATTTTATTTACTGGGTTTCAACAGATGTCTTAAAAGATATTTACTATCTTTCATTTACATAAGAAAATTCTGGCTGTATTAGAACATCAGTTTATGATGGAGAAGACTTCAAAGATGCCCACCATGTAGCCTTGAGTGCCAACTGTGAATTCAGTATGGGGCCATGTGTTGATGATATGGAGAAATAACTTGATGCCTCATTAGGAAACCCAAGACATTTTAGTTAATATAAAAAAATAACTGTGGGATTATTTGCTATGGGAAAAATGTGATGGGAGTAATCAGGAAAAAAATCTCAATTTTTCCAGGCAGCCTTATGAGGTAATTTTTGTCACTTGTGGGATGAGGCAATTTTTCAAATTAGCAACAAACTTTTTCATATAAATTTATACTATCAACAAAAGTGAGTGAGTGGATACTTTTAAATGTAGAAAGAGTATATCAATCAAAATTTTAAGTTTAAGATTGAAATAGTATATCAATAAAAGCATACATCTTATCAAAGCTGCTCTATTTAGAATACATTTGCATATATTTTATTTTCTGTATGCTTGTTCTTCTTACAGTATGCCATTTCAGGAAAATCTTCATGCTGTTTGTTTCTCCATAGCTATACCTGGACACACTTAAGTATGCTATACATGATGTCAAGCTACACTATTCATGCACTGTGAGTTGTCCTTCCCTATGGGAGTGGAGCTTACTAAGCATTTGGAATGAAAAAAAAATGACTGAACTCAACTCCTGGAACCCAGTGACAGGGATGGAGGAGTGATGAGTAATGGGGTCAAGACCTTGCTGGTGAAACCTGCAAAGACAGCCAACAGGACAAGGGGGAGCTCTTGAACCCCAGACTGATGGCTGAGAGGCCAACAGGGGACTGATCCAGACTCCATGAATGTAGTGTCAGTTAGGAGGCCTCAGAAATTTCTGGGGCCTTGGGTAGATCAGTGTTTACCATGGTGTACAAATGAACTTTGGGAGCCCATTCCAAATAGAAGGATGCTCTCTCAGCCTGGACACATGGGGAAGGGCCTAGGTCCTGCCCTGATTAAAATGACAGACTCTGGAGATCCCCACAAGGAGGGTCTCACCCTCCCTGGGGAATGATGTGGGGATTGGGTGGGGAGCTGCAGGGAGGCTAGTGAAGAGACAAGGGAGGAGGAGTGAGAGAGGGAGCTGGGATTAACATGTGAAGCACTCTGGTTTGTAATTTAAATAAAAATACATATTGAGGAAAAAAGTACATGAAAGCAAAAAAAAAAACAGTAAAAATTAAGCAAAAAAATCTACATAGATAATTTCCTCAGAAGATTCCCCAATAAATATGCAATGAGAGATTTTTAAAAAATGGTACTCAAAAACATATTTTCAGGACATGACATTTAAAGACTGTTTTTCATGTGGTTTCCAGACTGTATTTATTACGTTTTTAAGGAGGCAAAACATTTCTGGCAAAGTCTGGTGAAACAGAACTGTTGCCCCAGGCACTTAGATACTTGGATGCACAAGGCAGGAGGATTGTAAGTCCAAGGCATTCTGATGGTACACGGTGAGTAAAACCAGCCCATAACACTTTCAGAATTAAAGACAACAAAACTGGGGATGTAATTCAAACAGAGCCATGTACTCAGTATGAACAATGAGCTAGGCTCACCCTAGCACCTCCAAAGTTACAGATTATTTTAGGCAATAATGGAAAGTAGCCCACTGCTCACAGTCCATCCCCTTAATTCTCAACATTGATACTTATTAAAATCACTGAATTAAGATCAAGTATTCATGAATAGAACCTAAAGAACAAGATTTTGACCTAAATGCTTGACAATTTATTTAGAAGTACTATCTAAAATTTACTGACAAATACCTCTGGAATTTATTTATTTTGAAAGCCTTAATAGACTATGTAACAATTATTTTGTGACACTGGATACCGTTCTTCCCTTATAATTTATTTAGATAATTTTTCCAGAATTATGTAAGAAATATATACTTTTTCCATTATGATAAAATGAAAACTAAGCCAGGCAGTGGTGGTGCACTCCTTTAATCCCAGCACTCTGGAGGCAGAGGCAGGCAGATCTCTGTGAGTTCGAGGCCAGCCTGGTCTACAAGAGCTAGTTCCAGGACAGCCTACAAAGCTACAGAGAAACCCTGTCTCGAAAATGTGGGTGTCAGTGAGGAGGCCTAGGTAATCTATTGAGCCTTGGTTAGTAGATCAGTATTTATCCCGGGTATACAAATGGTGTTTGGACTCCCATCCAACAATGAGAGATGCTCTCTCACCGTGAACTCTTGGGGGAGGGTCTAAGTCCTGCCCTGGATGAAATGACAGACTATGGACACCCCCATGGAGTGCTTCACCCTCCCTGGGGAAATGAGGGGATATTGGGGGTGTTGGTGGGAGAGCACGGGAGGAGGGGAGAAAAACGGAGAGGGACCTGGAATTGACATGTGAAACAACCTTGTTTCTAATTTAAATTTAAAAATAATATATATATATATATATATAAAAGAAAAACAAAAAACAAAAAAAAATGAAAAGTGTTTCTGCTATATAATCTGAATTAGAATTCAGTGACAACTACTTGATAAGCATCTCTTCAAAGAAAACAAAGTTATTCACTGCCTTCCAATAAATATAAAATTATTGTAAATACAGCTGTCACTCATGATTACACAAGTATATTATCATATTATAAGACTATAAATCAGCTAGTTGAAGTTTAAATAAAGCCCTTGTTTTTATAATTCAACCCACATGCTAAATATTAGAAACATTATTGTCATTATTTAAGAGCGTGTACTTTAATTTTAAGTGACCTTCCTAATTTTTCTTGCTAAGATTGATGTATTTATGTTTTTAATTTGAAATATTTTGTGTAAAACCTTTAACTGACTGTTATCATTTAAATGAACTTTCATAAATTCATTCTCTATGACTATCAACTTCATATAACATTATTATGATAATTACTGTTGTACTATTATATCCACATGTCTAATTATCTCAATGTTTGCTTATTGCTTAACTGCAGAGCTAAATATATAAAATTACATTAATAAAGTACTAGGTATTTTAAGAGTAATGTTTGTAGCTGTCTATAGGAAAATTAGATTTATCATCCGCATTATATTTGTTATTGTGTTTATGTTAATTGGGAGACACTTATTAAGATAACTGAAACTGATTTACACACTGTCAGGGATGATTCTAGCTAACGTTTACTTACAGTGTATTAAATTTGGTGATATTCATTTGAGCCATATTATTAAACCATCTGTGTTATGTCAGTCTTTATATTAAGGAACTTCAGGGGTCTTTTGCTGTTGCTGTTTTGTTTTGTTTTTTTCTTTTATCATTTTTTATTTTAATTTTAAATAGTTTGTTTTACATGTCAATCCCAGTTCCCTCTCCCTCCCCTCCTCCCGCACTCCCCTTTCCCCCCCAGCCTCCCACCCTATTGCCAAATCCTTCCACATAGGGGATATCTAGAGTCTGTCATTTCACTCTGGGTAGGGGGTAGGGTCCAGGCACTCCCCTAAGAGTCCAGGCTGAGAGAGCATCCCTCTTGGTGCAATGGGCACACGATGACTGTTTGTATATCAGGGATAGACACTGATCCACAGCTCAGGGCCCCATAGGTTGCCCAGTCCTTCTCGCTGACACTCACATTTGGGGGGTCCAGATCAGTCCCATGCTGGCCTCCCCGCTGTCGATCTGGGGTCCAAAAGCTCTCTCCTGTTCAGATCAGCTATCTCTGCTGGTTTTTATTATTATTTATTTTACAAATGGACCACAGATTCCACTCCCTCCTCTGTTTCCTCCCCCTCTCCCTGAAATCCCCCCCCATCTGCTCTTCCTGGATCACTCGGGGGCAGAGGTAGGTGGATGTTTGTGAGTTCTAGGCCACCCTAGTCTACAGAGTGAGTTCCACCATAGCCAGGGTTGTTACACAGAGAAATACCGTCTGGAAAACCAAAAGGACGACAACGACAAAAAGGAACTGGAGTTTAAAGCCATATCCACAGATTATCAGCTGACTGCTCCATTTGTTTGAGTGAATGTGAACACGTGACCTCCTGGGTTGTGGGCATCCTCATTACCATGCTTTGCTTGGGCTGCCAGAGCACAGTGCGTAACTCCGCTGCATGGAAAGCTAGAAAGCCATGTTGATGTCTGCCTCTAACATTCTGTCTCTGAACTTCATTTGCTCCCCTTTAGCTCACTTTACCCTTCCGTAATTTGTATTTGGCAGTCATATTGACAATATTCAATTAGAAGGTCTACACAGAATATCCAGCATAATATTAGATCAATACAATGCAATAAAGGTATGTGTCATTGGGATATACTTAAATACTTAACATTAACATATCAATCACAGCCTTTAAGGACATCACTATCACTTTCCATCATTCATACAGTTCAAAGGTGAGACCATTAATCTTTAATATGGATAATTATTTGAAATTTATTTTCTCTGTTTCCCCACAGTTGTGAGGAAAACTGGCTCATCTGTGTTCTTCATGGTTGCCTTCTTCATCCCTATTGAAGTTTCCCTGAACTTTCCCTCCAATTTCATTCTCTGTGATGATCAAGCTAAGGAATTTAGGCCAAATTGGAATGATGCTCATGGGTCTGGACTGGTGTGGACCACCAGTTGATTCCAGCTCCATTACTGTCTATATACTACTGACAACGTGTTCTATGCAGTGTTATGATAAAAGAGAATGTAAAATTAAGGGTTATTTAATTTTAATAAATAGGATGACATTTAAACAATGAATGACATCTGATTTTAAAAAAGCATTAATTTCACATCATTTTAAATACACTAGTTTTAGTGTAAAAAGACAACATACAGTACTCATTTCCTAATTTTGACAGATGACAGCCATCTTAATTTTAGTGACTTAAAGGTCAACTTAACATTCTGACCAAAATTCAAACGGAAACTATCACTTTCATGGCTTCCTATTTATTTTCATTATTATAATCAACTATATGTTTGTTTTTAACTTACCTCTTAATATTTTGCTGGGTCCTGCACCTTCATAAATATCTAACACATCTGCATAAAATGAAATAAAAGATCCAAAGCTGATTCTAATGGAAAGTCCTTGGTTTACACTAAATTAAAAGGAAAAAAAATAAAGTTTTTAGGCTGTGATAAATCTCAATGCATTCTGCAATTTGATTGTGTTTTCCATTCTGTGACAAAGCATATGGGGTAAGCCATCCTACAACTTTAATCATACAGCCCAGTCCTGTAACTATTACCAGAACATACATATTTAGGACCTTGTCATCTAGCACAATTGAATTCATGCGTTCATTAAAAAAAACCTTTCCAATGCTCTGCCCTTCCAGCCCCAGTAACATTAATCTACTTCCTTCTATGAATTTAGCAATTTTAATTACTTTATTTAATTGAAATTATGAAAGATGTATCTTGCAAGGTTAGTTTATTTCATTTAATACTTCTAAGTTTCAATAATGAAAGTCGGATAGGAAACCCTTCCTTTTCTGTGGCCAAATAAAGATATCCCACAATATGTACATTCCACATTTCCGTTTTCACTTCATCTAATCTTAAAAATATCAGTGAAGCCGGGCGTTGGTGGCACACGCCTTTAATCCCAGCACTCGGGAGGCAGAGGCAGGCGGATCTCTGTGAGTTCGAGGCCAGGCTGGACCGACAGCCTCCAAAACAGAGAAACCCTGTCTTGTAAAAACCAAAAAAAAAAATCAGTGAAATGTTAGACACATACTTGCTGTCCTGTTTATCAGAAAATCTGTGAGTCTAAGTCAGATCCATTGACTCATTCTTGTATTCTCTAATATTTATATGCACTATAATATGATCACGGATTGAATGGTGTCAGTGTAACTAGTTTATCATAAGAAATAAAGATGAGTTCAATGCAAAGTTTCAGTTTGGTTGAGTTTTTATGTTGTGGCAATAAATTTGTAAGTCTGTAAGAGTAAGTTAAGTAAATATAGCAGAAAGTTTGTGGTTTGATCTTTGGGAGGGAGAGACATATAGTGACTAGCTTTAAAAAGAAAAAGGTTAAATTATTTAATTGACTATATTAAGCATGGCCATGATATCTAAAATTTGTTTTGAGGTTGAAGTTTAGATTCCAGTAAACTGCTGCTATTAGTTATATCTTAGATAAAGTTTTTCTTGGTGAAGAGTAATTTTTAAGTTTAAAATTGAATGAGGAACTTTGATACAGTCTATCGGTTGCTAGTTAATGAAAATTGTAACTATTTTAAACATAGAGTAGAAAGGGGAATACTACATTGGAAGACTTTCAGACATACTTTCAGAATACTACATTGGAAGACTTTCAGGATATAGACAATGGTCTCTTACCGGATGATCCAGCGGCAAGCAACATCTGACCCGCCTGGCCTCGGGTAACGATCAGCTTGGAAAGACCCAGAATTTTCCATCAGCAAAAATCTTCCATCACAAGCTGTGGCTGTGTGAATATGTCAGCTAGTGTTAGATATAAGTAAGCAGTTAGGCATAGGAGCGATTAGGAGGATATAGACCAAGGTCTCTTGGTTCATAGCAGTATTCACTGCAAGCTCCTTTCTCTGGAGGCTTTTATCTGAAATTCCCATGACCGTGTGTGCTACACAAGCAAATGTAAATTATATATCCCCAACTTTTGCAAGGTTCTTAAACACTAATTCAGGCCATGTTGGCAGCATGGTGAAAAACTGGAAAGGAATGAAATAAAAAGGAACCCTTTAGAGTTTTGTAATAGCCATTTACTATGTCGGTGAATTTAGCTATTCTTCAGGTTTATTTCAGACATTTCTCTAGAGAAAGGGAATCAACAGCGTCATGTTGTACAATTAGATTCATAATTTTTAAAGTGTTGGGATTATTCTGTGTTTGTTGGACCCTATTGCAGAGCCTTCAGTAACCAAAGACTTTTCTGTACTTCTTGAGTGTTCTGTACTTGCCGTCATGTGGAGTCATGTGACTGAGTTGCTTAATCAGCTATTCTACAAATTGTGTTTGTTCACAAATGTCCCCTTGCCTGTAAACAGTTTATGAAAGAGTCAGGTAAGAAAGGGTGACAGACAGGAAGCTGGCATCCTTAACGCCTAGACAAGTATCTATGACTGCTTTCAGGGGAACATCTTCATCTGAAGTGGCTAGGAATTTTTGTATCACAGTGTCTAGCCTGTCCTAAAAAATATGATTAATTTGCTTGTTTAGTTTTCCATGAATCTTTACATTTTTATTGCCAGTAAACAATCTCTATCTTAACATGATATAAATGAACTCTACTAGTCCCTGAATATAAACAAAGGTATAGAAATTCCTGAAAGCAGTTGAATTACATAGTTTTAAACTCTTTACAATAGTGTTCAGGATTCTAAAGGTAGCTTCAGGTATTCTTTCCAGGACGTGAATGAATAAGAAAGGTAACTGTACATCTGACAGAGAATCGCAGATAGGTTCTCAAGATTAAAAAGAATTAAAAAATGTATCTCAGATATGAATGAGGAGGATGTGTGGAGTCTTGAATCTGTGACCTGACCAGAGCCTCCTGGAAGAGCACTAGAAAAAATGCTGAAGGGGAAAGAAGCAAATGCGCAAATGTTTGCAGTCACCCCATTAGCCACTGGTCACCTTTCCTTCATTCACAAAGCCATCCTGCTGGCAGGCACTTGGGACCCACCACGAGCTCCCTCTGCTGGCTCGATATTTACCCATTCTGTCTTTTCTTCAGGCATTGAGTTCACCAGGATGCATGAGTTAAACATGATCTATGCAGACACACCAAAGGATATCACATGCAAACATCTGAGCATGCAAACTACAAGAACACTTGCCAACTTTGGGACAGCCCTGCACCTTGGTCTAAGAGCCGTGATTCAGCGTCATATTCCCACACAGGTCAGCTACAGAGTAAACTTTCTTGCTTGCTCAACTCTACTCTGAAGAGAAACACGACTTAAAGAAACATTGTTTTAGCTATAGTCAGCTATAAGTTGTATAAACCCAAATAACTAAAGACTAAATACGGAAACTTGGCACAGAAGCAATCATTAATTCGACTCTATTAATAATACAAGCTAGAATTAGAGCTCACAGCTGGGTTAAAAATCAATAAATAAGAGAGAGATCAAAGGTCAATGTCTTACAGAGAAATAGCTTAAATTACGGATTTATAAATTTTTCTCTGAGTATGGATTGATGCACGAGGACTTTGAGGTGGGTGTCCTGCTGCTAAACACTGGAGTTGGTGCTGAAGGGATGTCTAGGGCTGGGGGGCTTACTGCCACCACTGATTAGAATGAATAAGATCAGCTGTGTTCTGAAACACCTGCTGCCTGAAGATAGCTCATTGATTGATTTTTCTCCTACCTTGGCTAAACAATGATTTAAAACTATGTTTGAGAAATGAATACAATGCTAACTTTATAAGTCATATAAAGGAATGGAGATAATAAACTCAAGAGAGTCCTGTGATAAAAAGGGTGATCCTAAGGTTTAGTAAGTACAAAGACATCACATACTGAAAAAATATCATACAGATTATTGTGTTTTTAAAGCAAAAGTAAACATTTAATTTAGAGGCTGAGGCTCATCTTGTGACTTAGAAAAAATAATTTATTACTTTAAAACTTATTTGTAGATAATGTGTCATCCTTACATTATTAGTCTTATGATTAATTTTTGGTATGAATCATTATAAACTTATTTTGAAAATGATGAGATCAATGGGGTTAAAGGCCAAACAATAAGTGAGACACATTTTCAAATTATTTGATTCATTTAATGTCATTGCATCATCTCCTATCTTTAAAGTTGTTAATCATCGGTACATAGGTTTAAATCTATATTGCTTTGATATGGATTATTACTTTAGAAACAGAAATAATGATAACATTTGCTTCTTCTTGATGGCACATTTGGATCATATTCTCTTGGAAAAGGTTTTGGAACATGCCAGAAAAAATAGCCCCACAGTGTAAAGATCACCATCTTCCTTTTTTTTTTCTGAAACAGGGTTTCTCTGTATTGTTTTGGAGCCTGTCCTGGAACTCACTCGGTAGACCAGGCTGGTCTCGAATTCACAGAGTGCTGGAATTAAAGGCGTGTGCCACCAACGCCCAGCTCACCATCTCACTTTTTGATCAGCTTAGCAATATAAAGTAGATATACAATATTCCATAACCTGCATTTTCTTCCAGTACAATACAACTGAACTTCAAAGTACATAGCTCAACTCTGTATGCTTGAAGTTTATCCAAGAACATTTGAATTGGGATTTCTGTGTAAGAGAATCTCAAATAGTTATTATTTGTAGAGTTGTTGCTGTGTAACAGACCCAATGGCTGTCCTATGAAGTATGGACCTGGTGGTAGGTAATTTTCCTAATTTAGTTTTGCATTCGAATCTTCATCTCGAATTAATGTCAAGGAATAGGAGAACACAGTGATAAGAGACAAGGAAATTGCAGCTTTAAAGCACCCCAAGAGCTGTGTTCACCATCACTGTCCATGCTTTGTAAAGTTGACTAGTACTACACATTTGATCATAACCTTAGCACTAATGAGCCATAGACAGAAGCATCATAACAATGATCTCAAGGTCAGAGCCTCTTTCAAAAAATCAGAAATAAACCAAAAGGTGATTACGGATCAAACCAAAAATAGGCTTAATTCAGGCTTCTCTTTAAGTGTTCAAAAATGAATTATAGGTTAGAGTTAAGTTAACAGTACCTTTCAATTATTATGATCTGAATTTAAACTTGTATGATAATAGGTTACAATGCAACTACATTATTTGATAAGATTCTTTCTGGCAAGCTCAAGTGGAAGCAAACTGCAATGAAATATAAATCAAAGAGAGATTCCATTTAGATTATCTATATTGTAGTGTATGTGCTATTTAAGTTTTTATTAATAACACAATTAAGAAGAGAATAATCAGAAAAAATAACAAAATAGATAAAAAACACCATTTTTAAAACAGAAAACATTGCTATTAAGTTGTTACCCCAAACTGTTTGTGTTGTTTATATAACTACAGGAAGAGAAGAAAAACAATGAGGAAAAGTGAATGATGCTCACTGATATGATACTGTGAAGTAGGGGCAAGAGGAGTGACCTTATATGAAGGTGAAAATATCAGGAAATGGTATCATATTATTAGTACTTATTCCTCAGAGTCATGGTGGCTTAAGACAAAGGTGAGATGAAAAAGAGTGACACTCCCTCCCTACCTGAATTATGCTCAACTGGTCACAGTATTCTTTACAGAACTCTCAAATGGGATAGTGTAAAATTAGTTACACATGATATTATGCAATTAAATTTAAAAATAATGTATCTATTAGATTTTGTGTTAAACTATGCATATGTGTATTGGAGTAGATAGCTCTTCACATTTTCAACCAGAAGAGACTAAATGTGTATATATAGGTATGTGCACAGATATGTGTACACATAAATGTGTATGTGCATGTATATCTGTGTACATGTATGTGTGTGGTGTGCTTGTATGCCCATGCATGTTTTTGTGTGTGGTGTGTGTGCTTGTATGTGTGCCTGTGTGTGTGTGTGTATGTAACCATAGAGGAGAAAAGATGAAGGAGAGTGAAAGAAGGTGGGTGGCCTTACCACATAGTCCTGTGTCTTCATCTGAACCGTCTGGACAATTCACTTCTCCATCACAAAATAAATCAATTGCTATACAATTCCAAGTGTTAGCACAGGGCCGTGAGCCAGGTTGACAATCTACTTGGACATTGCCTTAAAAAAAAACAGATTTAAATCATAAGCTTCTTGAATAGTAAATTTTCAATTGGTCGGATATACACAATGACTGAATATTTCTTGTGTGCTTTTCTTCACGTTAGCTTTGCAATGGATTGATGTAGTTCTTTTTGTAAAAAGGAATACTTATTTCACTTGGTTAATCATTTGCAAAAATTCAAGGCAATTAAACAATACAAATTCACAGATGTCAAATGTGAATGTTGATGTGTTCATTCTATTTTTTTGTAAACTTGCAGTTTAACCACTTAATCTCTATGGTGGTTTGAGTGAGTATGACCACCATAAGTTCATATATTTGAATACTTGATCTATGGTGGGTGGAACTCCTTGGGAAGGATTATGAGGTGTGACTGTGTTATAGAGAATATGTCATAGGGGCTAGTTTTAACATTTCAAAAGCTATTCTCAGTTAGCACCCTCTGCCCCATACTTATGGATTAAGATATAAATTCTCAGCTACTACCCCAGTGCCATTCTTGACTTCCTGCCTCGGTCCCTACCACAATTATCATGGACTCTATCCCTCTGATTCCATATGCTACACTGAATGCTTTCATTGTAAGCTACCTTCATCATGGTGTCTTAACACATCAATGGAAACATGCCCAAGTTTCTAATTATGGGACAATATATTGTAAAGTTTATTATAAGCATCTAGTTAATTCATTTATCCACAGCTTTATTGTTTGAAAACACAGAGGAGTTCCTAAAGTCTATAAATTCTCCAAAGGAAAATGTTATCAAAGAAAACCACTCTGGAGTAAGATAAAATATCTACTTGCAAGTGTACTGATTAATAAAAGTGGAGAAAAAGTTGGCTATTTCTGCTCCACAATTCTTTGCTTCTTGTCACAGCCATTCTTAGGGCATTCAATACAAACACGTCTCTCTAGAGTGTGAGATCATTGTCTGCCCAGGGTCTTCCAGTTTATAGCTCTTAGCCTGTTTATCCTTCAACTGCCTTGCTTCCTTGGATGCAATATAGAGAGACTGTCTTAGTTAGGGTGTCTATTGCTGTGAAGAGTGACTGTGTCCAAGGCAACTCTTACAAAAGAAAACATTTAATTGAGGTGGCAACTTAGAGTTTCAGGGTTTTAGTCCATTGTCATCACGGCAAGGAACATGGTTCAGAGGTTCAGTTCATTACCATCATGGTAGGACATGGGGATATGCAGACAGACGTGGTGCTGCAGGGGTGGCTGTCACATGTTGATATGCAGGCAACAGGAAGTAGACTGAGACACTGGGCAGTATCTTGAGCGTATATGGAACCTCAAAGCTTACCTCTACAGTGACATTTTTCCTCCAACAAGGCTACACATACTCATCCTAATAGTGCTACTACCTTTGGGGGACATTTTCTTTCAAACCACCACAGCGACGTACCAAGACACACGTATTTCTAGAAATTAATTTTGAAATTCTATGAGACATATTCTTTTTTACCTACAAGATAATATGTTTTCCAGAGCAATGTAGAAATTTGAGTTTTTGTTTGCAATTAGACTATCAATTATGCTTCAAGGGTTTTCAAAAATTTAATTCCGTAACATTTGTATTTGTTATTTGAAAAATACATACTTCTTTGAAAAGAATCATATATGTATATAATGTATTCTGATCATTTGTACCCCCATTACAGCTCACTTCAGACTCCTCCACCGTGTCTCCTTCCCAACTTCACGTCTTTTCCTTTTCTCCTACTGAGTTCTGTTAGCATTTCTAGTACATGTAGGGAGTTGGGCCATTTGCTAGTGTTAACATGAAAGGAAACACTGTACTGCCATCTGCTGGGGCTTAAAACTATGACAAGCAAAATGAATTCTGAAATTTCTGATGCTTTCTATAAAATCAATAGGGAAAATCAAATATTTGTATCATATATCCACCAACCTAAATCTTGTTTGAGGACATTTATAGACAGGGTTGGTGAGCATATAAATAACTAAGTTTGACCTTTAAAAACTAGCTCTGATTAAAATGAACATAAACCATTTGGGAAGCGAATGGAAAAGTTAAAATCTAAAAAAATATAGTATAAAAATGAGAGCTCTTATCAATGGTAAAGTAATCTCATTTAATTAAACAAAGTAGAAATATAGTTATTAAATCTAAATGCACATTATGCTTTAAATACAAGAGTTACTTATCAAGCAAGTCATTTAACTACTGTGTCCTGATACACAAAAGGCATAATATTTGATAACATATCAGAAACTCTTGGTAAATAAATAGGTGGAAAAGAAACATTTCCTTACATATTTATGCTATTTTGCCAGATGCCCATAAGATTCTATGTACTTAGTGCTTGGAAGAATAGATTTGGGGACATAGCTAGGAAGATAAGTCACTTGGGCTGTCTTGATGTTGTCTTTGGATCTTTGCTTCCTGAATCTCTACATGTCTCTCTATTTGTCTGTCAACCCTTAAAGTTTCACTGACAGGAGATGGCTCTTGGAACCCTGTGATTCCTGTGCTGAGTAGTTTTATGTCAACATATTCAGTCTCCAGTCATTTGAAAGCCTAATGTCCCAAGTAGCTTGGCCTGTGAACAAGCATGTGGTACATTCTGTTAATTACTAAGTTTTGAGGGAGGGTCCAGCCCACTGTGGATTGTGCCAGCCCTGGGTAGGTGGTCCTGGGACATATAAAAAAGCAGGCTGAGGAAGTCTTGGGGCGCAGTGAGCAACACTTCTCTATTGTTCTGCACCAATTCCTGGCTCCAGGCTTCCGTTCTGTTTCAATTCATGCCCTGACTTGCCTCAGTGATAGGCTGTGACATGAACCTGTAAGCTGAAATAAACCCTTTTCTTTCCAAGTTGCTCTTGACTTTGGTGTTTTATCTCCTACTGAGACAGTCCCTGTAGTGATCCTTAATCCACAAGCTTTTATGGCTACTTATGCCATGGCATTTTACAGGGTGGAGATAAAAGATAAAAGGGGGAAAATGCTTGTGTCACAGCAGAGCCTCTGTTCTCACAGATCTTGATGCAGGAAAAGTAGTCCATTATTCATTTTTGTAGGGTTTTCTTTTGGGGGGAGGGCAGGTTGGTCTGAGCATGGGCTCAAACTCCCTACGTGGCAAAAGGTGACCTTGGCACTCAGATCATCCTGCTTCCATTTTGAGAGTGTGAAGATCGTAGGTGTACACCACCACACCCACATTACACGGTGCAGTGAAAAGCAACTTCCCAAGTGAGCAGTGGGTAGCCAGAGTTGCATGCTAATTTGTTTTCATGCGACGATAAGAGTGCAATGAAGGCACTGGGAAGTAGGCAGAGGTTGAAACCATCTTCACAAGAGAATTCATATGTGAACCGGGCTCTGAGCATCCCTGGATGTAACTGAATAGACAAGTATTGAGCCTATGTGTCGATGTTGCAGAAAGACATCAAAATAAAAGATTCACAGAAAGGTCGAGTTTATCTAGAAGTGACAATGGTGAGGGCCTGTCATGAAAGAGTGAAGAAGGCTTGGAAGAACGAGAATGGTCCTTCCTCAAGTAAATACCGCAGAACATTTGTTAATGGATGAAATCTCTACACCCCTGGCTTGAGCAGCTCAATCAAAGGCACAGTTCAGATTTTTTTGGCCCACCATGATGTCCTTCACAAAATCTGCTAATTGCTTTTTCCCCCTCTTCAATCCACAGCTTTTAATCACACAGAAGATTAATGGCAAGATGTTGCTTTTTGTGTGAAATAGAGAAAACCCATAGTATGGAAACTTTCATGTGTCTGAAATCATTGCCTACACCATCAGCAACAAAAGACTAGAACAAGCTACAGTATGTAAAGCCTTCAAGCCTATGATCAGGTGCCCAAATAGTCCCTCCAGGCATATGGTAGCAGCCAAGAAATAAATCTGTGTAATGTGGCCTTAGCTCCAGTTGCTCCCCTCAAGTGCTCCAAATTGGTTAGTAAAACTTTACAGTAATTGGCAACAATGGCAGCTGAACAAAAGAACATAATCCACATGGACTTTTTACCTGTTGTCATATAAAAATTCCCTTTGGCAGAATTTATTATAGTACTAATGCTGGGTATATGATGCATGTGTTTGTTGATTTTTCTCAAACTCTATCTTCAAGGCATATAAAAATGAGAATAAAGTTAACATCCCTGAAAGACATATTCATAATAAATTACTGCTTGGAAACTGCACTTTTCAAGTTTAATTGCCTCGTTCCTCTCTATAAATCTATAGAGTCTTGCTAGATGAGGGGAATAAATGAGAGGTATGATTCAGTACTCATTGTCTACATGACTTAATACAAAGGAAAATATGATATTTCACTACCTAGTTACCTTACAATAATTCCTTGTGAATTAATTAAGGCAATTCTATGAAAACAATGTTCTGTTGTTGCATAAGTTACAAGATGAAAAGGAACACCACCAATTTGAAATCATGTTTGAAAGTCTCACGTTTAGAATGATATGTAATTGCTGCTATAATAATATGCCTTGTTGTTATTTTGATGTTAGTCATTAGGAGCAGGGTGAAGTGACCTAACTGGTTCTGTCCATCTCTGTGTGAGTTTCTGGGTAATGGCATATTAATGTATTCTCTTTTTATCTTTAGTCTACTTTGCAGTAACAAGGAATATCCAGGCACCATCTCAGGCATGTGCTTCAATATTTACATTCTATATAACGTTTATAAAATTCTAAGATACTCTATAGCTTTGTAAGTAGTTAAGGAGTAACTGGTAGAATTAGTCAATGAGGAAATCGGACCATGTCTTATCAAGAGTGAACAGTTTGATATAAAATTTTGCTGTGATACTAAGAATCATAAATTAGAACTTAGTGCATGCTTGGAAAATTCAGTACGAGATACATCTCAACATTTTATATTACTTCATCTTTATTCTGAACATCACTTGCTCATTTCTAATAAGAAAGGAAAGCCCAAGTGTGTGTTGACGATATTCTTGTACCTCAAGGGATGAGGTATTTTGCCTTGTTTTCTGTACCTGCTTTTTCTTCCTCCCAAAGGTACTTGACATATGCTCAGCTAGGTTTCACTATGGCTCAACTGTTTTCTTCAGCACAGTTTGGGAGAATAAGTTCAAGGCTTTCTTTTGTTGTCATATATCTAGTGTTTATTGTCCCATCCCTGAGCCATTCCATGCATATCTCCTATAAATATTTGATGCCTCTAAAAGGACCGCAGTAACTCAGTTAGATGAATCATACAAGGAGTCTATAAACTGACCAATGGAAAACAAGATGCTAACATATGCTTGTTGCTTATTTTTAAGTTTCAGAAAGAATGTCTTGAAACTTTTAAACTACCTTTTTAGTTTAGATTTAGATAAATGAAATTCAATTATGGAGTTATTTTTCTCAAAATCAATTGTTGTTATTTGAAGTTGAATGTGTACAAATGTATTTTTGGAACTTTTAGTATTTCTCCATATTGCAAAATATGGATGTGGGGTAAGTGACAATTTTCCATATGTTGGGCTGCTCTGTAGCTGTGGGTATTGTCACAGAGCTATGAGATTTCCATGGGCTCCACAGTTGTTATTATTGGCAACAAATCATTTTGACTAATGGCTCATACTTTATTTTGCATTTCAAACATAGCACCAGTTCTCTTATTTGACTGGTGGGTCCAGTGCATTTGATCACGGGTCAGACCCACATGTGGAATAAGAGAACTGACTCTCACAAGTCATCCTCTGACTTCTTCATGTGCAATATGACACACGTATCCTTGTACTTATGGGATATATAAATTAATACATATAAAAATAACATTCTGGAAACTACCTTATATTACACTCTTAATGAAAAAAAAACAACTGAATGAACCCAGCAGTACTTTATAACTGACTTATGACAGTACTGAATTTACAGTATGCAGAGAATACAGTCAACAGAAACTATCTCAGTATCTGATGAAACTGGCATCCTTCGAGAAAACAATTCAGTCCTAGTGGTTACATCTCTGGCAAGTGGCGATAACCATAGTTTTAAAATCAGAATGAAAGTGTAAAGTCAGGCAACTAAGGTATTAACCCACAATAGCTAACTATGTTTGCTAAATTTAATATTACCACTGCAAACTATTAAGTCCAATTTTTCTTGTTAAAGAGTATTAAAATGTTGAAGCGTCAGTTAATTTACAAATATTAGTGAAAACATATATATATATATATACATATCACTATTAAAACTCAGTTGAAGTTGCCATGGAAGTGCTATTAGTTTATCTACAGAATAAATATAGAGATATAAACATGTTTTATTTTAATTTTTACAACTATTTTTAATTGACAAATAATTGTACATATTTATGACAATCAATATAACACTATAAGGCTCACCTGAAGTTGCAGCAATTGCTGTTGAGAAGTTACCCACAGAAGCTAGAAGAAAGCAAAGTTGACTTGATACTTGTACTTATGACTTAAATTTATTGTAAAACACAGTAACAGTTGGAGTAGCTTTTCACCTTACTTAGGTTGCTGCTACTGCTGCTTTTGTAGCACCTAATGTAGATATGCTATTCACACTGACCCCGAAGTTGCCAGTGGACTGCAAAGATAGGTGATATTACAGTAATATCACATATTAAAAGTTTTATGTATAATGTTTAATGTTTCATCCATTGGGGCTGGAGAGATGACTCAGAAATTAAGAGCACTGGCTACTGTTGAAGAAGAGCTAATGCCCTTCTCAATGGCACCCACACAGTGGTTCGCAATCATCTGTAACTCCGGTTCCCAGGGATATGGCACCCTCTTCTGACCCCCAGGGATACTAGGCATGCGTGCAGCAGGCATACAGATAAACAGAGAAATCATCCATTAACAAAATAAAATAAATGCATTGAAATACAGTATTTCATATGATTTTAGCTTATTGTGAATTATTAGTGTATATTAACTCAGATACGTCCTTTATATCTAGATCTAAGGATAAGTCTTTTATGATTCTTAAAATTTGCTTTACAGCTATTAATTCATTGCTGAATAACATGGAGTTCAATGTGATATGAACTTCATGGTTCTGTTAAGTACTGACCTCACCTGAAGTCAATACAGGAATTGCTGCTGTGAGAACCCAAAACGCTTTAAGAAAATACAACTGATTTGACAGTTGATTTTAGTGCAGTGGTGGCGCATGCCTTTAGTTCCAAAACTCAGGAGGCACAGGCAGGTGGATGTTGTGAGTTCTAGACCAGCCTAGTCTACAATTGAGTTCCAGGACAGCCAGAGATACACAGGGTAATGCTCTCTCAAAAAAAACCATGATGATGATGAAGATGATGATGATGATGATAAATATAATAATTATTTGGTTCTTTTAACATCTGTTTGTTCATTTTGTTCTTCAGTTTTAGCATTTTTTTCTAAAATTAAGAGATTTAAATGTATAAGCCATAATAGAAAACAGAGCATGTCTCTCATGAAAAAGGTTCTTGTCAAGCTTATAATGACATGAATTTAGTCCTTGGAACTCACCTACAAACACACCACACACACACATGAAAGTAAACATGTGCACACATACCCACACTTTCCCATAATAAAATCATAAATAAAATAAATTTTATATTACTGAGGCAGACCTGAAGTTGTCGTGGAACTGCTGGTTGTCTGCTTATCTGCAAAAATAAGTCAGATTAAAATGATTATTATGTATTTTAGACTTGTTATAAGGACTTTAACACATATATCATATGTATAACATTTCATCTAAGAAAGTTTCTGCTTATGAGGAGTAATACTTATGTATCTGAGTCTAAAGACAATCCTTTTATTTTTATTTCAATGTTTTACAACTATTTTAGTTGAAGGTAATTTTTGCATATTTATGGGTTTCAATATGATGTATTGACTGCATGTGTATTTGTGCACAGTGTGTGTGTGTTTCTGTGTGTGTGTGTGTGTGTGTGTGTGTGTGTGTGTGTGTGTCCATGGAAACAGAAGCAACCCCTGGTTTTGCAGTTATGTACAGTTGTTACCTAAAAGGTGTGTACTGGAACCCAACTCTTGTCTTCTGTCAGAACAGTAGGCAGTTTTAACCACTGAGCTCTCTTTCTATCTTCCTATTTATTCTTTTATATCTTTTTAAGTGTGAAAAAAGTTATTTTCCTAATAGGTTTTCCAGAAAATTAAATGATGTAATTATTGGTTCAGGCATGTACTATACAATACCTGTCTCAAATATTATGGAAATGTCATGATTACAGATAACATCATGATCTTTTGAAAATTTCTATTTCATAATGATATGTAGATAAGATTGACATTTAGGATAACTTTTGCAATAATCAGAAGACTAGTAATCATACAGTTTTCAGGATGCTGATTTCAAAGTATTTATAACACAAGGTGCCTGGTAGATTTGGTTAGTTAACAGAACCACAATGTATTTTCAGATTTCTGGTTACTATTTTAATACTTTCCCACTAGTGATTAAGGTTACATTTTAAGGTAACTAGTGTTAATTGTAAAAAACAATTACAATCTTTCAAAAATAATTCTTCTAATAGAGATGTTACTTTGATGAGACATGAGAAAGTTCTGAATATTATGAACAGGGAGGGAAACTTAAAAGAGACAAAGTAACAAAAGCTGAAGTGGATGGGTTAGCACTACAGTTTGGTTTTCTTTTTGCATAGAAGCGTAATATATATTCTTTAAATTATTGTTTTAATGGTTATAACTCCAGGACCTCATGACATGGGTCAATTTTGGAATCATACACATATCACCAAAAATTTAAAATAAAACAGGAGTATTGAAATCAGAAATATCCATTTTATAATTTAAAAAAGCAGCAGGTGACAGAAAGACGCAATGTGACAGAGCTTGCATGGAAGGGTTTTGAAAGAGAGAGGAAGGAGAAAAGAGAGGAGAGACAGAGGAGGAAGAGAGAGGAGAAGGATGGGGGAGAGAGCAGGGGAAGGAGGGAGACAGAAGAAGATACAGAGAGACAGGCAGAAAATCAGAGAGAGAGAGAGAGAGAGAGAGAGAGAGAGAGAGAGAGGGGGGGGGGGAGGTACAGAGAGAGAGACAGAGAGAGAGACAGAGAGAGAGAGGTGGGTGATGGGAGATAGGCAGGGCCCTTTAAAAGGAAACATAGTGAGATCTCCCATGGAGGGCCTCACCCTCCCTGGGGAAGGGAGTAGGGATTGGGTGGGGGGCTAGGGGAGCTGTTGGGGGGGCATTGGAGGAGAGCAGGGAGAGGGAGCTGGGATTGACATGTGAAGCTAGCTTGTTTTTTAATTTTAATTAAAAAAGGAAATATAGTGAATATGCACAGGTGGTGCTATTAGTGGCTGCAGATGAAGATGTATCTTGTTAGAACCCCAAGGACAGGCCAGTTCAGACTCAAGAATACTGCTACCTATCTTTGGCATAGGTAAGTAAGTGTCATTAGTTTTCTTAGTGACATTATTCCTAGTGAAAATATGACTTTTATTTTAAAGAATAAACATCATAACAAGGTGCAGAAATGAAATATATTATTTCCTTAAGTCATGAAGTTGATAACCCTGAGTTGTGGTCAGGCAAAATGGCTTAATCAGTAAAGTGTCTGTCAAACATGCATGAGGAAATGAGTTCAGATCCCCAGGGCTCTTCAAAAAACCTCAGGTCTGGTTGTATACGTCTGGAATCCTAGAGATCCCTTGTGGTGAAAGCCGTGAGGGTCCCCAGAGCTTGCTGTCTGGGAGGCTAATATTCTCATCTCAAAACATTAGATTTAAAATGCTGATGGAAGACCTCAGGTCTACACATGTTCACAGACATCACTGTGTACTAGCAAGTAAACCTGTGTGTGTGTGCGCGTGCGCGCACGCGCGCGCGCCCACACACACACACACACACACACACAGTGTTATAAATGCAAACACTGACCTGAAGTTGTTACAGGGACTGCTGTTGACAAGTTATCAGGTGATGCTAGAAGAAAGTAAAGATGACTTTATACTGACTTTGTAATACATCTGTATTATAAAAACATTGAATAGAGTTTGCTTATTTCTTCAAAGGGCACCTGGTCCTGTGAGTACCACTTTACTTGCTGTCATGCTGTTGCTATTCATTATGTGGCTATGATACTTTAGATAAGTTTCAGCAACTGCTTGATCAGTTTGTACAACTTGCCTGAGCTGAGTTTGCTTCATGTTGTATTAATTCAAGAAAAGTACCTATTCATTTATGCTATAGCTATATGGAAGCTTTATGGAATAGTTTATATTCAACTAATATAATATTACCTATTAGACCTTGCCAATCCCAGGACTAGTAGTAACCAATTTAAAATAAAATATATTTGAAAAAGTGCAAAGTGCAAATATTAAACATAAATATCTAAAATTAGGCTTGGTGATATTTTATACACCTGTTTCAAGACAGCTCAATAAATCAAATATAGCATAGTTTTGATTTGAGAATATTCTTAATTCACTGTTATGATAAGGTTTGTGGTATGCATAAGACAGACTAATGTCAACTTGCAAGAGGATATGATTTTCTTTACTCAGATGTGATTATTTTTTTTACCATAAATTTCATCTTCCAATTCATGCAAGTGTATGGAATCACTTTTAATTTTAATTAATTTTAGCGTATCTGTCAAATAATTCATCAGGAAACTATCAATGTGAAAAAATATTAAAGAGAACAGAATTTTTTCTTAGAAAAAAAGACTTGAAAAAAATCAAGTATTATTTTCCAGTGACCCAGGCCCATCTGTTCAGGGTTGGCATAACCCAACTCAAGCTGACCTCTCCTACATTAATTAAAATTCCCAGCATACATGACCACAGGCTGATACAATGGAGGCAATTTCTCAGCTGCAGTGGTTTTCTCTTAAGTTGTCCACTGATGATAACATTGACATTAAGAATATATGTACTCACTCATATATAGATTTTAGAGATGGATCAGGATAGTGCCAGTTTGAACTTCCACTGACAGAGAGTCTGGGAAACAGGAAAGAAGCTAAGAGAGATATGCATGGTACCCCAGAGAAGAGGAATGAGGCAAGATCTCCTGAACAGACTGGGAACATGGCGAGAGGTGGGGGGGGGAGTGGGAGCTGGGAAGAAGAGAGGGGGAGAAGAGGAAGAGAGAGTAGGTCATGGGGGAACAGGAAGGTTGAGTGGGGGTAGAATAGGGTGAGAACAGCATGAGAAATTCCATAATAGAGGGAGTCATAGGTTAGAAGAGAGATCTGGCACAAGTGAGACCTCTAGTGATCTAAAGGGATGATACCAACTGGCAAGCTAAGCAATAGTGGAGAGACCACCTTAAATGCCTTGTCTTGATAATGATCTTGACACCTACCCTATATGCCATCCTAGAACGTTCATCCAGGGAATGATGGAAGCAGAGGCAAACACTCACAGCTAAACACTCAACTGAACCCATGGAACCCAGTGACAAAGAGAGAGGAGCAATGAGCAAATTGGTAAAGAATGGGCTGGCAAAACCAGCAGAGACAGCTGATCTGAGCAAGGGGGAGCTCTTGGACACCAGACCGACAGCTGGGAGGCCAGCATGGGACTAATCCAGACCTTCTGAGTGTGAGAGTCAGTGAGGAGACCTGGGCAACCTATGGGCCCTGGGCAGTAGATCAGTGTTTATCCCTGGCATACAAATGGACTATGTGTGTCCATAACACAAAGATGGATGCTCTCTCAGCCTGGACTCTTAGGGGAGTGCTTGGACCCTGCCCTGAGCAAAATGATAGACTCTGGATGTCTCCTATGTGGAATGAAGTGGGGATAGGGTAGGAGGCTGGGGAGGGGGAGATTGTGAGGGGGTGCAGAAGGACAGGAGGGAGCGGGGACTGGGATTGACATGTGAAGCAACATATTTAAAATTAAAGTAATAGAAACAAGTTAAAAAAGAATACCAATGGTGTATAACTTTAACTCCAAATCTTGGGAGGTAGAGGCAGACAGATCTCTGTTACTTAGAGGTCAGCCTGATCTACAGAGTGAATTACAGAACAGTCAGAGCTTTTACATAGAAACCCTGTCTAGATAAACCAGGCAACCAACCAACCAACCAACCAACCAACCAACCAAACCAACCAATCAACCAACCAATCAACCAACCAACCAACCAAACCAACCAACCAACCAACCAACCAACCAACCAACCAAAACAAAAAACCCAAAGCCATATACATATGTTTGTAGACTACAAAGCACAAACAATAACCTATTTTCTCCAGCCATGCCCTACCTCCTAATAGCCCACTCAACAGGATCTCATTAATGAGTTAATCCTTTGGTTAATTTAGCATTTTCCTTATCCAAGTATCTCTCAAACATTGTATAAATGCAAGACCCTTTCTTCAGTAGGAACTTTTTAAGAAAAAAACTTCATATCCAAGTCTGAGAGATTCGGTAGACACATCATCTGGGTATTTAAAAATAATTTATTATTTTGTGTGATTGTGTGTTCATATGTGTTTTTGGTCATGATGAATGAGCAGGGCATGTTCATGGAAGTTAGAAGACAATTTTTGACATCAGATCTCTCAGTTTTAGGTTCAGGGGATTTAACTTAGATTATCAGGTTTGCACAATTCACCTGCTGAGCCTTCTCCCTGGTCTCTAGTGTTAGTTTTAACCTCTACGCTTTTCTCCCGTTGTTATTCTTAGGATAAAAATGTTTCATCACTTTAAGAGGAAAGTTAACTTTTCCAACAGGAAATCATGTTGGATTACATTCATTAATCCATCTTTTGTCTCCTTTTCAATTTCTAATTAGACATTTGTCCTTGCCACTCGACTGTAATCTCCTAAGATCTGTGACCCAATCATAAATTCTCTAATTTGACTTTTTAATGAATGGCTCCAGAAAACACTTGACCAACAGATAGAATGTGACAAGACTCACAAACATCTCTGCTCCCTGAAATTTTCAGAATCTTTTTATATTTTCAAGTTTCCCAAACCTCTCCTCACTGATATTTCCCGTCAAATATTTCACTTTTCTCATGTAAATGTGTTACCTCAGGCAATCCGACATGCTCCTAAAGCCAAGGACGATTCTCCTGCCTCTCTCCTATATTTCTAGAATCTTAATTTCATAGCTTAATGATTCAAAGAAATCAAATAATGTTCACAGATACCTGTGATTTCAACGCTGTTCAAGTCAATATGGAGAATGACCAGCTGGCTGGATACATTTGCTTCAATGCCTTGAATCAGCTCTTCTTTTACATTTTCATCTGACACCCACTGAGCAAAAAAAAGGTCAAAAAGGACTATAACGCTGCCATTTCTGCAAAGCAAAAATAAATAAATAAATAAAAATGATAGAAAACTAAAAGCCAGCCATCTTCAAGTGATTTGTTCTCAGTTAAGGGGAAATGTCTAAAATTTGCTCTTAGTTATCACATCCTGACTCCTTATTACTCATAGAACAGTGTAACTCCTGCTCTGCAAAACATTTTGCAAGAATACCATAGATACGCCAAGTATCACCCTTAGTTTATGGTAGAAGGAAAGAGAAATGCTGAAGTAAACCCAACTTTTGAATCAGTGCTCAGTAGGGCACACAGGAGCACAGTGCTATCCTCTAGTCTATCCTGTCAAATCAAATAGCGTCACACAGTGTCCTGCCATTTTGCTGTTTGAAGGAATGAAGTGTGTGAGTTTGCAATGTGTCTGATGGATTCTTAGGGCAAGAGAAGTCTGACATCACTTCATTCTTATTTCAAGTGAACTGTACAAATTGAGGAAAGCCGGATACTAAGGTTCTGTAGACATTTGTATTTAGTTCTCTTTTTTCTTTTGTTTAACCAAAGTTCTTAATATGTCTTGATTTTGGTGAATCGAAAGAACAGAAACATAATCGGAATTACTGGGCACTCAGGATATTTGTTCTTTTAAGATATTTCTTGTCCATAGGATCTGTCACAATAGAAGAATTCTTCCCTTTAACCCCTCTCTGTATTTTGCATTTTAAATGTTATTTTCTTAATATAAACTATAGATTTAAAAAGAATGCATTTGAAAACAGTAGAGACACTTGAGAGATTTTTGTTTTCTTTCATACCTTTCCATTGACCTCATGTTTCCTGTTACGCTTACAACCACACAATGATAGACACGCACACACATGTTTGCACACACACTCACACGCACGCACACAAATACCTAGCTACTTGGATGCTTTTGTTAGTCGAAGGAAAGAGGATGTTTCATTCCTATATGCTTTCAGTATGCACGGCTTCCTTTTCCTTCCCTTCACCACCGTCCATCTCCCTTTTTCAGCCCCTCTTTATCCTGCCCATTTCCTTCATGTTTTCAGAATCTACCTCCTTTGCCAAACCCCGACTGTTTAAGCGTGAACTAAGAGCTCACACTTAAATTAAACGGGATTAAATATGGTTTAAAATAAAGCAGGAATGCACAGAATCTTTTATCTACTCTTGTCAGTTCCATGGTTTTACTTTCTCTTTTGTTGCACAAAGGATAATTTATATGGTAAGGAAATCCACATCTTCTCCATATAGTTCTACATATTTAATTATGCAGAACCCTAGATTGTGGGTAGCTTGAATCAGGCAGTAGAAGACACAATGTATTTGAGGCAGAGAGAACAAAGTTCTGAAATTTTCCTACACTGGATAGTAGCTAACTAGAATAATTCAACCTCAGGTATAAGCATATTTGTATGAAAGATGTGTCTTTTTAGTTGTGAATTATATATTGCACTTAATGATTTATCTCTATGAGGATAACAGGTCTATATTATAGATACATATAAGATTGTATCATTTACAATTTATTTTTGTATTCAGTATAAATGCTGAGATAAGAAAGATGTATAGGATAAATCAACGAAACCATGATAAGTATTTGTGTTTCATCATATAAGCAGGCAGAAACTTATTTTTGGTAGTTTATCAATGATCTGTATCCATTCTGTGAGATTTATTTTATTTATGAAGACAAATGAGAAAATCATTCCTTTAAGGAAAAATGATAGCCAGTTTCATTTCAAAGAACTTGTTGTTAGTAGAGGAGCTACACAGCCCTTCTCCTTTTGTCTCTCCCTTACTCTCTTCATTAATTTTGTAGCTAGATAAATCCTATCATTGCACAGAGAGCTTGGTTGTAATAGGTCAAAATGCTTCTTATCTCATATTTTCCTTAATGATACTGATAACCTTTAGGTTTGCTGAGTAAACACAGCTCTTTCTTTTGCGAACTTTGTGACTCATCTGTGTGCAAAGGGCAAACTTAAAGTGCACATGGCCACCGAGGGCAAACAGCCCTTTATTAAAGAGTCAACTGCTAATGCTCTGTGAATCAGACATTTTCCACAGAATAACAGTACTCCAAAGAGAGAAAGACAACAGATTCTTCTCTTCAAACTGGTTACACAACACACACACACACACACACACACACACACACACACACATACACATGCACACTTACTTTAGAAAGTGGCAAAAATACATGAAATACTTGTAAAAATATTATCAACTAGAATGATGACTAATTTTGATATTCTTGGTGATATAGTTTGATGACACATGGCAAGTGAGGCCACTAAAATTGTTGTATTTTAAAATATTGTTAGATATACGTTTTTCACAATGGATGCTGTTATGCAAAGGAGAAATCAATAATTTCTGTGCCATAATTCCATGATTTTACAAATCAAATAAAAAATTGAAATGCTTAATTCTAATGGTGGTATTAGGCCCCTTTTGTATGGTTATGGATATTCATTAGTGATTATTTAAGATAACACAGAGACTACGAGGATGACACACAAGCATGATGACTGGAATTTGAATCCCCAACACCCATATAAAAGCTAGGAGGCCATTTCCTTCCTAAGTGTAATACCAGCATTTGGAAGCAAAGATGGGGAATCCTGAGAGCAAGCTGGCTAGCTCATCTAGGTGAATGGGAGTACTCTGGGTTCAAATGAAATATTATACATCAACACACATACTCTTTCTCTCCCTCCCTCTCTCTCTCTCTCTCTCTCTCTCTCTCTCTCTCTCTCTCACACACACACACACACACGAGAAAGAGAGAAAATTAAATAGCTTTGAATGTCTCCTTGTTCTCCTTTCCTTTCCCATATTTTCCTTTTCCAGTTTGTTATTTCAAAGAAAGTGACAATGCTATGAACTGCCTTCTTCCCATTAATTTTACTTGACTTTATGTCATTTTTTTTCTAGGCATAAATCTTTGGCACTGAATTGACCATCCAGCCTTCATTTAGTTTCAAGAACAGGATTCTGGGCTGGAAGGAGGGGCCAGTGGTTAAGAGTACTTCTTGCTCTTGCAGGGGACCAGCATTAGGTTCCCAACACCCACATGATTGTTAAAAACAATACACAACTTCAGTTCCAGGGCACCCAAAGCCTTCTTCTGACCTCCGTGGCAGACCCCATTGTCTAGTAAGGAGAGAAGACAATTCCATCACATCTTGATGGTGGCATTTTGTATGACTGCACAAAGTTCTGACTGGGCTGGGGAGCAAGTGTGCCAGTTAAGCATCACTGGAGATGTGCCATGAGGGAGCTCAGCAGTTGCTAGGATGGAAAGGAAGAACACTAAAGAGGAAAGTGGGAGTCCAGCTAAGGAGAAACTACACAGAAGAATGAAAGATGGTTGTGGGGGATGCACGCATGATGCGATAGGTCACCACAGGTGCTAAAACAGAGTAACAAGGATTTATGGAATCCACAGGAGTGTCTGAAACAGTACATAGGAACACATCTGCATTCAGAGTGTGCTATAGAGTCTTTCAGAGCTGATAAACCCAAGATATGAGTAGGGAACTAAATTTAGTCTGCAAGGTGTCGTACTACAGCCTCATCAGTGGGTGAGAATGCAGAAAACCTGCATTGGGCTGAGGGGAATAAAGCTTCTTTCTAGTAACTGAAATTAGAAAATACACAAGACATAGTACTAACAATGATTACTTAATGGTTTTCTGATGTCCAAAACAACATTAAATGTCTTTGCATCCATGCTGTTTGAGAGAATTAATTTTAAGTAGCATGGATATTTTCCACTTGAATGAACTTCTGTCTAAAGCTCTGAAAATAACTTAGACAAAGCAGCCAATCAAAGGCTAAGTTATCCTAAATCGTTTATATCTCCTTGGACTATTATAAAGTATGTATGCATAATTTATATGACTAACTTCTTAGTAACTTTAGATATTCCTTAATGTTGGTATGTCTGTTTAACAGTATTTTCACTTCCTTGAAACAGGGATTTTAAATCATCATTGTCATAGCACCTTAAGAGACTAATTATTATTTATTAATGGCTGCATTTACTTATCAGTCACTGCCTACGTAACTCTTTTGGGTAGGAAATTAAACATCTTATAAGTACCCCAAAACAAGAAGTTTAAGACAATGCTCTCTATACCTCATCACAAGAGAGAATGTCTTGATAGTGTTAGTTGTGTGAATTCCTTAATAAAATTCATTCTCAATATCTTGATTCTTAAAAGTTTGTAAATCATGTGGTTGAAAGCAAGGCTCCTCTGTTAGAAAAACGAGAGGTGTGGAAGCATAAATTGATATTTATTGGCTGTTGTTGAGAAGACAAAATACTTGTTTCAGTTTTCATGGGTATTTTATTCATTTGTGTGTGTGTGTGTGTGCGTGTGAATGGACATGTATATGTGTGTGTTCTTATGTATAGATATCTGGGTGTGTGGGTGGGAAGGGTACATGCATACCCTATGCATGGAGGCCAGAGGTCAACCTCAGCTGCCCTTACTCAGGACACTGTCCACTTTCACTTTTAAAACAGAATCTCCTATTTTATCTGGGTCCTACTGTCTCAAATTTTGGTTTGGCTAGCTGGCCAGAGAGGCCCGTAGACCTGTTTGTTTTGTGCAACCAAAACCTGCTTTGTTTGTAAATTCTAGACAATGAACTCAAGTCTTCAAACTTCCATGACTGAGCTATTATCCCCCCCCACACACACATAGTACTGCCATTTAATACACTTTTTGTTGATTCTTACTATGCACTTATGTTTTCCCTTTGGCATTATTTTGTCCTCTACTTCTGCAATGCACAGGACACTAGTTTATATTTGGATGATTTCACTTTATTTGATTTATACTTGATTTTAATTTTTCATTTCACTGTCTCTTTCAAAGCGTGTGGTTTTCTTAGAAGAATGGTAGAGACATCACTGGCTAAGCTGAAGATCATTTGGGGAAGAGAAGAGAAACACTGTTTCCTACAGACTACACAAAGTCAAGGTGACAGCTCCATCACGTCAGATTGAGGAGATAATTATAAATGCCTCGGTGGAAAGAAACATGACAGTGATGTGTCATTCTAAGAAGGAAGGGAAGGAAAAAGGAAATGATGGTACAATTTGCATAATAACAGAAGAGAGGTCTCTATCTATGGCACTGTCCTCCCCCTACACACCTGTACATCACTTTAATATGCTAATATGTCTTTACATCACGTCTGCAATACAATTACTGTAGAACACTAACTGCATCTCCAATTTTTCTGTAGCTTTTATTAACAAAGCAATGTAAGATTTATAAAAACAAAAAAACAAAAAGCAAAAAGCTGGGCATTGGCGGAGCATGCCTTTATCAGGAGGTAGAGGCAGGCAGATCTCTGTGAGTTTGAGGCCAGTCTGGTCTACAGAGCAAGTTCCAGGACAGCCTCCAAAACAATACAAAGAAACCCCATCTTGAAAACAATAACAACAACAAAAAAGATTTGTAAAAAAAAAAGCCTTAGGCCAGGCGGTGGTGGCGCATGCCTTTAATCCCAGCACTCAGGAGGCAGAGGCAGGCGGATCTCTGTGAGTTCGAGGCCAGGCTGGACCGACAGCCTCCAAAACAATACAGAGAAAACCCGTCTTGTAAAACCAAAAAAAAACCCTTAAATTTGCATTATATTTGATATGAAATATAAAGTTAGAACACTCTCCTAGGTTTCTAAATTGACCACCACACATCAGACTCAGGCTGGATTCATTTAATTAATAATCTGATTTATTATCTTTCCACATGGTTGTTCTAACAATTACTATTGGTTTCAGAGAAGAATTTCATTTATGTAATTATTTATACAGTTAAGATTTAAGAAAAAATACATAGAAAAGTAAGGTGCTTTCCGCACTGTTTTGATTATGGGTTCTATATTTTCCACAGTGTTTAATATTCTGGCTTAAAAATTAAGACAGCTTTGTTTAACCTAGATGCAAGCTGGGGGGCCTTGGTCCTGCCTCAAGTGATGTGACAGACTTTGTTGACTCCCCAAGGGAGGCCTCACCCTCTCTGAAGAGTGGATGGGGGGGTAGGGTGTGGAGAGTCATAGAGGAACTGGGATGATTATGTAAAATAAGATTGTTTTAAGAATAAGACATAATAATATTAAATGAGGGACTTTGAATACAGACTGTGCTATAAGTTTTCACATAGACTGATCGATTTTCTGAAGAAGAAAGCAGGAGGGGGAACAAAGACAAGGATAAATAAAAGGTAGACTTTTCCAATAAAAAGTCAACTTTGCAAATGAAGTAAATGAGACTCCAGAGGTCACGGTAGCCATTAGGAAAAACGTATCAAATACTGACATGGCAGTTTATGATGTGTGTGCCTTACAGTTTACGTTGTATTGTTTTTCTCTCTGTCTTTAGTAGTGTTTTACATTAAAACAACTGGTATCTTTTGACACCAGTTTTCTCATCCAAATTGTTTTTTGTCACATTTTTGTTTTCATTTTAGGAAATGAAAAGACTTTCTCATTTTTTTCTATTTTAGATACAAAGGTTATTGCTGAATTGCATGCATTTGTACTTGAATTTTCTAATTTGAGTAGAACACTACTTTATTTATTTTTAATTTATAGATTCTCATTAGCAGCACAATCTTCTTCACTAATTGTGCTGTTCTGGTGTATCTCTGCTTCAAAGTCCCTCTGGTCCTCCCAGGTAATAAATCATTACATTCAGTGTGACGTAAGCATAAGGACAGGCCAGGGTTGCCCTGGACTTTCATCTATGGACACAATGATTCAACAGAGACACATGAAGAAACATTCATTTTTAAGAGGTTAAGTCTCATATTAAATGTTCCTGGAGGAAATGCTATATTTACATATATTGTGTAGCTTAATGTATCTACACAGCAATACTTGCTCTAGTTTGAAGTATTCATAGTGGAATTATATATTAACCTATTAATGTGAGATGCTAAGTTATTGAACACTGAAATTATGAATATGTATTTACTATGTGCATAGGTGTGTGTGCAAGTGTGTGTGTACACACGTGCCAACATAGGCCAGAAGGGGGTAGAGGATGCTACAATCCTAGCGTACAAAAGTTAACAATTCTCTTTTGTGATTTCCAACGTAAACAAACTAGGTGACATATTATTTTGCTAATAACTAAGAAGTTTCACGTGTTCTTAACAAATGAGGCACTGTATCTCTATGGCACATTTTCAGTTTTAGTCCTTATGCACATCTGGACAATTTTACCCTTGTAAGAGAAACATGTCAATAAATCAATTATCAAATATTACCATTATCTCCTACTAAAAATGAAATATTTTTACTAGAAAATATTTCCAATTGTTCACACAATGTGGGAACTATTTCTATTTTCCTATTCAAAATGACACTACACATTTGAGCTAAATTGACTGGGAGCAATGTGCTACCAGTGGGATGGTTTCAAATATACTCACTCAAATTGAAAAACCATCGATTTCTTATATTCATTCTTCAGATTACTTGATTCAAAGATCTCATCTATCTAAAAAAGATGAAAACTATATTAAATTGAATGTTTAAACTTTTATCAACTTTTTATACAAAGTATAGGCAATCTGTTTAGAACTGAGGAAATGTTCATGGTGGGGGGGCGCAGTTCGTGCAGTTGTGAATTGTGAATACAGCATGTCTGAGTGAACAAAAAACGTGGGCTGTGTATCATTTGAAAAGAAGTTAATAAAATTGATTATGATTTTTAAAACCAGCTGTGGAGAGACAGCCCCCCTACCATTTGCTGAAGGTCAAAAGCAAGAACTTTGAAATCCACGGAGAGTCTGTCTTGTAAATTAGGATTATATGTCACTCCAGATGTTATTTTAAATGTCCCTCTGACTTCATGACTTTTTCCAAGGGATGCATCTAGATGGATTAATAAGAAATAAATTATTATTAATGGAAGAGAGTATTGCGGCCTGATTTATGGTATAGAAGCAATGACACTCATTTAGTATACTTTCTCTGTAATTATTTAACCCTTGCTTTTTTTTTGAAGTCCTTTTTTGTCAAAACCAGCTACCCACTCCCCCTTTTCATTTTCAATATCTGGTTGTTTTAAAAGGCTAAAAAGTTATATACGCTTATTTTCTCTCCCACTATTCTTCCTCTTTTCTTTGAAGTCAAGCCATACATTTCTTTTCATTTTATTTTTGAATTGAGGTTCCTGTTGGAAGTCACAGGGCATAATCATGCTTTACCAATTATGGGAAGTGACTCAGGAAAACATAGTGAGAAATGGACCATTAAAAGTTGTGTAGCTGCTGTTAGATGTCTCTTGGACCCCAAGCCTCCTGGACACTGCTGGCTTTCTACGTGTGAATTTCTGTGAAGATTTCTGCTCATGTGTAACTTTGAAACAGCTTTAAAGCCACTTCTTACATTCTAGTAATTATAAATTTGGCATGTATGACTTTTGGCATGAGACAGGAACTGTCTTCATTGGAGAAGCTATAGAGAATGATGTAGCAAATACACAGTCTCAGTGGGAAAGTAACGTAAGGTGAGGTGAACAAGTTAGACAGTCTTTTTATCTGAATATTTTCTTTGATACATACTTGTATTTAAAATGAGTAGCTTTGGCTTAAATGCACAAAATGATAAGCCATTAGTTAATGCAATAATAATATTAAATAATTCTCACAATGGTATGATATGAGAAGTTTTTTTTCTTTCATACAATAGGGAAATGGGGGCTTAGAATGATATAATGTCCTAAGGCAGCATAGATGAGCAATGATGGGAGTGAAATTTAAAAATATATTTGGTTAACTATAACCCCCAAATTCTCCTAGGCACATAAATTTCCTGTCCTTAAAAATATTAAAGCTAATATTTCAAAAGATGAAATTACATTTAGCTTATACAATTAACATTATATAATTATGTACCTTATCATAATTTACATAATTTCCATTTTGTGCACAAATTAAATTACATTTAAATTTTCCCATTTAAATGAGAAAAACTGTGAAAGAGTTGAGAGATGTCTGATTGAAGGAGGTTTGGAGACCCTTATTAGTATTTCTGTGTATGGAACCAAACGGCACCCTAGATATTAGGATGTTGGTGGAGAAACCAGCAGTCTGAATAAAGAATATGGTTTAGTTAGTCATATCACACCAATGTGAATTTTTTAGTAGAGACAATTTCTATGTCTGCACAAGAAAATAACAAGTTTGGTGAAGGCTATATAATCCTTACAGTATTTTAAAATTTTACACGTTCACATATATATGTGCATATAACAATAATCAAGGAAAGAGGCTACCAACTTGAGAGTTGGGGGAATTGAGAGGGTTTCAAGGGAGGGCAGCTGTGAAAGGTTTGAGGGAGGAAATAGAGGGTGAATGTGATATAAACCTACGTCGGTTAAAGATGCTAAAACTTTACAATGTTTCCATAAGTGCAAAAATAAAATAACTATAATGCATATTATTTCTTCTAATGTTTTATTATTTGTTAAAGTCAAATTTCTCTTTATTGTGAGTTATTCCTCATTACATTGCATTACCATTTACAAATAATGTTCATGTTATAGAATAAATAAATGATGTATCCTCCATGAACTCAAAAATTCCATTAGACTGCAAAATTATTATTTTTTAAAAGTTATTTGAAGCATATAAATAAACCTAATACCTCCAATTTTCTAAAAGTGAAACTTGGGTATTGATCATACTAAACACAGATATTCATCTTAAAGGAGATGCCTTCTAGATGGTTAAAATATTAAAATTATCAGGCTTTATACTAAAATTATTTCTATAAAACCACAAATTCTTTTTATTATATCCAAATTCAAACATTTATTTGTCAGGGGAAAAGAGCTTACCCCCAAATACTTACTTGTTAAAACTAAGGTGACTCACAAGTAAATTTTCCTATTTGTCTTTTTTTTAGAATGAATTAGGCCACATACAATTCATCATTTTAAAACATAAATTAAATTTTATCAAAAAAGAATATTCAGTGCCGAGGCTATTATGATGATTCTGACTATATATTTATCTTATAAGTGAATAGGGGCTAATTAGGAGTAAATTCTCAGAATTGATGTCCAGTTTGTGGACCTGATATCTTCTATTTTCTCCAGTTCTTCATTCATAACCCAGATGGTGAAACACTACTGAAGTTAAAGATTCCTTACATCATATTAATATATTTATATATCTTTGAAAAGTTTTTGACCCATATTTGCATAATTCTACACGATGGCACTTTAATTTCTTTCTCTTTTCTTTTCATATTACTCCTCGAGCAGAATAAAATTCTTATATGTCTGTCTTTATGTATTTATGTTTGGCTTTATTTACTCATGTTATTTGTAACACTTTAGTCCAAGATATCATTATATGTAAATGGACAATAGTGTTCACTTACTCTTCATGTGTATGGGCTTGTATAATACAAGATATTTTAATGTTTATGATTCCATTTTTATCACTATGAGTATTCAGACTGTGAAATCTACTACATTATATGTTGATATTAAAAACTGAATATTATTTTGCAAAAAAAATTAAAATATTTTCTTCCCAAATTTGAATTTGTGATTATTTTAAATGACGTAACAACTGATCTTCTTAATTTTCTATGAAGTGTCCAGAACCACATAAGTGAAACAACAATATTCGGTAGTGTAGCCAAAGTAATGAATAAATTACAACAAAGATTGACTTAGAACATGTTCCTTGTTTAAGTGCATAGCTTACCTGTTTCTGAATCCTTGATTGCCAGCCAGGACACTGCAATTAACCCAGCACAGAGGGCAATAAGAATAATGAAGAGAGCCGAGAGCATTGCTTCGAAAGAGCTGAGAGAGCGATGTCCTACAGCCACCTTTCTGTTTGACTTCATTTTTTATTTTTGAAAGATTGATAATGTAGTAACTATGGAAGACTACAGTTCTTCACCCCAGCAACACTAATACTTTAAAGACTAAAGTGAAGTAAAATCTATTAAGTTCCTAAAGATTATAAAGGCACCAACTCCTCAAGCCAACACTGACAGTCTTCAGTGTGAATGTGCTGTGTGTGTCCCTCTGGAAATGGTATGTCGCTATACAGTCAGTATCTTTAAAAGGGGCAGTTAATATTTAAGAAGATATAGTGAGTGAGTAAAGATGCCTAGAGTTGTAAATTGCAGTCATGTGAGCTGGCCATTCGTCAGGGTAAGAGAAATTAAATGAATGCCATAAACAAAAATAAAATGACCCTTAGTCTCCTTAAGAACTATTAAAAAACCATGAAAATGATAATAGAAAATGGTCATTAGGGAATGCACTTGATATTTGCATAAGTGTTCCTAACAGAATAACCTTCTGCCCTGTGACTCAGGGTTTCCTCTGTAAGAAGGTAAAAATCATCCAAACCACAACACACATAGATGTATACTATAGAGTATCTTAGTCTACTGCGCTGTTTGTATCTTCCTACTTTCCCCTTTCTCTTATGTGTATGTATGTGTACATACATATATTATTGAAATAAACAGAAGTCTTGGGAACTTTCTTATGTCACTCTTGAAGTTTTGCAATGTAAGGCAGTATTGATTTTACTTACAGGAGAGTCCACTTAGCATCATAGGGCTACTCTACATGATATGAGCAATTAATTATCAGTACCTGCGATTAATCACCCTAAGAAAAACAGAGTGTTGATTTCTATTTTAAGAAAATTGCTAGGCAGAGGAGACCTTGTTCACTTATTGGTGTACTTTATCATCTAAAATATGTCAATAACACAAGAGAACAGGTTAAGATGTCCTTAGCAGACATCCCACTGCGGTAACCGTAGACCTGTGCATTCCACGAAACTTTTCTTATAATTAAAGTGGGGTGTATAGTTGGAACTTTCTTAACTTACACAGTAATGAGACCAGAATATAAATTAATCAATCAACTATTCAGTAAGTCAATTGTATCTAATTTACTTAGGAGTAAGCCATGTCCTTTTTATACTGCTAGATAATATTACATTCATGAGCTCTATTGTAAGGTTAGAAACGACACATAAAATATAAAATTGAAAATCCAAATGGACGTAGTTAGGTTAGGAAGTATTGCAAAAGTTCAGATTTGGAACCATACTTCTCATACTGAGTGAGTCACACTACTCGGCTTTAATATATATGGACGTGCTTAATCTTAGTGCAACTCGATATGCTGTGTTTTGTTGATATCCATGGGATACCTGCCCTTTTCTGAACAGAGGAGGAGTAGATTGGTGGGGGGGAACAGCAGGGGTGGTGTGGCCTGGAAAGACTGGAAGAAGGGAGGGAGGGGAAACAAAAACCAAAAAACTCGTTTCACATGATACATACATACATACACACACACACACACACACACACACACATATATCTGAGTTTAGTGTGTGCAAATAAGCATGTGGAAGAATATCTTGTTGAAGATGATAATTTGTAAAGGACAGTATGAAATTAAACAAGTGGATGTGAGAAGTAATATGTCATGTCTTGAAATGTACAAAGAAAACTATTACAATAAAATCAGAGCTGTCTTATCAGGTAAAAGAACTCATTGCAAAGTTGTAACGATGGGAGTGTAGAATCCATGAGGGATCAGAAATTCAGCTCAGTGTAGAACAAAGAGCCCAGACACAACTTGATTTGTGCATGGAAAACATCATACATTAAATGTAGTGTTATTGTTAATACATGAGGAAGAATTGCTGTTCAAGGAGTCGTGTTGAGATGATTTCTTATGCATCAGCCAAATAAATAAAATTAGATTATTATCTCACAGTCTTAGGATGAATAAATTCAAGGTGGAGTAAATATACAGTAGAACTACATGTAAAATTAGAAGAAAAATACATTGTTATTTTGACAGTTTCAATTGAGTTTTAAATAATAGCATAAACCAAGGAGAATTATACTGATATATTTATCCAATAGTAACTCAAAAATTCTTAAAGAAACCAACACCAAAGTCAAATTCAGAGAACTGGTTGTGATAATACCTTTCTGTGTCTGTTTGTAACACGATAGAAATTAGTTCACTGTTTTAACATGAATGTCTGGGAAGCAGGTCACAGAAGGTCCACTTGAGGAATGATGAAATTAAAAACTGTATATAGACAATAAAGCCAGTGCTGCCTGGGTGTGATCAAGTCCTTAGGCACCTCGAACCGTACCTTGTCAGTACCTTTGAGAATCAGAGAGATCAGGGTCAAAGGTCCGGCAGTTACCGGTGAGTAAGTGGGATCTCTAGTCAATACACAGCCATGCCCATTGTGGGATACTGACTCCACAAATACCTGTTTGCTCTTGTATGTTCAGCTAGCCCTGCCTGGGAGAGGGTGGGGGCATCTATGAGATGAAAGAGTCACCATTTATGAGTTAAGGAAAGTTCATGTGGGTGGAGGATTTTAAAGTTGCCTACTAAATATTAAAATGAATCCAGGGGACTGAACTAGGCCCACAATATGTGGGAGGCTCTTGTGAAGCTTGGACTATCAGAGGGGCCCCTGGCAGTAGGACCATGATACAAAACTTTTTGTAGCCCATTCCTTAGGCTGAGACGCAATCTCAGTGGCACTATATAATCCCAGTACATGAGCTAGCTTGTTGGAGCCAATTCCCTATGGTGGGATGCCATGCTCAGTCTTAATGCATGGAAGAGGGTCCTGGCCCTGCCCCAACCTATTGTGCCAGAGTGTGTTGACTACTCATGGGAGCCCTTACCCTGAGGACGAGAGGACTGGGGGTCGGCTGGGTGGAAGTGAGGGAAGATGAGAGGAGGCAGAGCTGTGGGAGGAGGGATGGGTGGGGGAACTGTAGTTGAAATGTAAAATGAAATTATAAAAAGGAAAAGTGGAAGAAAAGATGACAGAAAATAAAGAATTTGGAAAAGAAGGGAAATGAGAAGGGAGAAGGCAGCTATGGGTCACTATGGAGTAAATGTAAATGTGATGCATTTGCTCAAAAATGGTAGTGTGGAATCCACTGCTTTGTACAAGTATATACAACAAAAATAAAGACAATGAAGAAACCTTCTTTTTAAAAAGAATGTCTAATTCTTTTAGTTAGTACAAATAGCAGGAGTTTAACAGAAATGAAAAGACAGAACACAACAACACAAACAAAACAAAACCACCTCAACACCATCAAAATCAAGCAAAGTGAAAAAAATGCAGATAAATACAGAAAAAATGTATCAGTAAGCATAGAAATATAATTAATATAAGAAATTGACCAAAAACATATAAAATATGGGCACTACAAAAACGTGGCATTCCTTTCTTGCTAGACAAAAAATTCCTTTCCTCCAGTTGCAATCCCCAAGTCTTATCCCCATTTTTGTCAAAGGCCATCTTCTGTGCCCTGTCCTTCCTATCGCATTCCATTCCCTGGGGTCTATGCACCACTCAGCAAGCATCAAGAACTGCAATAATCCCAAACCCAGATTTTAAAATGTCAAGCATAAAACATAATCAATAACAGTCAGGAGAACATATTTCCACTAGAGCTTAGCAAGTCTACTATAGTAGGCCACGAGAAACACAAGACAGCTGAAGCACAGCACAGTGACTTCAGAATAGCTATTATCCATATCTGCAAAGTGTTTAAAGGAGGTATGAATGCATCCACTATTTAAATCTATGGAAACACAAACAAACATGGAATGAAATGAATAAAACAGTACAAGAAATGAAAGTGAAATTAAAATGAATAAAGAAAATACAAACTGAGGAGAAACTGGAAATGAAAAATTTAAAAATTTAAACAGAAACTACAGATGCAAGCATCAACAACAGAATACAAGATGGAAGAGATAATCTTTGGCATTGAAGGCAAAATAGAACAAATGAATACTTCAGTCAAAGACAATGTTAAACTTAAGAAAAACCAATGGCACAAAACATTCAGGAAATCTGAGACATTATGAAAAGATGAACAATTCAAAAAGACTCTGAATAGTAGGAATAGAGGGAGAAGAAGAAACCCAGGTCAAATGTACAGAAATTATTTTCAACAAAATGTTCCCATACTAAAGAAAGGGGTGCCTATCAAGGTACAAGAAGTACACAGAGAACCAGATATACAGTATCAGAAAAGAAATTCCCCATAGTACATGATGATCAAAAACCAAATGTACATAGCAAAGAGAATATTAAACACTGCAAGAGAAAAAGAATAAAGAACATACTTGGACATAAAGCAAGTCTCCACAGATAAAAGAAAATTGAAATTACATCATGCATCCTCTCTGACCACCAAGGATTGTAGGGGAAAGCCCACATTCCCAAAGGGGTACATGGAACAGGTGAGGATAAAAAGAGGAAAACAAACCTCTGTCTCTTGGATTTTAGCCTTGTTTTCAAGGGCCCCTCCTCTTCCCAGCTTCTTGTGCAAGTGTTAATAAATATCCTTGTTCCTTTTCAGCTGGTGCATACATATAAAAGTTACAATTTTTTAATGTTTGAGTTTTCCAGAGAACAAGAAGTTTCCTGACAACAATCTTCAACACTTCAGAAAGAAAATGGGACACCACATCATCGACTCCACCTAATACCATACTGAAACAGGTTTGGAACCACATTGCTCGACACAACTCCGGACCAATGAACTTACATTGTGCACCTACTACAATCTGGCCAGAGCTTCAGACAAGAGCTTCAATCAACATTAGAACTTCAGTCAAGAACTTCAATCAACCATCTCTTGCCAAAGAGAGACAATTTAATCTACTTAAGACTCTTGTTACACTAACGTTTTCTTCCTACAGGTTCCCATGAAATTGTAATCATCCCATTTCAGCAGTAAGTAATTTTGAGAATACTTGTTGATATTCCAGGATAGTTTGCACCTGTTACTGTTAGTTTTCAATTATTTTAGGGTTAGTATTGTAAGGAGGTGTTAGACTTGGGCATCTCTTTCAGATAAGTTTATGATTTAGATGGGATAGAAATGCTTAATTTATGATATAACTTGCTTATCACCTATGTATATATGTTGCATATGTTTGAGTTTTGTTATCAAGTTTAAATCTCTTATTTACACTAAAAGGGGAAAGGATTAAAGCTGGA